AATGAACGTTATCCTATGCAATTTGATGAAAATGGAAAAGCTGTTAACAATACATTGGAGAAGGTGAAAATGGTCCAATTAATTCATACCGTCATAATCCATATTCTTATTTCAATGAAGAATTAAATGCTATTGAAGAGGGACCGGATGGATTACCACGATATTCTAACCAGGTTTGATGGTCAATATGCAAATATTAGACCTGAAATTTCAGCTAAGAAATTCTTTAAAGTTGCTTTATTCGATCCAGTTTTCGCAAATGTTAAAGATGAACTTAACAGCAATTCCAACCAATTATAGTAGCAAGAATTGCATCAGGTGCTTTATCTCAAGCATTCAAAAATTTAATTAAGAAACCATTATATCAGCAACGAGGTTTAACTTATGATTTAGTTAAGGAATCAGATAAAAGAAAATTTGAGAAATCAAATGATTATAAGAATGCAATTAATGAATATATTCGGTCTATAATTTCGATGAAATGCTAAAAATCAACTTCATGAACAAATACAGGGAATAATAGATTCAAAAGTTCCAGCAAAATAAAAGTTTAAATATATTTTTTTTATTCGAATATAAATGAGAAGACGTTTCACTAGTCAAAAGAACACTAACGCAAAGCAGAGATTACGGTTGGTTATAACGTAAATGATGATAAATCACGAATTATTCAAAATGTTAAAGTTAATGTTAGCCCTGAATTAACAAGGTCAGCAACTCAACCAAATTTATTAACTCGTGACTTGCCGAAGAATGAGGAGGAGCAAAATAAAGAAGATGGAGACCCAATCATTTATCTGAACCCAGTAAAGAACCTGTTGAAATTCCCACTTATCCAACATACCCCCCACCTCTTTCATCAAACATCGAGAACCCAGGAATCTACGATTCCAGTCGCAATGCGCCATATAAAATAGACATTAATTCAGAATTAATGAAAATTTACCGTGTATAATAACTGATAATTATGATTCAATAATAAATTTAATTGATCAATCCGGTTTAATTATTTTACCTTATGAATCATTAATTCACATTATCGCCATTCTTTGTGATGTTCAAGATTCAGACGTTAAGATTCAATTTTTTCATAGATGATGAGGTTTCATGCTGCGGAACAGTTGCAAAAATAAATCCTATAAAGGATATTAGCACAATTAAGATATCAAAGAACGGAACAACAACTGAACTACATTTAACTTATAATGATATTTATAATAAAATAGTTGATGAATATAAAATATCACTTGAAAAATTCTTTGTTAAGGCCATTTAAATATTCAAGCATTAACATTATCGAATAATAATCCTTTGAATCATAATCAAATAATAATTGACCTTTCACCGTTTCTATCGTTTGTTTTATTTCTTTTTGTTCCCCACTATCTGGATCGGTCATTGTAATTGTTTTTGTTATAGTATCAGCTTTATCTTTAACTTCAATCTTTTTTCCATCGGGATATTTAAACCAAAATTCCAAAAATTCGATATTGTCAATCTGTTCATATTTTAATCTATCAATTACATTTTTAATACCATCTGAAAATCTTATGAAATGGTCATTATATGGGTTTTGATTGAACTAATTTGAATGAAGTGAAATATAACCCGATGATGAATATGACATTGACTCATATTTTCTGAAAACACTAAAATTTATAACATGAATGAATTTCTTATTCGTTGAATTTATGAATTCTTGAGGTAATCTTATTCTAGTTTTATTTATCACTGGAAAATAACGCTTTACCATATTTTTAATCGTAATAAAAATGTCAATTATCAATATTATTTCGAATAATAACTGTGAATTAAATTTAACAGTTAGCGGAATTTATAATGTTACTCTCGTTTCTGTGAGTGGTAAATTTAATCCCATTCTTTTAGACCCTTCAGATTATATATCATTTATTAAAGATGACCATGAAAAAACGTATGATATGTATATAAATAATGTGATAGCGAAATGGGATATTAACATGATTTTAAGTTATTTAAATGAATCATTTATCGTATGGTATGAAGAAAATTTTAAATCAAAACCTGATAAACTTTTTGAACTTGATGAAATAAATAACCTTATTAAATTTCCGCTGAAAATTAAATTTTGTACTCCTCATTTTCGTTCATTGTTGGGAATATTAAATTTTGAAAAAGATGTTGGGGATGTTTTGTATTCTGACACCGGTTCCAATTTCATTTTAATCAAATGTGATAAAGTTAATACCCCAATGAGATTTCACATCAAACATTAGACCCTAACTCTTACCCATCAATACAAAACATTTATCCATCACTTAAACATATTTTCTTTATCATATCCGTTTCAATTATCCGGGAATTCATTTATTCTTCATTCAAAAGATTTATCAAATATTAAATTTAGAGTAACTGACCTATTTGATTGTGATTTAGAATTCATGAATGAAATATTATGGCAATTTCAAATAGAAAAAATAGCTGATGTGATAACGGATTAAATATTTATTTTTAAATCATAATAAATGATTAAACAACAGCAACCACAACAACTTAAGGCACAAAGCACCCAGGTCCCTCAGACCATTACATACGCCATATATGCATATAATTCAAAGACGGCAGAACAAACGCAAAGGTTGAAATATGGAGATTTGGAGATAGTATTGAAAAATGACCATTTCGAATTCGTTTGCAAGGGTGGTGCAGTGATATCAAATATAAAAGAAATTTTATTTATGAATTCAAAAATTAAAGGTATAACGGATGATATAACATCAATTCCACCAGAAGAACAGAGATATTACGCATTAAATGCATTTCCTAAAGTTTTGAAGATTGGAAGATTTAATTTAAATGAGGAATTCATAAAAGGTTTCCTAAATGACATAATGGAGAAGGCAGATAAGGAATGTGTTGCTGCTGCGTTAGAGAAGAAAGCGGATAAGGAATATGTTAACGAAAAAGATAATGAAATTAAAGAAAGTGTTGAATGGTATCATGAATGGACATCAAAGATTTTAAAAACTAAAGCCGATACAGGATGGGTTTCAGGATGTTTAGACCTTAAAGCGGATAAGGAATATGTTGACACCGAATTAACGAAGAAAGCAGATAAGGAATATGTGGATAGTGAGTTAACGAAGAAAGTAGATAAGGAATATGTTGATGAAGAAATAAAACAATCAGAGGTCTATTTTACTCCACCATTTTTAAATTTTATGAAATCATCAGATAAAACCTTTGATATAGATTCTTTTGAATGGATATGTTTCGATGGAGTGACCATGTATTTATTTTATACAGATGGAGTGCTTTATTATTTTAAAACAAATGATTTTAAAAACTATGAATCATTTACTCCATCTGTTTTGAATCCTGATACACTAAAGCCAATCATTATTAATTCAATAATTTTATATGCTGAATATAATAACGGTAAATTTATGGGAATGATAACGGTTGAAGATGATTTTTGCCCTTGTTATTCATTCGATTGTATCCAATGGTTCAAATGTAATTTAAATCAAGATGCTAAATTTAAATATCCAAATAATCCTATTAGATGCGTTAATAATAAATGGGTACTAATTTATGAAGTTAATCAAATTTCATCATAGTGAGGATGGGATAAATTATTATATGTTTAGTATGATGTCATCAGATTTGAAAATTGATTATACAAGTAAGTGGTATTACATTAACGGTATGTATTTTATCCTACAAAATGATAAAATTTATAGATCACCTTCAATATCACAAAGTCAATTTGAACAAATTTTTCAAGCTGATGGAGACATTGAAGCTTTATGTTATGCTTCATATGTTTATGTTCTCGTTTCAGGTGAAATGGTCTATTCATATCCTGTAAGTTATAACAGACATATTTATTTATCACATGATTTATCAAATTGGGAATTGGTTTATTCATTCACTCCAAAATTTACTCAAAATTATAGATTTACAAATTTATTTTATATTGATGGGTATTTCATTGCTTTAGGATGTGGTGATTTAGTAAATATCAGTAGTGATGGAAGAAACTGGTCTGAAATCACAAAATTTCAAGATGTTAGAAAAGCAATTTTCAAAAATAATACGTTAATATTGATAACAAGACCAGTTTTAAATACTCACCTAAATTCAATATTATATAATAAATTCAATATTCATAATGGATTTAATACAATTCTTGAGATGATTTACCCCATTGGTTCAATATATACATCAATGAATTCAACAAATCCAGCAACAGTTCTGGGTTTTGGTACGTGGGAACAGATTGTAGATAAATTCCTCTATTGTGCGAACTCTTCAAAGGAAACAGGAGGTTCGAAGAAAATTACTGAAGCAAACCTTCCACCGCACACTCATACAGGAACTACAAACACAACAGGTAGTCATTCACATTCAATAAGAGACCATCCATTATACAACTCAGAATATTATGCTGGCAATGACGTTTTATCTCCAGATTATAACCATTCGGCAAAAAAGACTTTTCGACCAACTGAACCAGGAGGAAATCATTCACATACTTTCACAACAAATCCAACAGGCTTGGGTAAAGATTATATGCCTCCATTTATGACTGTATTCGCATGGTACCGCGTTCATTGAACGCGCTTGAGCCTGCTTTGCGGGCTTACCGCGTTCATTGAATGAACTAAATATATTTTATGTTTGTAATTAATTAGGTAATGAAGTAATGAATGAACTGCAGAAATAAATGTTTACGTTAATGTTTACAGGTTATTCAATTATGAATTATTTTTGAAGAACTGAAGGTGCTACCATGTTACCATGTGCTACCAGGTCATTTAACTTCTCTGAAAAAGTGTGACAACATGACAATTAGACAACACAGCAGGGGAAGGTAGTTATGAATTATTTTTGAAGAACTGAAGGTGCTACCATGTTACCATGTGCTACCAGGTCATTTAACTTCTCTGAAAAAGTGTGACAACATGACATTTAGACAACTACACAGGAGGAAGGCAAAAATAAATTCCAATCATACTTTATAAAGCTTCATTTACAGGTATTTCATCGTCAGTAAATGAATCATCATTATCGTTTGGTTCAACCTGTTTATATAATCCTTTCATTTCTTCTTTCAAAACATAACACCATGTTTGTTTACCGTCTATTCTTCTATGTTTCCTATCACATTTATCCTTAATACTCATTTGGAAATTCTTGTCTTTCATGTCTGATGGTTTGCAGAATAGAGCATTTTCACACGTCATACCTGCACACAATTCATCATAATGTGTATTTATCCATACATCTAAAGGATTTGATGATAATTCTATTAAATCTTGTTTGGCTTCAGTCATCGGTATGATTCGTACATTAAATGATGAAAGGTCATATTGCATAAAATACGTCAGTAAATTATCATAAAATTCCTTTGTGCATGAATCCATTAAATTCTTGAAGTAATCAAATTGACCCTTGAATTTACCATTAACCCTTAAAACTACGTATCTTCTGTCTCCAACATCAATTTTGACAGGGTAGACGTTGTTAGTTACGAAAATGAAGTTTGCAACGTTCTGAGCAGTTCTTCTGGGTTGATTCTTTTCATTAATTCTAATTTGATTATCCGTAATAATTGATTTCAAAGCGTTGAAGTTTGCGAGTCTATCTTCACCAACATTCTTGAGTTCATTAAGTACAAGAAACATTTTATTCTCAACAACCGAATTGAAATTACCCGTTAGCTCACTTATTTCAGTAATGTTTTTACATGAATAACCAGCGAGAAGTTCAGAAATAATGTCTGTAAATCTGTTTTTACCTGTTCCCTGAAGTCCTTTCAAAATAATTGCTGTTTCATTCTTGATTCCAGGATGTTGAATCATTGATGCAATCTAGCCGAGAAGGTATTTATACATTTCATCGTTATTATCACAAATGGCTTCTTTAATGAAATCCATAAACATCTCAATTTTTGAGTAATCAGGCTTTTCAAGAATGTTGTATTTATAACCTTGAAACGTTGAGAAAACATCGGGGGAATCAGATTTAAAGCAAACGCCCTTAACGGTTAATGAGGATAATTGATTTAATAGTACGTCCCATGCTGTTATGGTTTTACCTTCTTCTTTAAATAATTTAATCATTTTGAGTGACTCTTTCATGTTTGACTGAAGAACGAATGATATTTGATTCATTTTGTCGTGGATATTATAGTCCTTTTGAATGAAATATTTGTTTCCACAATCTACAAAACGGATTACACGTGATAAATCCTCAATTACTTCAGAACTGTTTTTATACTGATGATTTTCAGCCTTGCGTCTAATATCTGTTATCAAAAACGTGTCATCAAGTTTTATATCAAATGTTATTTTTGGCTTACGTAATAAAGGTAAAACATATTCATCATAATATTCCTTTTGGTATAGTTTTAGAATCTTCACCAAAACAAATGGAGAAGTCATTAAATGTGCATATCTACCACGTGCTTTTTCAAAATTACTTTTTGCATTTTCTGTTAAACTGCAGAAGTTATAAACGTTATCGTAGGCTTCATTAATTAAATGATTAGGTAACGAATTAATTGCTTGAAACAGTGTAAATAATGTTATTTCTTTTTCTAAATTCATGTTTCCACCATCATTATGTACTTCAAAATCACAGATGCCATCAACTATGCTCTGGGCAAGTTTATCGTCAATGTTTACATCTTTGTTTTCATTCATTATACTCTTTATTTCTTCATTCTTCTGTTCAACTCTTACCTTAATATTCAAATCATTTAATATATCGTTTACTGTTCTGGTTAATGTTGAATCATAACTTCCACGAATGAATGAGTATGTATTGATTGGTTCTGTTGCATTCTTGCGAACTCTTGAATCAGCCATGACTACTAATGAACGCTTTGAATCATCCATAGAAGTCATTATGTCAATATCATAATCATTGCAGGAATAACATTTAATCATTCTGTTCGAAACTGCATAGAAGAAATTAGTGTTGCAATAAATGTGAAGACCTCCTGAAGCGGTTTTAACGATAACATCTTTATCCGAAAGTTTTGATAAAATGTCTTTTCTAACTGTTTCTTTAAGTTCATCATTGTACGATTTATTGATATCAACATCTATAATCGTTAAATTTGAAATTTTATTTACTAATAAAGCCATACCAGTTTTCCTTCCTCTTCCTCCATCATGTTTGAGGTAGTTATGTAAATCAATCTTGTTTTCACCAATTCTTTCGTTGAGGGTTTTAGTTTCTGCCACAACTAATTCCTCAACTAATGAATCAATAACTTTTTCATCAGAAATGATATAGTTGCTGTTGTTGTTTGTTGCCGTCATTTATATAGGAATAAAAAAATAAAAATAATTTTAAAACTAACTTTATTTTTGGGCTACATCAAATTTTCTATGTTGTTGTCTAATTGTCATGTTGTCTCATTTTTTCAGAGAAGTTAAATGACCTGGTAGCACATGGTAACATGGTAGCACCTTCAGTTCTTCAAAAATAATTCATAACTACCTTCCTCCTATGTTGTTGTCTAATTGTCATGTTGTCTCATTTTTTCAGAGAAGTTAAATGACCTGGTAGCACATGGTAACATGGTAGCACCTTCAGTTCTTCAAAAATAATTCATAACTACCTTCCTCCTATGTTGTTGTCTAATTGTCATGTTGTCTCATTTTTTCAGAGAAGTTAAATGACCTGGTAGCACATGGTAACATGGTAGCACCTTCAGTTCTTCAAAAATAATTAATTATTGAATAACCTAAAAACCATTAACGATAAAATAACTGATAACAAATTTTTATTTTTATCATAAATGGATGTCCCACAAGCTCAAAATTTACCACGAATCATAACAAGGGAGGAAATGATAAAAATGATGCGAGAACTTGCTAAAAATAACAAACCACTAAAACTGAGAAAATGCGGTTATGCAGTAATGATGGAAAGAGAGATGTTGTCAAAGAGGAATAAAAATTAAATTTGGATTGAGTTTAAAAATTCATCTTTATTAAATTCATCTCTTCCAATCAATTTATTTATTCTATTAAATTCTTTTATTTTTGCTTCACTCAGTTTAAGGATTGAACGGTAAGTTTCTAATTTTTCGATTATTTCTTTATCGTTTTCAGTTCCATTAGTTTTATGGGCATCAACCCCACCGCATTGCGGCTTCTTTTTGTAATAGCATATTTTTGATTTAATTCTGTTTAGTTTCTTTTTATATTCATCGTCTGGACTCTTGACTGCTTTGTTGTCACTCATTTCTTACGAAATAAAAAAAATTAAATATTATTTAAATATAATGGAGTAATAAAATAAATCGGAATTTCTATTAATTTATTGTCAACTTCAACTAATACATTACCGTTAATATATCTAACAAATTCAGCTATTGTGTCAAATCTTCGTCTTCTTTTTGTCATTGATTTATCAGTTTTTCCATAATCGAGATGAATCAAAACTTTATCCCTTGTTTAAAATTCATGAGCCCCGAATTAATTTGTTCACGTTTAACATCATTCAACCTTTCCATTTGCTTTCTAATATATTCCCATTCTTTTGAAATATCATTTTTCATTTCCACTGGTTTCATGTTTATAGTTCTATGCCATGTATTATTGTAATAATATACTAACTGTTGTATGATGGAGTCATGATTTCCATCCCAGTATATCTGACCGTTAACCCCTAACGCATCTCTAAGAGTTCTCATTACCGCATCAACTATTTTATTATGAAACGTATATGGAGAGGATGAAAAGTAAAAATTAATTTGTGGGAAATAATGAGTCATAGCTGCCTGAAATCCTTTATCACCATCACCCCTGATATTATCTACTCTTTCATGATCTAGTAAGTATTGAATAGCTCTTCTTGTTTCCTGTTCTGTTTTCCCTTTCACGGAATGCAATATAAATATCTAGTGTTAATGTTAATGGCAAATAAATAAGTAACGTTTCCTTTTGAATATTCCAGATGATCGATTTCGTATGAATATGGATATGGAGCAAATGAAGGGCGACTAAATTTTTCCTTTAACGGTTGAATTTTCGGGTCAATTGGTTTATTTAATATCTTGAAATCCTTTTTAAAATCTTTTTGCTTCTTTAATGTTTGAAATGGATATAATAAAGTGAATGATGAAGGATTAACTGAAGGAGGAGGCGGTACTGTCGTTGGAGGTTTTGGTGTTGCAAGTGGTTTAATTTTATCTGCTTTGATTTTGGATTTCATTCCTTCCTTCATTAATTCTGGATGTATTCTATTCATTTGTTTTAAATATGCTGTATATAAAGGTTTGATATACTTTCCCGCTTCGAGTTTATGTTGAAGGATGAATTCCAAAAGTTGATCTTCATTTAAAAGTCGGGCTGAATATGGTTTAACTAATGAATCATAAATTAAAGCTTGTGCTTCATTTATGGTCTGAAGGACCTGGGTGTTTTGCCTTTTTGTTTTTGCTTTGGTTTTTGTGGCTCAGGATTATATAATTATATAATTCATCAATATCTTCTTCTGTTAATACTTTATTTTTGAAATCTTTCAACTGTTTAAGCTGTGATTTAGTTTTTCCCTTTATATATTCATTATTTTTAATTTTGTCTTTAATTTTAGAAATTATTTTATCATGATATTTCAAAATTTCATTTTTATAATATGGATAATAATAATCCATATCATCACCCGTTATATTATTATTATATTTTTGGAGATATGATTTTAAATCGCAATAATCAAGAAAATTTTGATTAAATACTAAATCATCAATTAAAATTTTTAAATCTACGTTATCCATTTATATAAAAATAAAATCAATGTTTAAGGGTGCCCACCTCTTTGAATCATAGTATCAAAACCATCATTAACGGTTCCTTTTGTCTCTTCTGTGGTATTTTATTAAATAAATGGCATACAACATCCATTTTCACAACATACAGCCTTAGTGTGTGCTCCTGTTAATGCAGTCTTACCAATTGTTAAGCGAGTCATTGACCCATTTTTAAGTTGTAAATTAATATTCTGACCATCAAATATCACTTTATCATTTATTATATCCAAATAATTTTTAGGTGTTAATTGTTTATTTTGTCGTAAACTAATACCTTTCATTTTTTGTGCAATCTTTTTAAAATCACTTCCATCAATTGAACCATTGAATGATGTATAACACTTAGGACATAAAGCAACCATGTTATCACCTTGTTTCTCAATTGCTAAACCCAATAACTTCTTCTCATGTGCTTTTTCTTCAGCTTTATTCTTTAATTTAGGTTTAAATTTCTCATCAAAACAGAAGAAATCAAAAGGTGCGAATTTGAAAATGTTTTTATCATAAAATTGTTTATCGGTAACAATTGCTTGAAATGCTTGAGTGTTAGGAAGATTTGGTCGCCAGCGATTGCCCAATAAGATGAATCAGTATCACCTTCAATGAAATGAAAACGATTAACATCCATGCATTTATACATAAAATCATAAATGAAAACCAAATACCAGTATTTAGCATTATCTAAAGTGAAGAATGCCTCTTGTAAACATGTATCACATCTATAAAATCTATCTTTAAGCATCACTTGATATGTATCTTCCTATTTCTCTTATGTTTTTAAACTTATTTGACATACATGCAACGCGTGCCTTCTGTGCATTCATTATTTTAGTCTTTGCGTAATTTTGTGTATTCATTGCATCGTAACCATATGATCCATTAAGTGAAATCTTGCAAAATAAACTTTTTCCTTTATTTCCTTCTAATTCAGCCTTTTGTCTTTCGTTCATAAATTTGTTCGCAAATTCATTAAAACAAGTGTTTTTCGTAAATGTTAAAATTGATTGAATATCATCGATGATAAAATGAAATCTGTCTATTAGATACCAAAGATAATAAGAAGAAAATGGTTGATATTGGTTGTGTGTTGATGCTAACTGAGTTAATTTCTCTGTTTCTGGTCAACTGGTAGATTGTTTGATTTCATGTAATTATACATAAAACTGCCAATTGTTTTTTCATCTGTGATAATATCTAAGTTTCTTATTATCGGTAAAAAGTTTATGTAATCATTAATGTATTTTTCATCAATGTGACCCTTTACTTCAGCCACGAATAAAGTATTTTTCTTCTTAATTATTCCCAGTGCTTTTGCTTTCTTTGTTGCTGTATCACAAATGATAACACCATTCAATCTTCCCGGCATATACATTTTATGGTCAGTATATTGAATGAAATCATGAGGATTAGATGAAAATGATGAAGGATATAATGAATTAAAGTCAACTCCAACGAAATGAGTCATAATGTTGGTGGTGTCCTCATTTGATACAGTTTTAGTTTCTGGATTATATGAAAGTTTATTAATGTGCGTGATTCCTTTAAGATTTACACGATGTTGAACATTTGATAACCACCAGTAATTCCATTACGGAGAATGTGATAAGCTTCAACTGAATCTAAAGTCATTGGTAAATTATTTTTTAATGCATAATTTCTTAAATTGATTCTTAAACGTTGAACATCTTCATCTTTATTTGATTTTACGACATTGCAATAACAACACATTAACTGACAATTTTCTTTGGTATGTGGTTTTTCATTATCGATTCTATCCAATGTTGGTTTATTTGCATATGTAAACGCTTTACCACACATTTTGCATTTAGATGAAAGGATTAAATCGTGATAGTATTGAAAATCATCCATTGAAACATTATTTTTAGTATCTCTTCTGCTTTTTCATCTTGTTTCTTATATGATTCAATTTTATATTTCCAATACTTTTTCGTTAATTCAAAACTTGATTCCACATTTTCTTCTTCTGGATATTTTCGTTAGGATTGAAGTTCTTATATGCTAAGCGTAACGAATCATTGAAGCATTCGATGATAAAGAAAGATTATGAAGCATGTCAATTTTATAAACAAATGTTTCTTCAATAATTTTATCAATTGGGTCAATCATAATTTCAACATCTTTATTGCAATAATGAATAAAATATTCTAATCTATTCTTAAATTTTTAGCATCATTGAGATATATTTGATAATCTGAATCGGATATTGTTTCTTGTGTTAATGCTGAATAAAATGAATCTTCGTGAATGGTTCCTTTTATATAATTCTTCTTCGTAATTTTCCCATGTGATGAATTGATAAGGGAAAAAGGATTTAACACGTGATTTATTGTTTCCGAAATCTTGAGTGAATTGGTCTAATGTCCCACCCGCTATATAATTTCTGATGTCAATAAATCTCAATTCATATGGACGTTTGTTTTCTTTACAATGATTTGCTTAAATTGTGAAGAAGAACCCAGCATTGATTTTATTTTCCATTTTGCAGTGTTTAAATCACGAAGAATTAAATTTAAATCAAACTTTCCCGAATTAAAACCTATGATATTCACTTTATTGAATTCCTCATCTAGAAGTTCTTTAAATGCTTCCTTCTGTTTTTCATTTAATGTTTGCGACTTCATTAATTCTTCATATTGTTCAATATTTGATTTAGCAACTAATGAACAGGTTGAAAATAAAAACTCAATCCAATCAGAAATAAAAGAATCACTCGAAGTTAAGCAAAAATTCCTCGTATATGTTTTATCATTTAATTTAACCGTTGATGATACCATGAATGGTTTTAAGTAAGCGTTCAAAGTTGCACACTCAGAAAGTTGTAATTCTTCTTTAGTCTCTAATGTTTCGAAGTCAAAAGTAATATAATATCTTGTCGGTTGATAATATTCCTGCAAATTATGAGCTAATAACCACTGATATATCTTCTGTTTCGTAATATGTGGTGCATATGGTTGCTGTGTCTTTTGCAACTGAACGTCTTGAATTAATCTTCCATTATTTTCTTTACATTTCTCACAATGCTTTAAAAATCTTCTTTGGTTTTTCCTTTCTGGATCATCACGGATAGAATAAACTTCTTCTTTACAATATGGACAAACTCTATAGCCGGTGAGTGCTTCAACGTCTGTTATTCTGTCAGCGTGAAGTTTTCCACATGGACTCTGTGTTAATAAAATATTTACTGTTTCAAATTCTGGATCTATCATTATTGAATCCACTAATGGAAAGTCTACCTTATTTATGTCCACGTCTTCTGGTTGAGGATCACAATAATAGAAATCAATATTAACATTTAACATTCTCGCTAATCTCTCACTTTCTGATGAAATGTCAAACCCTTCATATGAATCTATTGCTTCATTTAAATAACTTCTACGAGTTTTAGGATTAACACCATCAGGAATGTTATAGAAGCGTTTAAATAACCTTCTACCTTCGGCTCTTATTTGATTATCATTCATTTTAGCTGTTCCGTTTTTGTTCATTTATGTAAGAATAAAAAATAAATAAAAATAAAATTTATTTTTTAAAGCCCATAAAATGAATTAAGAACACATAAATTTTTATCATCTGCGACGTGACGAATACATTTTAATTTACTCAAGAATGCGTACCCTGATACATTAAATCTAATTCCTGTCTTATTTAATTTCACAACTTTGAAAAGGAATGTATGAATAGCTATAAAATGATGAGAAGATGTTTTATGGGTTGCTTCCATTTTTTCTGAAATAAATGAATAAATATAATGTTTATAAGTTTTCATATCTTTTATGTTCTTAATAACGAATGGTATAGACCTTTCCACTTCGTCTTCCTTCGGTGCTGTTCTTTCATATGAAACATTATTGGTATCTTCAATAATGAAACCACAATCGCATAAAATTTTATATGTACCAATTGTTTCTTTTGATATTTTATCTAACAAATCAAAAACTTTATCAACACCTGTGCATTTATTTAAATAATAATTTGTGTAAATATCATGATCTTCTTTCTTAATCGTATTAGTTGCATATGTTACATTTTTCAGTGCTTTTTTGAATTTCTCAGAATCGAGAGGTGGTGAAAGTAATATACATGGATAATCTCCATCGTCAATAAACTGAAGCTTATGTTTATGAATAAATTTTGTGCCTTCTTCTGAAAGTGTTTCGTCAATATCACCATCTAATAAATTTTTAGTAGATTCCAAAAAGTAATTTTTATATCTTTCCTCATGTGATTTTTGAACTTCTGATTCTGAAGCTGGGATATTCATTAAACCCTCTACTTCATTCTCAGCATTTCTCAATTCACTAATTCTTTCATCTATTTCATTTCTTAATTGTTCCAATTTCTCAATCTCATCGTTATAATATTCATCATCTTTAATTCGTTCTTCATAATATTCAGGGAAAACATCAGGTTCTTTAGGTTTTTCTTCTTTAGATGTGGGATATAAGAAATTTATAACATCATCTTTATTCATTTTTCCATCATAACCAAATTCATTTAAAAACTCCGCGAATTTTTTACAATTTCTTAAATAATATTTATCAACTTCATAACCCGCCTCCTCTAATATATCCTTTATTTCCTCGTTTGTGAATCCTAAATTTTTAACATTGTTAGTTTTGACGCTCATTTCATACAAAATAAAAATAAATTATTCAGAACTGTAAGATATGAATTTTTAAAGTTTATTTTTCATTCATGATAATCATTAGTTTCTTAAAGTTCAATGTTGAACTCAATCTTTATTTTCAACAATAATTAATTAATCGCGGAATATCTGACATCATCTATATATAACTTCTTTTATTTCATTATGTATGGGCTGAGTGTAAATGTCTTACGTTTACAAAATTTTTTAAATCCTGATTTATTCAAAAACGTAAGAATAAAAACCGTAAGAATCATACATTTTTTACTTCATATGTTAAAAAAAATGATACAAAATCGTTCAATATTGTATGAATTCTTACGTTTACAAAAAAAGTCACACAACCCATCCACATATACTACTAATATCGCAATTTAATCTCTACAGAAAAATTGTATTAGCCGAATTACTGCATATTTCAACTGTGTATTTACCATGATTATCTAACAAAAATTTTGGCTGGATACCATGGAGTCGAAATTTCATTTTTTAATGTATGCTTCTGAAAACGTGATTCATTGTTTTAATCATCTTAGAAACTATCTTATTACTGTGAATGGTTTTTAACGACATTTACTGAAATTGCAAAATATAATCAGCCCGAAGAGGGTTCATCCGAATCAATATGCATTGAGAAAGTATAGATGGCTATGTTTTGTTGCAATGTCCCATTGAAGGCTTTTTAAATAAAATACATAGGGAGATTGGACGCATAAAAATACGCTAGATTTTTTTAATTTTAAGGTTAATGAGTGACTGTACCTTTAAAAAAAATCTAAAAATAAATTCATTTTATCTTTCAACATTGCAAGATTTTCAAAATCTTTAAATGCTAATTCAATCTTTTTTTTTGAATCAAATGGTGTCTATTATATAATAGGGTTGGTTATAGCATTTCTTAGAGCTAGGATGCTTTTTTGATTCACTTTTTCGCTAGCACTAATAATATTTTCAATTGGAATCTCTCTTGGTTTTGTTTCAAAGTGTGATTCAGTTGGAGAATTGAGAACCTTTAGCATTTCTTTTCTCAACTCTATCGGAATCTCCTTTCCATCTTTCCAGTTGCTGTATCTGGCGAACATCGCTGTTGCCGCTTTGAAATCCAGCGTCAAATCTGTTTGAAACAGTCTGTATATGTCCAAACAATCTCCTGTCATTGCTGAATCAAGCAGGGAAAGAGGTTCGTAAACTTCATCAGAAATCTTTCGAACAGATCTCTCACACATCTCAAGAAACTGTCTGTAACTCTCTTTGTAAAGAGATTGGACGCGGTGTAAAGTCAGTTTTGCCAAGAATTTGTAGCCTTTTACCGAAGGTGGCAAAATGCAAAATAAAACTGGGAATTCCAGGCACAAAGTAGCAGCGTAGTTAAGTGAGGCTGATGGAGCTTTTGAAAGAATTGTCCTGCAGTTCATTGCTGCGTGGATTGACCTGTGTTCTGTTTGGAGCCAACTTGACGTAATAAGATCAGCTGATTCTTTGTTGATGGCTGAGAAAGAATTCAGAACAAGTGTCGCTAACGATGATCTGATTGGAGATGCATCAACTAGAAAAGGAATAATTTGGAGTACCGCTGAATTGGGAACAACGCATGCAGTAGGAGTCTTGATGATGTTTACAAAATGAGCATAGAACGTTGTGTCATTTGATGGCTCATCAATCCACGAAATAATTTTCCCGAATAGTAAATCTGGGGGAATTTCGGTTGAATTAATGATGAATGAACATAATCCTATATCATTTGTCTTATTCCACATATCTATTAGAGTCGTTGATGATAAATTCTTTAAACATAGTTCGACTAATTTTGACGTTGTTGGAAATATCAATGAATGCTCACCAATTGATGGTGCTGCATACAATCCAAGGATTTCTAATACTTGCTCGTTTGTTGCTAGCTCTGGTGCATATTTGAAAGAAGCAGCTAAATATTGGCCTTTTGTTTTTGTATTTAATAGCAGATCATCAGGTGGATTTTTCCTTTCTAATATTAATTGTTGAAATAGTTCACTAAGGGATGAGATGTATCCTCTGATTTTGTCCATTATGATTAATTATTTAGAAGTTACTTCCCTTTGTCACTTTTTATTTCCTCCTAAAAGATTTTATTTTCACTATAAATTGAATACTTTACGAAAATTTCAGAGTAAAGAATTTTCACTCTCTTATTTCACTATTTGGATAATAATCAAAAAGAGTTGAAATTGAAAATAACGTATTTCTTAATGATTTTTTGAAAAGTTTACAAAAAATTTAAGAGAAAAAAGCTATGAAAGTTGTGAAGCAAATTGGGAAAGCAGGAGAAAAGAAATCACTTGTTAATGAGCTAATTTCGCTCAACCCAATATCATCAGTTGTTATTACCGAAACTCATCCTTTAGTAAATTTATATGATGATACGAACCCTCCTCCTCAACCTGTTGATCAATTTGCACCTTATTTATCTCGAAAAATATCAAGGAAACGTCAGGAGAAAATATCAAAGATTAAGGGCCCTCAAACAAAAGAATCCCCAACATTTGCTTTGACCGCCCAACGACAATCACGTGCGCACACCGCTATCGGGGGTAGGTATCAGCCCGATAATGCCTTACCACCCATTGGCCTATTTGATGATCGCCAAAAAACGCAACAAAATAGCCAAAATCTTCAATTACACCTCAAAATGGAAGAAACATTCGATAAAATTGCATCTTCTTCTGCAAGTGTTGCTTTACACAAGCTTGTAGAATCCACTCTCCAAATTTATTTTCTTGCTGACCAAGTTTTATATTTTCATGATATTTCATCAGTTAAAGTTCTCTATTGTCCATCCAATACAACAAGTTTTCCTCATGGAACTGGAATTGCCGGGTATACTCAGTTTACTCGTGAAATTGTGAACATTCCAATTGCTTCTGAGTATGCTTCTTTCAATCCTTTAAATGAATCAGCCCAGATAAAGAAAGACTCGCACATACTTGCTTTTCCGTTGTTTGATTTCTCAAACAATGTTAAAGCCGTTATTGAAGTAATCCGCAGCAAAGAATCTCCACTATTCAACGATAATGATATTAAATTTGCAGAATATTTCCAAAACAAGTGTAAGTTATACTCTCGATGGTTATTTCAACCACTTTTAGATGATACATTCGCCTCAGAACTAATTCAAACCTGCAGACTTAAGCAATTTGTTCAATTGATTACGGAAAAACTCACAAAGCTCTTTTTCTGCCGCAGGGCGGAGATATGGCGATACAATAGCCAAGATAACCAGTTTGTTACATTCACAATGTCCTCAGATTATCCTGTCACTGTTCCTCTTTCCGAGCTAGGCATTGCCGGCTATTCTCTAAGGCACGAAGTCCCGATTTCATGTGTTACCGCCAGGATTCACTCTGCCTACGTCGAAAAAGCCGATGGCAATGGCGATTACTCTGTTTTATCGATTCCTGTTCGCGATCCAGATAATAGGTATGTCTATGCCGTTGTCCTTCGTGGCAAACGCAATCCTCAATTTTTCACAGACAACGACGAAAAAATCTTGTCCCGCATCATTCCTTACATCATTGCCTCACTCAACAGCGCGTTTGTTGCAGAGAAGAACCACCATGACCTCGAGGATGCCATCCGCCAGCAGAAGAGACTCCGCAGCCTCCTTGAAGTTGCTGAGATCCTCTCAGGCGATTTACAGATTGACTCTCTGATTCCGAAGATTATGTCTCGCGCGTGCGACCTAGTCAAGGCCGACAGGTGCTCCCTCTTCATGGCGAACGAGGCGAAGGACAAATTGATCACAACATTCACTGGAGGCCTCAAGAACGCAATCGAAATTCCGTTCAACGCTGGAATTGTCGGATACACTGCAACGACAGGAGAGATTCTCAACATCAAGGACGCGTACGAGGACCCGAGATTCAACAGAGCGACGGACTTGAAGACTGGATACAGGACTCTGACACTTCTGTGTGTGCCAATTTTCGACCACAAAGGAAATGTCAGAGGAGTGACAGAGATGATCAACAAACTCGATGGAACATTTACAGAGGAAGACGTGAAACTCATACAGATCTTCAATGTCTTCACAGGAATCTCTCTAGAAAATGCCCAACTGTACAGAGCATCAATCGAACTCAGTGTCCAACTTAAGACATTCATGGATCTTTCTGTTTCAGTCACGCAGACGCAGGCTATCAAGAAGATCCTGGAAGACATCATCAAGAATACGAGGCAGGTAATTGGAGCTGTCACAGCAGAGCTTTATCTATACGAAGATGAAGGAATATCAGCGAAACCAGTTGTTGTCGACGAAGACATACAGACAAAGGTCGAGCTGTACGAAGAGAAGAAGAAGAAGGAAGACGATGAGAACTCGCTTGGAGTGAAGAAACTGATCATCAAACGTCTAATGGCTGGAAAGGACTCAAACGAGGAAGAAGTCAATTCAAACGAGAGCATGAAGAAGCAAGTCATTGAGAAAGCTCTCAACATCAAAACTGGAATTGTAGAGAACGACGAAAAACAGCCAGAAAAGTCACTGATGGTTACGCCAATTCTTGGTTCTGACAAATCAACATACGGCGTTGTTTTGATGCAGTGGAAGAAGAACCAACAGAAGTTTTCGATTGATGATCTAAGACTTCTCGAGTCTTACTCAGTCTTCTTATCTATTTCGCTCGAAAGGACGAAACTCAAATCAATCGCTCAGATGAACTCCAGCGAAGTTGAGATCCAAACTTGGCTGAATCCGAATGAAAGGAAACTCACACAAATACCACAGAAGCTCTCTCTGACAAATGAGGAGTCCAATTCTATTTTCTCATTTGATTACAACCCAGAGATATACAAAGGCATCGGATTCTTCAAGATCGTTTTCAGTTTGTTCAACTATTTCACCCTTTTGGACGAGTTTAAGATAAACGCAGAAACGATGTATCACTTCTTGCACAACTTGAGAGACAGCTATAATGTCGTTCCTTACCACAATTGGATGCATGCTGTAGATGTAACACAATTTATTGCAGTTCTAATCATCAAAACTGGTTTGGACAAAATTCTGACAAAATTCGAAATTTTGTCACTTTTAGTTGCAAGTTTGTGCCACGATGCGAACCACGATGGATTTAGCAACACGTACAACATCAATGCTCAGACTCCTCTCGGAATTTTGTTTAAGAACCAGTCAGTCATGGAGACTCACCACTGCTCTGTCTCAATCGGCATCATCACAAGGGAGGAGTGCAACATTTTCTCGCACATTAAGGAGAAAGAGATACAAAGAATGTGGCAGTACTTCATTGAATTGATCCTAAGCACAGATATGGCACAACATTTCATCTTCATTGATCGGGCCAAGAAACTGCTTGGTTCCCATTCTGAATGGTTCACAAGCCAAGAGAACCGACTGCTCGTGATGTGTCTTTTGATCAAAATTGCTGACATAAGTAACGTGGCAAGAAAGTTCGAAACGGCTGACAGATGGTGCGCCATTCTTTGCGAAGAATTCTTCAGACAGGGAGACTTGGAGAGAGCAAATGGAATGGCGTATTCTAGTCCAATGAATGACAGAGAGCACTTAAATAAGGCTGCATCGCAATTAGGTTTCTATAAAAATGTCTGCTTGCCTCTATTCGATATTGCTTCCCAGATCGTTGGAGGAATGGATGACGTTGTAGAACAGGTTAGATCAAATATGAAAGTTTGGGAAGAGAGAAAATAGAAATTGTGTTTTTTATTTATTTTGTTCATTATAAATATAATATGTTAAAAAAAGTATATTGAATATTTTGGCATGAATAATAAACAAACAAATATTTAAAGTTATAAATGTAATTACTTGGCAGATTTGTCGGTATTCCAAACAATTTGATTAGGCCTAATTAAATGGCATTCTCGTGGTATGTATGGCTGTTTATGAATTGGCTTCGGCTGTTGTTTATGGTATGGTTCTGGATCCAAATTAAAGTTAATTTTATCAATTGAATTTACTTGATTATTAAGTAAATTCATGGCTTTTTTTGTGGCTTCTTGTGAATATTCGACTTTTTGTTCAATCTTTTCATTTGTTATATCCTTTCTATCAATAATAGTTCTTAATCTTCTAAGATGTTCGGCTTCTGCTTTAATTCTAAGGTTTTTCCTAAATGTAAACCAATTTGACTGTATTCTAATGTTTTCCTTTTCTTCTTCAGCATCGCAAATCTGCTTTATCTTGCCTGCTTCACTATATCTTCGGCATAATATCAAAAAATCATGCTGCTTCTTGAGATTTAAATAATGAGGACTATAATTACGATGGTTTAATGGAATTTCACCTTCTGTTTCTCTGTCAAACTCTTCCATTTCCCTCTCAAAATTTTTATTTTCTTCGTCAATTAGCTTTTGCTTTACATCGTTATTTTGTTGGAGATCATCTTTAAGTTTTTGCTTTGCTTCGTTTAACTTGACATCTCTTTGCTCTAATTTGCAAATTAACTGATTTTTGGTGTCTAAATGTTTTAAAATTTTTTTTTTCGGTTCTATAATACTTGATGTATACTGTCGTAATTGTTCTTCTTGCGATGCTTCTTCATATTTTCCTTGTTGAATTAGCTTCTTTATTTTCTCTTTTTGGATTTGAATTATATCAGGCAAGATATCTGCTTGATGTGGATTAAATCGTTCACCATTTTCAATATCTTTAGATAATTCTTCTGGTGATTTGTTTTCTGAAGGTTTTGCATATTGAATAGAATTAGATTTGTTTCGAAGGCTCAGGATTATTTTTGGCCTATTAGATGATCTAACTGGTGATGTTGGAGCTGATTTTGATTCATCTAAGTACTGTAATGCTTTGTGAATCGATTTAACTACCTCGACTTGTCCGTCATTAATTGCGTTTTTCTTCATAATAATCAGAATTTCTTTGATCTTAGGATAATATTTAACTGGTATATTGTAATCATTTGCTTTTATTGTCAATAGCTTCCGCGTGTAACTCGCTAGGAGCTGAGATTCATCATCCATGAAAAAAATAACGTAGAATTGCAATTGAGCAAATAATGATGCTTTGGAAGTATATGAATAGTAACAAACAAAATATTTCATATAAAATTAGCTTGATAAATTTGATATTGGAGGTAAACATACTAAAAAATGTTTTACAGCATGAGGTTGCATCAACAGTGATTTTTGTAAAATGATATCATTTTCCAAACATTGTAAATTGAAAATAATAAAATAAGTTTTTAATAAATTTCAATTAAAAGCTGTAATAACTGGTTTTCTTTTAAAACTTTGGCCATGTGCATTCAATTGCATTTGTTGGTCTTTTAAGAGAGCATTCACCGCAAGAGTGGCATTTGCTCTTTGTGGCATTCTTCTTAAATTCGGCAACTATTGTTGGTTGCCTTATGAATGGCCTGCAAAGCGCAACAAAGTCAACTGTTCCATCTTTGACGATTTTCTCCATCATCGAGAACTGACGGAGTCCGCCGACAACAGCAAGAGTAGGATTTGGTCCAACAATTCGGCGGATTTCTTCTGTGTATTTATTATTGTATCCCTCGTAAAATGGAAATTCTGGATCGGCTTTTGAAGCAGTCTTTTTGATTTTGACTTTTTGTTCTTCGGTTGCATTTCTTGTCATCGACTCTTCGTTTGTTCTGGAGCGAATGGATGTCATTTGGTTCAGAACTCCGCATGTAATTTCGAACATTTGGACATCAGGTAACTTCATGATGTACTTCGCCGCAAGCTCTGGAGTAACACCTCCTTTGATGCAATCGTGTCCGTTGATTTTTACAGAAATTGCAAAATTCTTTTTGACTTCCTTCCTTATGTTCTTCACAATTTCATGTACAATGCGAAGTCTGTTTTCGTCATCACCTCCCCAACTATCTGTTCTCTGGTTAAGTGCTGGAGAAAGGAACTGTGAAAGTAGATTTCCATGGCCGCAATCAATTTGGACACCATCAGCGCCCGTTAATTCTGCAATTTTTGCAGAATTAACAAAATCATTGATTGTGTCCTCAATTTCAGCTTCTGTCATTGCTCTAGAGTTTTCTCCATAAGGAGATGGGCCGAGCATTAGTTCATTTGGACGACGGATTGAAGGAAACTTATGACAACCTGCATGGGATATCTGGAAAAAGAACTTTGTTCCAAGATTGTGAAGTTTCTTAATTGGGTATTGCCAAGAAGTAGCCTGTGATGGTTTGTTTAAGCAAAGCTGATTCCTTCTCCTTCTTCCTGATGGATTAATATAGGTGTAACCTGAAATTATAAGCCCAACTTCATTTTCTGCCAATTTTTCGTAATGTTCAAATAGTTGCTTTGTTGGATTGCCATCCTGGTTTACCAAGTTACTCCATGTTGCAGATCTGTTGCATGCTAAGTAGTGTCAATGATAGAAATTGAGAGCATATTAATCGTCGAGGAAGTACGATTATTTTTTGGGCGAAAAAGTATCTTAAAATATGATTATTAATATGTTTTTAAAATAAAAAATTTGAAAGTTAATTTGAGATTCTCATATAATTTTTTGAATGAAAAAAATAAATATAGTCTATATGAGTTTTTGAATAATCACACTTGAGATATATCTAAAAAATAATTAAAAATAGAGTTTGAGAAGACTTTTTGTTATAGACCGAAAATAGATTTTTTCGGTTTTCTCTTCAAATAATTGAAAGAATGATACTATTATAGGTTTATTATATTATATAGCATATAATCATGCTATAGCCGAAAATTATAAGTTTTGAGAAGATTGAATATAACACAAATAAATTTGAATGTAAGTTAAATTGCTTGTTGTTTTTAATAGCTATTTAATGAGAAATCCAATATTGCAAAATTCAAATTGAATGATTGAAAGAACAGAAAAAGTCATTCTTTTCAATTTCGAATATGTTTCATTGTATTTATAATTATATGGCAAATAAGATATTTAAACTTGATTTTTGAAGGAAAATTCACAAAATTGAATAAATTCAAATAATTTTTATTCAAAAATAAACTAGTTATTTGAGTTTAATACTAATTATCTATTCAAACTACAAAGTTTGTAATTTAAAATATTTTGTGAGATCAGATTAAATTAATTCAAGGTTCTTTTCAATTAATATTAATGACCATATTACGCATTTTCGAACATTCTAAACCAAATATATAAAAATGGGAGACGAATGTTAAATTTGCTAGACATGGGGGAGTTGTCTGCAAAGTTTTAGCTCTTATCTCTAACAAAAAATTAATTTTTAAAAAAAAGACCGAATACGTTTCACAGCGAGAAAAAAATAAAAGGCAAGATAGAATTTTCTAGACATAAAGAAGTTGTTTACCGAGTTTTAGCTCTTATCTCTAACAAAAAATTAATTTTTAAAAAAAAGACCGAATACGTTTCACAGCGAGAAAAAAATAAAAGGCAAGATAGAATTTTCTAGACATAAAGAAGTTGTCTACCAAGTGTCAGCTGTTACTTCTTCTCAATACTGATATAAAATAAAAATCTTTATTATTTATTTAACCTTTATTGTTTCATTATACTTCATTTATTTTATATTATAGTTTTATTCTTTTAGCTACTTGTAAAATAATCTAATTTTATATCATCATTTTACCGGATTATTCTTCAGTACATCGATTGTGTATCTAAAATAATATCATTATCCTTATTCTGTTTTTCCAAAATTCTTTTAAATATCTTTTTTGGTTAGATTACTTTATACTTTTTACTTTTATTTTTTTAATTTCAAAAAAATTTGGTGATTGTTCTATTCTGTTACAATGTGCATTATCATATTCTAATGAATTATTCATTACATACATTTAAAAAAACTTGTTAAAAATGAAATTAAAAAATTATGTTTATTATTACGCTGTGAATGTGTCAACAGCGGTCATGCCTGTATCTGTATCCCATATTTGCCACAACCTTTCTGTATCTGCATTTGTGTATTTCGGTTTCAGCTGATACATTTGATTTGGCGTGTAATTTGTTCCAGTTAATGGATTAATTGGGAGATCTTCATGCGGTGTGTTATTATTGTACTCCCAAATAAAGGCAGGAATAGCCTGAATGCTTTGGCAGCGCTCCAATGTCGGCCAGAATCTCTCAATCTTCCCATTTTGGTAGGGAGAATGAGAGTCTGTATGCCGCCATTGGACGCCCCAAAGATCAAGTAGATCTTGAAAGGCGCCCCTATTTTCTGAACCGCTGTCGGTCCAGAAACAATAAGGGGCGCCAAATTCAATGAAGGCGGAAGCCGCAACGTTCGCTGTCGTCTCTGCCAGCATATCTGGTATTTGTATACACGCTAGGACTTTGCGGCTAAAATCGTCGATTATGCCATAAATATACTGGCCACGAACACCCCTAAAATAATGAACATCTGCGTGCCAGATAAGATTGAGTGAAAGCGCCCAATATCTTACTGCTGTTTCTGGCCCGGCATGCTCTAATCGCGTCTTGGTGAAATGATTTTCTTTGAAGTATCTGCGTACTTCTCTATAAGATACATCAATTTGTTGTAATTTCAAACGTTTCCATTGTTTTGTTTGACCACAGGGAAAGGCCCAGTGGTCATGTATCACAGCAAGAGCTTTGATTTGGTCGTAGGGATTGACCCTACGACCTTTCTTGCCTTTAGGCAATGGGATATTCTGTAAGCTAATTGATTTTGTAAAAAGATTTTGAAACATCTAAATATTTGAAATCATTTGATTGAAGGGTTGGGGCGATGGGAACATGGGTGCAAGCTTCTTCCCATGTCATTTTACCTTCTTCAATCTGATTGGAAATACCAATTAGGTAAATTCGATCGACATACCCTTTGTAAGGATTCATTTTAATGAAGTACGTTAACAATCAAAATATTCTATAAGTGTCTAGTATGGAATTCAAAAGAATAAAGAAAATAGTAACGTAAATAAACGTATTACGAAATAATTTATAATTAAAATGAAAAAAAGTAAGAAAAATAATAGTGTAAAGTTGACTGGTTAAGATGAAAACTCGAAAACTTCAGTGTACAGTTTTATTTTTTTCTCGCTGTGAAACATTATTCGTCATTTTTTTTAAAAATTAATTTTTTGTTAGAGATAAAGCTAAACTCGGTAAACAACTTCTTTATGTCTAGAAAATTCTATCTTGCCTTTTATTTTTTTCTCGCTGTGAAACGTATTCGGTCTTTTTTTTAAAAATTAATTTTTTGTTAGAGATAAGAGCTAAAACTCGGTAAACAACTTCTTTATGTCTAGAAAATTCTATCTTGCCTTTTATTTTTTTCTCGCTGTGAAACGTATTCGGTCTTTTTTTTAAAAATTAATTTTTTGTTAGAGATAAGAGCTAAAACTTTGCAGACAACTCCCCATGTCTAGCAAATTTAACATTCGTCTCCCATTTTTATATATTTGGTTTAGAATGTTCGAAAATGCGTAATATGGTCATTAATATTAATTGAAAAGAACCTTGAATTAATTTAATCTGATCTCACAAAATATTTTAAATTACAAACTTTGTAGTTTGAATAGATAATTAGTATTAAACTCAAATAACTAGTTTATTTTTGAATAAAAATTATTTGAATTTATTCAATTTTGTGAATTTTCCTTCAAAAATCAAGTTTAAATATCTTATTTGCCATATAATTATAAATACAATGAAACATATTCGAAATTGAAAAGAATGACTTTTTCTGTTCTTTCAATCATTCAATTTGAATTTTGCAATATTGGATTTCTCATTAAATAGCTATTAAAAACAACAAGCAATTTAACTTACATTCAAATTTATTTGTGTTATATTCAATCTTCTCAAAACTTATAATTTTCGGCTATAGCATGATTATATGCTATATAATATAATAAACCTATAATAGTATCATTCTTTCAATTATTTGAAGAGAAAACCGAAAAAATCTATTTTCGGTCTATAACATTTGAGAAGACTTTTCAAGGTGTAATGAAAAGTGTGATATAGAAAATAATTATAGATATTTTAATTTTATATACTGTGCTAAGCATTATATTAAATTTTTAGGAAAAACACTTTTCATAAGTATTCAATATTTGAAAATACGCTCCAAAAAAGAATAGATTCTTTTATATTCGCTTATATAAAAGGAGACTCTCTATCAGATGCGAATGCCTGAATTCAGCACCTCTGATAGAGAGTTTCCTCTTATATAAGCAAATCTTTTTCATTCGTTTTGTTAATATAAAAACATCAAAATCTACCAATATGAGAAATTAAACCCTGCGAGGCACCAGTCTAAACTGGCACTTCGCAGGGTTGAATTTCTCTTGACAAAATACAATAATCAAATGCTCCAAAGTTTTCAAATTTTATTAGGAATAGGAGCCTACAAAGCACTGATTATATATCAGTGCCTGGTAGGCTCCTATTCCTTCTCTAAATGGGAGAAACTTTGTTTGAATAAGATAACATGCGAACAAAGTTTCTCCCATTTAGAGTGGGATTTGGAGGGTGGAGGTACATAGATAGACTATGTATCTCTCACCCTCCAATTCCCTCGGGAAAGTTCGAAAACTCGGTCGCAATCAGATGCAATTGCGACCGAGTTTTCGAACTTTCTATTAGGAATAGGAGCCTACAAAGCACTGATTATATATCAGTGCCTGGTAGGCTCCTATTCCTTCTCTGAAGCTGGGAAATTTTGTCTGAATAGTTTAACATTTGGACAAAATTTCCCAGCTTCAGAGAAGGAATTGGAGGGTGAGAGGCATATAGGCATACTATATACCTCTCACCCTTCAATTCCCTCGGGAAAGTTCGAAAACTCGGTCGCAATCAGATGCAATTGCGACCGAGTTTTCGAACTTTCTATTAGGAATAGGAGCCTACAAAGCACTGATTATATATCAGTGCCTGGTAGGCTCCTATTCCTTCTCTAAATGGGAGAAACTTTGTTTGAATAAGATAACATGCGAACAAAGTTTCTCCCATTTAGAGTGGGATTTGGAGGGTGGAGGTACATAGATAGACTATGTATCTCTCACCCTCCAATTCCCTCGGGAAAGTTCGAAAACTTTGGTGCAATCAGCAACGATTGCACCAAAGTTTTTGCGTTTAATTGAAGGAATTGCTCTTTATGATATATACAGTTACAATGCATATATCATAAGGAGCAATTCCTTCCAGATATCTGGCAAACTTGCTCGCAATGGTTCACAATTGCGAACAAGTTTTGTCATTTGTCAAGAGAAATTAAACCCTGCGAAGCGCCAGTTCTAGACTGGCACCTCTCAGGGTTTAATTTCTCATATTGGTAGCTTTTTATGTTTTTATATTAACAATAACTCATGAAAAAGATCCGCTTATATAAGAGGAAACTCTCTATCAGAGGTGCTGGATTCATGCATTCGCATTTGATATAGAGTTTCCTTTTATATAAGCAAATATAAGAGAATCTATTTTTTTTTTGGACCGTATTCTCAAATATTGAATACTTATGAAAAGTGTTTTTTTCTAAAAATCTCAGAATATATTTACAATAGTAAAATAAATAAGATATTTAAATTTATTTTTAAATGCTTTTTTTTATATGAGATTCTCAAAAGTTATATCAAAAGTCTGTTTTTTCTAAAATCTAATATCATAATCTATTTCTCATTTTAAGTACATCTTAATTCATTTTATTTTCTATATTTTTTCAATATTTTTGAGGGAATTGTGTTGCTTCCCCGACGATAAAATTGAGAGGTTTACACATTGACACTACTTAGCATGCAACAAAACGTCTCTTATTTTTGTAATACCTTCTTAGGGATTTTCTTTTCAATCTTCTTTCCGCTCTTTAATTTGAATTTCAATTTACCAATAAATGAAACGGCTGTATTAGCGGCTTGGAATTCGCGTAACTTTCTCCTGTCTTGCAAAAATGTTAAAACCTTACCTCTAGATGTTCCTAATGCTGCATCTTGAGGACTATTTATCCAAGGATGCTTCAAAGCTTTTTCAGCAGAAAATCTTTTTGAGGGATCAACAACTATAAGATTTTTGATAAAATCTTTAGCTGTTTCTGAAATGGAATCAAAAGCTTCAATAAATTTAAATTCACCAGAGCAAATTTTCTTAAATAGATCGTAATGTGTCTCGCCATTAAATGGTACTTCGCCACATAGCAATAAGTATGTCATAATTCCAACACTCCACATATCGCAGCTATAATTATAACCTTTGGCTTTAATTACTTCGGGAGCCATAAATATAGGTGTTCCCGCGCATGAATGGAGAAGGGACCCTTCAATTAACAACCCAGAGAGACCAAAATCTGCTAATTTTGGATCTTTTGCTGCTGTATCTGCAAATAAAATATTTTCTGGCTTGATATCTCTATGAACTATCCCATTTTTATGTAAATATACTAAAGCTGTAAGGAGATGTTTAATTATTGACGCAGCATCTATTTCATTGTAAGACTCATTATCAAGCAGGTGTTCATATAGTTCTCCACCTTTAGCAAATTCCAAAACAAGAGCAACATGATATTTATCTGCAAAAACCTTATAGAGTTTAATAATATTCGGATGTTGAAGTCGTAATTGTATTTGCACTTCGGCCCAAATACGTTGTGGATTTGCAGCTTGTGTTCTATCTATAACCTTAACTGCATATTCCTTATTATCTTTCTTTCCTGTTGCCTGAAAAACTTCAGCGAAATAACCTGCTCCGAGTTTTTGTTCCATTTGAAATTCGTTGCGGAATTCACCAAGTGGGCGTATGTGAATCTCATCCTTTTGAAGGGGTTCACCATCAGCATCAGCGAAAGCAACGGACATTTTGTAAATTTAATGAAAAACAATAGTTGCAATAAATAATTCAAAAACAAAAATAGTTGCAATAAATAATTCAAAAACAACAAAAAGGGGGGAACTCATTTTTTGGACCAAAAAAGTGGCACCTAAGTATATTGTTTCTGCTTTATCTGATCATTGAAACGGAATTGATCCACGTTATTAGTATGAAACAATGATATACTAGGGACTAAAGAATATTAATATTACAAAAACCCAATTATTCGATGTTCAACTCCTAATATCTTGCATTAAAGTTGATACCTTCATTTTTTCGAAATATTACAACAGTAGCAACCTTGTGTATTACCAATGATAGCCAAAGTACTATTTTGGCATAAAAAATTTAAAACGATATTAAAACAACAGATTGACTAGTCATTCTGATATAGTATCATGCATACTATAATGTGATAAAATCTCAAATATCTTAGCTTAAATTCCGTTTGATTATGAGATACAGATCTAATGTTGCTTGTTTTGTAGCCATATTCACTAACTGATAACATTATTATGATAAGAAGACTAAGTGTGCGAGTTTAATATACATTTGATTCAGATTTATTATCGATAATCAAATCACAATATATATCTTGAACTCATCTGTGAATAAAATCATGATATTATTGATTGTTTACTAGATGTTTACAAAATATTCTAAACATGTGAAGATAATCCTTAATTTGAACCAGAAATAATTTTAAATTACTAACAATGGATGGTTATCTATATAGAACAATATATCATTTTTGATAGTAAACTATAATTGATTTATAATTTTGGAATGTATACTTCTTTTCTATATCTTTGAAAAATAGTTATATGATTTTGCTGTATAATTTATATATTTTAGTAGAAAAATTTTAGAATAACAAAAATAAGAAGGTTTTATCGATTTAAAACACAATGAAAATGGTTTATTTCTCTCTAAATTATAAATTTTCAAAAAATTAACCTCATTTTTCCAAAAAAAAATCGAGAATTGAAAAAAAAAGTTATCATTTTCTAAAAAATTGCTTAGGCTTTTTCTAAAATGGAAAAAATTTGGAGAAATCCACCAAGGAGAACTTCATTCTAGGTGTCCAAAGCAATAGCTGTCAGTCAAAAAAGTCTCGAAATTTTTAAAGATTGATATCGATTTTCATCAATCACTTAAAATCGATTGTTTGCAGTCGATGTTATCACATATTATTAAATTCTAATATACTTGAACATACTACAAATCGTTTTTGAAACTTATCAACATTTCGCTCAATTTAACAATACTCCAACTCTCATACACAGTTCCCATTACCACAGTCTCATTTTAATTAGAAATGATTAATAAAATCTAAGATCTAACGATTTATTTACCCAATTCGAAAAATATTCTTAATTATAAATCATTATTTGTTCATGTTTTATATACATATGTAGAAAGAAAAACGAGTAAAGTGTTACTTCAAAAAAAATACCTGAAAGCACCCTAATCAATAAACAATTTACTTTTTTAGCATCGAATTTTGCTCGTCTTGAGCAATGTTTTTCATTTGATTTTCATAATACGATAAAATATATGCGTTATTAAGTAAAATATGGGTATTTTAAAAGATCATATAATATATCTCGAAATCAAACGGAAGCCATTCTATGAGTCCATACACACTATTACTATACTTCATATGTCAAGCATAATGGGAACAATTTTGGTCGATACCTTTGTAGCCGACGAAGTTCCCCCCTTTTAAACAACAAACATAGATTGAATAAGGATTTTGCTAAACTTTATTTGTCATTTCTCATTCAATTTTTGAAGTTGAGATAATCGGATGTTATACCCATAACTAGTTTCTTTTTTTTTATTTATTATTATTTCATAATCTACCCAGATTTTCCTTACTTTTACCACTCCCCATGTAATTTCTGGGGAAAACGATAATTCATTTTTTTTATGGATGAATAGATCGTTTTCCTAGAAAGGACCTCATATCTCTGGCTAAAAAGAGTGTCAGATCCTAAATAGATTATTGATCTAGTGTACAAATCCAATAAAAAGCCTATTTTTTTGGCTTTTTTGGTGCTCATTTTTTCGAAGATCTACATGAATATGGGGAAACCATCGGATTTTTTTGGTTAACCAACATCTTCATGTAGTCTGGACTATCTTTCCTCGAAGGACCTCTTTACGGGTGTAAAAACTCATAAAGTTCTCAAAAGATTCATTCTCGATCTCCATGCTGAAAGAATTTACAATAAAAAAGAGATCTACGCATCAAACTACAGCCATAAATGAACTGAACCCCTAAAGCTCAGCTCTTAGTTTATCAAAAACGTCGAAATCCTTCTCATTGCAATCAAATTTTCTCAATAACTCATAAGAAAAATCGAATTTTGATTAAGCCGATGTTATAGGTATCACAAATACTACAAACTTGAGCAATATCGAAATTGCCAGCAAAAGTTTGAAATTGCATTGCTCATATTTGTTTTGTAAACTAAAAATCTGCTTATATTATTCATTAATTTTTTATATATTATTCATATACTTTAATAAAAACAATACTATTTCACCTTAAAAATGAATTTCATAAGTCAATATTATTTTTTTGAAAATGTATCAATTTTCGATTAAAACAACATGAGAATAAAATTTACGCAAAATTATTTTAAAAAATGGTTTTAAAAATTTACAATTGATTAAGAATAAGATTGCAAGAAGTTTTGAAGTTTAATTTTAAGAAAAAAAATTCGGATATTATTCATGGATCTAAGTAATCTGATATTTGAGTATCGGCACTATGCATAAAACATATATTTATAGTTTTTTTGGATTTTTATGATTTTAAATATATTCAAATTTGGCAATCCAATAGATTTTTAAAAAATAGGTAAATAAAAATAGATTACATATGCAGCAGATTTAGAACATGAAACAAATCTTATAGTGACCCAAAAAAAATTCATGATCCAAAAAAGAAAAAAATTAGCTAAATGAGAATCAAACCTTAGCATAATGAATTATTATGTCGGATGTTTCCACTACACTACACCGGCAGTTCGGAAAATACCCTTGGTGGTTCTATTTAATAGTTACTCCCAACGATAGGCGGTGTCCCCAGCTTTAGAGGGGTGGTAAAAGTAAGGAAAATCTGGGTAATTCAAATTAATGCAACAACCACTAAGTTTCACCGAAACCCCAATAGATCCAAGTTTAATGGCATATATCCAGATTATCCTCAAGAACAAAGTCTATTCAAGTCAAGACATTCTTCAAACACAAAACAAAACACGTAAAGATCTTGAAGGACTGTTTTATTCACTGATTGAAGAATCGGAAAGGAATCAACAATTCTTCAGTTTCGTTTACAAAGATTACCAATTGAGCGCTTTTGTCAATGCAATTGGAAAATTTATTTATAAAGAGCTAAAAAGTATGCAATGCCAAATGTCATTAAAAAAAGCCGAATATTATTCGAATGCGGCAAGAAAAATCAACGAATTACTATATTATATTAAATTAAATAACGATAATGAAGCTGCTCTCAAGTTTAATACTGTGGAATTTAAGCGCAATGTTGAACATGAGAGTAGCCAAGATCCAAATGTGCTTCAATTATTTAATCAAATATGCAAGCTTGATATTTTTGGTAATTTTAATCTATACGATGAAGCTCCTGATATTTCAACTATGGTTCACTATATTGAGGATTTCTCAAAATTTTCAAAAGAACAAATTGAGTATTGTCCACCTACTGATTTCGATATTTACTTAGAGCAATTTCTTATCAGCGCGAACTATTATCCAGCAATCTCAACTCTTGCCAAACAGTTTGTTCAAGATTTCAAAAACCCAGAAATTAAACTTGTAAAAGTCAGCACAAATGATATTTATAAGCTTTCCAAAGAAATACTAGATGATGTAGGTATATCTGGAAACTCTCTGTCAAGTATTTTACTTCAATCTTCAATGTATAGATTTTTTTTCAACCTAATTGCCTCTGATTTAGATATTTTCAATGTAAGTTTAGAAGATTTTGAACTTTTTTCTGATAAATGTTCAAAAATAAAGAAATTTACTGCTCGCGATTTAAGATGTAGTGAGAATCATATTCCAAAAGGATATCTAGATACTCCAATAGAGCAGCTTGTCCAATCATTTCAAGAGTACAAAGATATTTTACAATTAATTGAATCCACTCAATTTCTTACAAACCCTTTTGATATCTTATGGACTCTTAATTCCAGTTTCAAGATTTTGGAAGCTATTGGGGAAAAGTCATACAAAGAAAACACAAATAAGCCAGAAAATTCAGAATCTACTCTGGCATTCGATGACTTTTTCTCCATATTTTGGCCAACAATTGCTGCTTCTCCAAACCCAACACTTTATATTTTCTCAGAAATAATGGAAAAAATAACTGGAATTGACTTAATTAACTTTTCCTTTCCAATGACATTAATTGGCTCAACAATACACTACATTAAGGAGTTTGACAAAACAAAATAGCTTTGTTTTAAATAACAAACAAAAAATTAAAATTCAATTTTGACCAATTTGGCGAAGCCGTTTTGAAATATTTGTGGTGTCCGTAATCAACGAGTCTCGAATCTTTTGCATCTCATCATTAGGCAAAACATCTAATCGGCGCCCACAATAATTCCTTGGCTGAGTCCTGGATCTGAAATTGGTGATTATTTCTGGTGGTTGCGTGTATGCCATTGGAACAAAATCAGGTATTTGATTCATTGGCTGGGAGGAATTAGAGTATGTTGGAATTGTAACATTTATTTGATTCGAAGGCTGTTCTGCATATGTTTCTGCAGTGGGTCTATTTATAGTGCGAGGTTGCTGCGTTGTTTCATAAGACGTTGGTTGATACCTTGGTGCATCATCGCCAAAAAGAGATGAGCTCATGATCCTCCTTTTGTTATCAACGGCTGTAGCCATCGCTTCGCTACCAATGCTACGTGCCTGAGTGTTCATCACCCAAGATTGTGCCATAATCTTTTAAATCTGTTCTTGTCTGTTATATGTCACTTTTATGGGATTTTCGATCTTTATTAAAATCACATATTTTGAATGTATATATATAAGCTTGTCCAGAATCTCCAAAATAAAAAGAATCAGCGCCACGAATCTCCGAATTTGGCGATTTTTAGGAATTTTTATCAACTCCGCTGGATTTTTGATTTTTACCCCTTTCTAAGTATTTTTTAATTATTAAAAATTATTGCCGTTTTCTCATTAATTTTGTATATATTTGTGATATTTACACGGATACATTATAAAATATCATCTGATATTAGTAGCATGTATGGGGAATATAAATTTGAACAAATCTAATAGTAAATACAGGACTTACACTATGCATAATATTATAAAATATAATTAATTCATGAATATGAAAGAATTTCTTTGCGATTTCCAAATTGAAGATCATTCAAGTACATTGACTCATTTCCCTATATATATTATATGATAAAAGATATAGCATATTGTATGTATATTGTATTAATTATAATTAGAGGCAAAAATAAATCACCGGAGATTTTTTTTCATAACTTTTTCCGATCTCCTCTAAGTATGATAAATGAAATATTTATGTATTAAAATATATCTTTTATTACATGGCAGCGAGTGCGGGACAAATTTGCCAAGTGTCACTTTTCAATAACCTTAAATCACACTTTCCTAATTTTTTAAAAATAACCTTAAATTAGATTTGAAGAAATTATGTCTATGATATATGTTTTATGCTAGAATCTTGGAGTTTTCATGCACTACTCAAGAGCTCCAAGGTTCCAAGAGTGAATGCTCAATAGCAATTATAGAGATGTACCTTTTCAAAATGACTTTTACTGATTAAATTTAATCAATAGAAGACATTTTGAAAAGGTATCTCTACAATTAGATATACAAGAGATTCAAAGCTTCATTTCAGATAGATTTGAAACTTTGAAACTCTTGGTAGATTTTGAGTGAATGCTGACAATCATCTTTGAGAAGGTTTTCTTAAAGAAAACCTTCTCAAAGAGGTTTCTCAGGAGCCCTGAGGCTCCCTTTCGTAATGATTGGGAGCCTTGGGGCTCCTGAGACGAAGAATGGCTTCGCCGAATCTTTGATCAGCAGAGGCCAAATGAAAAGGCCTCTGCTAATGGATTCTCAGGAGCCCTGAGGCTCCCTTTCGTAATGATTGGGAGCCTTGGGGCTCCTGCAGCAGAGTATCGCTCCGCTCCATTAATTTTTTTTAAAAAAAGTGCCGTGTGGCAAATTTGTCCTGTTCCCCATGGCAGCTCGGGGAAATGAAAATTTTTTATCGAATTAATTTTGCCTATTTATATAGCAATATAAACAATAGTATTATTCACCATTGCTTGTAAATGTGTTAATTATGTCATGTATAATATTAGGTATTATTATTTTAGTAAATTTGCATGTTATTTATTGCAGAAATAAAGAAATGATGATAATTCTTTTGTTTCATAATGTACAAAAACTATATATTTGGTAGATACTATGCATTTCACATCAATATAATAACAAATTTTTAAAATATACTCATATATTCGCACTAGTTGTAATCTATGAAATATAATGATAGTGCTTTAAAGATGTAAACAGATAAATGCGCAAAAAAATAAGAAATAAAAAATAATAATAAAAAATAAGAAAGAAAAAGGGGCCCTTTTGGAATTGATTGCCTCTAACTATAAATTGATGTGCATTTTGGCCGAGGACGATTTATCGCCCGAGGCCCGAAATTTTTTGAAAGAATCTCCGGTTCTGGCGAAAAATCACCGGTCCGACAAGCTTAATATATATTTACATTTAAAATTCAAATGGATATATGAATAAGTTGTAGACACCGAAATAAGTTGTAGACAGAGGATTTGTTAAAGCCAAATGATTATAAACAACATAATAGATGCCAAATTCATGATTTAGCAAAAAATGTTCAATATCATTTCAAAATTTGCAAAAAAAAAATTTAAACACTAATAAAACTAGTTTATCACATTAATTTAACTAAGAATCAATCTTTATTCATTTACAAATCCATTTTAAGATGGAATAAAATTTAATAATTTTAATTTTTGTGCTTATGAAGGTATAATTTAATATTCCTTTTTGTAATTATTCGCTAAATATACTTTGATACCTAATTCAAGTACTTCTTGCAGTTATTCACCAAGGAAAAATTAGCATTTGTATGAATTACCAGAGATGCATAAGTTTACATCTCTGGCTCATTCACAAACCTTGGATGCATATGCATTAGGAATGGAAAACTGGATGGAACAGGAGTGACAATCTTCGCTTTAGCTGAACCGTCATTGCTAACGAAGTAATTGAGAGTCAGTGATAATGGTACTTGTGGTGCTCAACCGCAGGCCTCGACACAGATGAAAAATGAATAATTTTAAACGGCAATAAAAATATAAAACGGCTATATTTTGAATTTCCTTGATTCCTTATTAAAACATATTGTTAATTACTAATAAAGCAATTTTTGATTAAATAATCACATTTATTTCGATACAACAAAACAAAATAGATAAAAATAAATAATGCAGCAAGGTCCGGAAAGACCTAAAAAATCGAAATGATGGAGTGGAATTTTGATATAACTCATTAAATGAAAATTATGAGATAACATTTTCCGAGATATAGAGAAACTAGTATTCAGGTAGCTCGGACATATGAGCAGTATCTATTTTTGGAGAAAACTCCAAAAGTTAAAGTTATGATTTACTAAATAGAACAAATATGATAGAAATAAGTAGCTGAAAAGGAGCATCACTTGATATGGTAAACAAGTGCTTATTCGTAAGTTTCTGCAATTTATGTGTGAGGAGAAATAGTGCGTGATTTGGACGAACGTTTAAATGCTTTTAGAGAAAATAGTTGAAGAGTTCGTAGTTCCTAGTGTGAGTATGTTATGGTTGCATTAGAGATTTTGAGTTGTAATGCATAACGGTTGGAATAATTTCTGATGATTTAAAATAGATTCGGTTTAAGCGTCAAGATATGTAGTTATGTTGCATACCCAATCATTTAAGCCACATATCTTGTGATTGCAAGCGTGTGGAGTCTTCGTTTGTACTCACTAAAAATGGATTAAAAAAAAATTTGACTATTATTCACCTTAGGGCAAGCAGTTTACAACTTTTTTACAATTTTTTTTATATGTATCATTGGCTACTTTTCCACGCTTCCAGAATTTAAAAAGGATATGAGGAGGAATATTCAAGCCCCATTTTCAATCCATCCATTTTGAATTTATTCTTTTGAAATCGCCCATTTTAAGTAACATTTGCAAGAAAGGAAAGATATTCATTTAACATGAGATGCAAAAGCATGAATACAATCTAAGACAGCTTCATAAGTGGCAATTGCCGCCGCCGCAGTTCCAACAATGAACATTAGTAAACATAAAACATTCTTCCAATGATACCATCTTCTCTTCGAAATGAAAACATACATCAGTGGTGGCAGCACTAGGTTAGATACACCCGCTCCAAACGCTCCACCAATTCCCATTGCAGGCCTGACGTTCGGCAAGAAAATTGCAACTGCAAGGGGTAATATATTCTGGCAAACGAGTACTATTGCTCGGTGTTTCCACAGAAGGGCGGCATGATTTTCCGTTTTGTAGAGCCATCTACTAAATACTGCAAGAATTGTTACTCCTAGAGCCGGATAGGAAGCTGTAAGCACAATTAGGCAAGCTACCCTAACAATTATAAAGAGAATATCTGTATCTGGGAAGTTAGATAAAATAAACGGCTTAGAACCGCTGCCAAAGATGAGATAACCCAGAAGTCCGGGTATTAAAGTAATAATAAATGATAAGAAAAATGCAATCCCAACCGCTTGATATCTCTTATGCAGTGTTGGTTCCATATTTCTAATTATCGGGATGATTACACCTGCGAGAGCAAATGCAAGAGAGTAAATACCAAGGGCGTTGAATAGCTTAATTCCAAATACCGAAGTTTCAACGCTTGGGTTAATTCCATTAGAAGGAACGATAGTAAAGAATTTGTAAAAAATACCAATCACATAGGTAACTAAAGCTGCAAAGCAAAACGTCGACGTCATGTTGAGGAATTTTATCTCTTTAGGAATAGTTAATGCAATCGGAAGTACAAACGCGTATGCAACTACCACAAGTGATCTTTTGCCAAAAGTATCTGTCTTTACTCCCATTAAATTGAGCCAGCCTTGTATAATTTCGGCGCTCATTATTAGATATGCAGTCATACAGGCGTAGCAGAAACAAAGAAGTGAAACCGAGAGTAGGTCTGAGCCCACTTTTCCGACTGTAATCTGTGCTAAATATCCGATTGATTCTGAGTTTGATATTGCTGCCATCTTGATAACTAAAATAGTAGATATATATGTGAAAATCGCAGAAAATGTTATCATTAATATTGATGGAATTACACCACAAAAAGTTAATGAGTTTGCAATGCTAAAAATTCCTGCCCCTAAAACACAATTTAGAATATTCATTACCATAGGCATTAAGCCAACATAGTTTATTTTTATATTTATATCGGAAGGGGATGTGCTGGTATATAGAGTCTCCGTATCAGCCAAATCAACTTCCACCATATATTTTTATGATGATAATTATTTTAACGATGGAAGCTCTCAAATTTCCTATCATGACTTTATATATTTATTTTATTAATGAGCTGCGTGGACATACTATTGCTTGGATGAATTTGCTGAACAAAAGGTACTACAGTAGTTTGCCAATCTAAATTCTTTGTTCCTTGGGAGCTCAAAATTGCCTAAACTCAAAATAAAAAAGTTTCGGTGAACCTCAGAAAAATAAAAAAAAGAGAACAACCCCTTACAATTTTTAGGAGAAAAAACAAAAGGATTCTGCTTAATAAAGTAGAATTCAACAATATACAAGCTCTTTATCAATTCGTCCTCTCAAAAAATTGAAAGGAGAATTTCGATGATAAACATTAATACTATAAACAATATAATAATTAAATTAAACATAAAATTAAGTGAAAATTTTAAAGTTTTCATTTGAGAGTGCTTTTGTGTCAGGAGGTCAAACACTATAGTAAATAACACTCTAGAAATCATAACAATGTAATTTTGAACAAGATTTAAGGTGGTAGGTTTGAATAGTTGTAAATTTTTTATAAAATTACTTTTTCTCCATATTGCGGCAATATTTTTGGACAATCATAAGTGCTATGAGCACAGTCATAGTCAGAGTAGGTACTGACAAAGTTCCGACGATCACACTATTCTACGCATGTTTGTCAGTTACTAACAAAAAAATTACTTAAAATCGAATCAAGTCATTAAATACAAAACTCGAGTTTGCGAAAATGGTAGAAATGATCATTGCAACTATTTCTCCATAAAAATAGGAGAACAGAATTTTAATACACAAGTAGTAGGATAGGAGGGTTGTGTGACTTTTTTGTAAACGTAAGAATTCATACAATATCGAGCGATTTTGTATCATTTTTTTAACACATTAATTTTAAAATAATTTATTTTTTATCTTTTATAAAAGAAGCTATATATAGATGATGTCAGATATTCCGCGATTAATTAAACATTGTTTAAATCCTGAATGGAATCAATGGAGTCATAATCAAAGACCTCATAAACGAGTAAAAGAAATTAGAAATAATTATTTTCATGAATAAAAGATTCACTACCATAATGAAATAAAAAAAATAAAAAAATAAACTTTAAAAATTAATGTCTTACATTTTTGAATAATTTATTTTTATTTTGTATGAAATGAGCGTCAAAACTAACAACGTGAAAACATTAGGATTCACAAACGAGGAAATAAAGGATATATTAGATGAGATGTGTTATGAAGTTAGTAAATATTATTTAAGAAATTGTCAAAAATTTGCCGAGTTATTAAATGATTTAGATTATGATGGAAAAATGAATAAAGATGATGTTATAAATTTCATATATCCCACATCTGAAGAAGAAAAACCAAAAGAACCTGATGTTTTCCCTGAATATTATGAAGAACGGATTAAAGATGATGAATACGATGAAATTGAAATTGAAAGACTGAAAAAAATAAGAGATGAAATAGATGAAAAAATTAAGGAATTAAGAGAAGTTGAAAAATATAATGAAAATGAAGTAGAGGGTTTAATGAATATCCCAGCTTCGGAATCAGAAGTTCAGAAATCTCATGAAGAAAGATATAAAAATTATGTCTCAGAATCAACACAAAATTTATTAGATGGTGAAATAGACGAAACACTTTCAGAAGAAGGTACTAAATTTATACGTAAACATAAGTTACAATTTATTGATAATGAAGAATACCCTTGTATCTTACTTTCACCACCTTTAGATTCCGAAAAATTCAAAAAAGCTCTTAAAAACGTGACATATGCAACTAATACGATTAAGAAAGAAGATCATGATATTTACACAAATTATTATTTAAATAAATGCACAGGTGTTGATAAAGTTTTTGATTTATTAGATAAAATATCAAAAGAAACCATTGGAACATATAAAATTTTGTGTGATTGTGGTTTCATTATTGAAGATACCAATAATGTTTCATATGAAAGAACAGCACCGAAGGAAGATGAAGTGGAAAGGTCTATACCATTCGTTATTAAGAATATAAAAGATATGAAAACGTATAAGCATTATATTTATTCATTTATTTCAGAAAAAATGGAAGCAACCCATAAAACATCATCTCATCATTTTATAGCTATTCATACATTCCTTTTCAAAGTTGTGAAATTAAATAAGACAGGAATTAGATTTAATGTATCAGGGTACGCATTCTTGAGTAAATTAAAATGTATTCGTCACGTCGCAGATGATAAAAATTTATGTGTTCTTAATTCATTTTATGGGCTTTAAAAAATAAACTTTATTTTTATTTATTTTTTAATTTTTATTCTTACATAAATGAACAAAAACGGAACAGCTAAAATGAATGATAATCAAATTAGAGCAGAAGGTAGAAGGTTATTTAAACGCTTCTATAACATTCCTGATGGTGTTAATCCTAAAAACTCGTAGAAGTTATTTAAATGAAGCAATAGATTCATATGAAGGGTTTGACATTTCATCAGAAAGTGAGAGATTAGCGAGAATGTTAAATGTTAATATTGATTTCTATTATTGTGATCCTCAACCAGAAGACGTGGACATAAATAAGGTAGACTTTCCATTAGTGGATTCAATAATGATAGATCCAGAATTTGAAACAATAAATATTTTATTAACACAGAGTCCATGTGGAAAACTTCACGCTGACAGAATAACAGATGTTGAAGCACTCACCGGCTATAGAGTTTGTCCATATTGTAAAGAAGAAGTTTATTCTAGCCGTGATGATCCAGAAAGGAAAAACCAAAGAAGATTTTTAAAGCATTGTGAGAAATGTAAAGAAAATAATGGAAGATTAATTCAAGACGTTCAATTGCAAAAGACACAGCAACCATATGCACCACATATTACGAAACAGAAGATATATCAGTGGTTATTAGCTCACAATTTGCAGAAATATTATAAACCGACAAGATATTATATTACTTTTGACTTTGAAACATTAGAGACTAAAGAAGAATTACAACTTTCTGAGTGTGCAACTTTGAACGCTTACTTAAAACCATTCATGGTATCATCAACGGTTAAATTAAATGATAAAACATATACGAGGAATTTTTGCTTAACTTCGAGTGATTCTTTTATTTCTGATTGGATTGAGTTTTTATTTTCAACCTGTTCATTAGTTGCTAAATCAAATATTGAACAATATGAAGAATTAATGAAGTCGCAAACGGACCAAACGGCGGGGACTTTGTCTCATACATTAAATGAAAAACAGAAGGAAGCATTTAAAGAACTTCTAGATGAGGAATTCAATAAAGTGAATATCATAGGTTTTAATTCGGGAAAGTTTGATTTAAATTTAATTCTTCGTGATTTAAACACCGCAAAATGGAAAATAAAATCAATGCTGGGTTCATCTTCACAATTTAAGCAAATCATTGTAAAGAAAACAAACGTTCCATATGAATTGAGATTTATTGACATCAGAAATTATATAGCGGGTGGGACATTAGACCAATTCACTCAAGATTTCGGAAACAATAAATCACGTGTTAAATCCTTTTTCCCTTATCAATTCATCACATGGGAAAATTACGAAGAAGAATTATATAAAGAGGAACCATTCACGAAAGATTCATTTTATTCAGCATTAACTCAAGAAACTATATCAGATAGTGATTATCAAATATATCTCAATGATGCTAAAAATTTTAAGAATAGATTAGAATATTTTATTCATTATTGCAATAAAGATGTTGAAATTATGATTGACCCAATTGATAAAATTATTGAAGAAACATTTGTTTATAAAATTGACATGCTTCATAATCTTTCTTTATCATCGAATGCTTCAATGATTCGTTACGCTTTAGCATATAAAGACTTTAATCCTAATGAAAAATATCCTGAGGAAGAGATAGAATCAAGTTTTGAATTAACGAAAAAGTATTGGAAATATAAAATTGAATCATATAAGAAACAAGATGAAAAAGCAGAAAGGGATACTAAAAATAATGTTTCAATGGATGATTTTCAATACTATCACAATTTAATCCTTTCATCTAAATGCAAAATGTGTGGTAAAGCGTTTACATATGCAAATAAACCAACATTAGATAGAATCGATAATGAAAAACCACATACCAAAGAAAATTGTCAGTTAATGTGTTGTTATTGCAATGTCGTAAAATCAAATAAAGATGAAGATGTTCAACGTTTAAGAATCAATTTAAGAAATTACGCATTACAAAATAATTTACCAATGACTTTAGATTCGGTTGAAGCTTATCACATTCTCCGTAATGGAATTACTGGTGGTCTATCAAATGTTCAACATAGAGTAAATCTTAAAGGAATCACGCACATTAATAAACTTTCATATAGTCCAGAAACTAAAACTGTATCAAATGAGGACACTTCCAACATCATGACTCATTTCGTTGGAGTTGACTTTAATTCATTATATCCTTCATCATTTTCATCTAATCCTCATGATTTCATTCAATATACTGACCATAAAATGTATATGCCGGGAAGATTGAATGGAGTTATCATTTGTGATACAGCAACAAAGAAAGCAAAAGCACTGGGAATAATTAAGAAGAAAAATACTTTATTCGTGGCTGAAGTAAAGGGTCACATTGATGAAAAATACATTAATGATTACATTAACTTTTTACCGATAATAAGAAACTTAGATATTATCACAGATGAAAAAACAATTGGTGGTTTTATGTATAATTACATGAAATCAAACAATCTACCAGTTGACCAGAAACAGAGAAAATTAACTCAGTTAGCATCAACATACAACCAATATCAACCATTTTCTTCTTATTATCTTTGGTATCTAATAGATAGATTTCATTTTATCATTGATGACATTCAATCAATTTTAACATTTACTAAAAACACTTGTTTTAATGAATTTGCGAAAGAATTTATGAACGAAAGACAAAAGGCTGAATTAGAAGGAAATAAAGGAAAAAGTTTATTTTGCAAGATTTCACTTAATGGATCATATGGTTACGATGCAATGAATACACAAAATTACGCAAAGACTAAAATAATGAATGCACAGAAGGCACGCGTTGCATGTATGTCAAATAAGTTTAAAAACATAAGAGAAATAGGTGAAGATACATATCAAGTGATGCTTAAAGATAGATTTTATAGATGTGATACATGTTTACAAGAGGCATTCTTCACTTTAGATAATGCTAAATACTGGTATTTGGTTTTCATTTATGATTTTATGTATAAATGCATGAATGTTAATCGTTTTCATTTCATTGAAGGTGATACTGATTCATCTTATTGGGCTATTGCTGGCGATCCAAGTCTTCCTAACACTCAAGCATTTCAAGCAATTGTTACCGATAAACAATTTTATGATAAAAACATTTTCAAATTCGCACCATTTGATTTCTTCTGTTTTGATGAGAAATTTAAACCTAAATTAAAGAATAAAGCTGAAGAAAAAGCACATGAGAAGAAGTTATTGGGTTTAGCAATTGAGAAACAAGGTGATAACATGGTTGCTTTATGTCCTAAGTGTTATACATCATTCAACGGTTCAATTGATGGAAGTGATTTTAAAAAGATTGCACAAAAAATGAAGGGTGTTAGTTTAAGACAAAATAAGCAATTAACACCTAAAAAATATTTGGATATAATAAATGATAAAGTGATATTTGATGGTCAAAATATTAATTTACAACTTAAAAACGGGTCAATGACTCGCTTAACAATCGGTAAGACTGCATTAACAGGAGCACACACTAAGGCTGTATGTTGTGAAAATGGATGTTGTATGCCATTTATTTAATACAATTTAAAATTTTATTTTTAATGAAATGCCACAGAAGAGACAAAAGGAACCGTTAATGATGGTTTTGATACTATGATTCAAAGAGGTGGGCACCCTTAAAACACTTATTTTATTTTTATATAAATGGATAACACAGATTTAAAAATTTTAATTGATGATTTAGTATTTAATCAAAATTTTCTTAGTTATTATGAATTAAAATCATATCTCCAAAAACATAATATAGGGTGTCCAAAGGTGTGTTTAGCACAAACCTGAATACTGCGAATAGAAATAAACAAGTTACATATATATAAAGTTTATTTAAATATAATCACCATTGGATTCAATCACGCGTTCGCAGCGATCGATCCAGGCTTGAAAGACACGCTTTAAATCATCATGAGAAAATTGCTCAAATTGCTCTCTTACAAAATTTTCAAGATCATCTGGACTCGCGAATTCGCGTCCTTCAGCTCTCTTTTTTAGCGTGCCGAATAAATAAAAGTCAGAGGGTGCAATATCAGGTGAATAAATTGGGTTTGGAACAACTTTGACATTGTTTTCCACCAAGTAATTCATTACCTTATGACTTTTGTGAACTCTTGAATTATCAAAATGAATTGCAAACTTTTGTTTTTGTTGTTTGGATTTCTCAAACTCATCAGAATTGATAATTTGAGTAAGAACATTGTCAATTAGATACTGAGCATTCACCGTATTAGATTTTTGAAGAATATCAATTGCGATGATGCCATTCACGCCCCAAAAAACCGACAACATCATCATTGGTGTGTCAATTTTTTTCTTCGGGAATGTTTGCGGATTTTCATCCTTCGGGATCCACATGATTTTGGCTTCTGTTGCATATTGAAACCAAGACTCGTCCCCTGTTGCTAAAAAGCGAAACTTCTTGGATTGATACGCACCCAATATAGAGAGGAGCTCTTTCGAAGATTGGACTCTAGATTTTTTTTGAACTGAATTAAGGTTGTGCGGAACCCAACGTGTATACGCTAGTTTGTAGTTCAAATAATTGTGCAGATAATAACTGACTGTTGTACGTGGTATCTTTGTCATCTCCTCTATCCTTCTGAGTGATGCTCTTGGGTCTTCATCTAGCGCTTGAAGAATTGCTTTGATTTTTCTTTGATCCGGCGATTTTTTGTCAATTTTTATGATGGGCGCCTTTTTGTTCATGAAGTGATACATCCTAACATGATACGTTACAGTGGAATAGCTAGGAGCATCCATACCGAAGCATTTTACCAATGTCTCGTAGATTTTTTTACAGTCTTTGCATTTTTTTGCAAGAGCGAGGATGTTTTCTTTATGATTCATTAAAAAAATGAAAAAATCCCGCCAAAATTTCCCGCGAAACCGCCTCTTGTCTCAAAATTCATTTTATATCCCGGCATGGCGCCAAAATACAACATACTCATCATATACATATATTCATATTTTTTATTATATATTTATAATCAGCATATATCTCCTTTAATAGTCTCATATAGAGCGCTGTGCTAAACGCACCTTTGGACACCCTATAATAATATAACGGGTGATGATATGGAATATTATTATCCATATTATAAAAATGAAATTTTGAAATATCATAATAAAATAATTTCTGAAATTAAAGACAAAATTAAAAATAATGAATATACAAAGGGAAAAACTAAATCACAACTTAAACAGTTGAAAGATTTCAAAAATAAAGTATTAACAGAAGAAGATATTGATGAATTATATAATTTATATAATCCTGAGCCACAAAAACCAAAGCCGAGGTCTAAAGTAGCAAATGTTCAACAGCCAAATGTTCAACAGCTAAAGGAACAAAACGCCCTAACCCTTCAGACCATAAATGAAGCACAAGCTTTAATTTATGATTCATTAGTTAAACCATATTCAGCCCGACTTTTAAATGAAGATCAACTTTTGGAATTCATCCTTCAACATAAACTCGAAGCGGGAAAGTATATCAAACCTTTATATACAGCATATTTAAAACAAATGAATAGAATACATCCAGAATTAATGAAGGAAGGAATGAAATCCAAAATCAAAGCAGATAAAATTAAACCACTTACAACACCAAAACCTCCAACGACAGTACCACCTCCTCCTTCAGTTAATCCTTCATCATTCACTTTATTATATCCATTTCAAACATTAAAGAAGCAAAAAGATTTTAAAAAGGATTTCAAGATATTAAATAAACCAACTGACCCAAAAATTCAACCGTTAAAGGAAAAATTTAGTCGCCCTTCATTTGCACCATATCCATATTCATACGAAATCGATCATCTGGAATATTCAAAAGGAAAAGTTACCTATTTATTTGCCATTAACATTAACACTAGATATTTATATTGCATTCCGGTGAAAGGGAAAACAGAACAGGAAACAAGAAGAGCTATACAATACTTACTAGATCATGAAAGAGTAGATAATATCAGGGGTGATGGTGATAAAGGATTTCAGGCAGCTATGGCTCATTATTTCCCACAAATTAATTTTTTCTTTTCATCCTCTCCATATACGTTTCATAATAAAATAGTTGATGCGGTAATGAGAACTCTTAGAGATGCGTTAGGGGTTAACGGTCAGATATACTGGGATGGAAATCATGACTCCATCATACAACAGTTAGTATATTATTATAATAATACATGGCATAGAACTATAAACATGAAACCAGTGGAAATGAAAAATGATATTTCAAAAGAATGGGAATATATTAGAAAGCAAATGGAAAGGTTAAATGATGTTAAACGTGAACAAATTAATTCGGGGCTCATGAATTTTAAACAAGGGGATAAAGTTTTGATTCATCTCGATTATGGAAAAACTGATAAATCAATGACAAAAAGAAGACGAAGATTTGACACAATAGCTGAATTCGTTAGATATATTAACGGCAATGCATTAGTTGAAGTTGACAATAAATTAATAGAAATTCCGATTTATTTTATTACTCCATTATATTTAAATAATATTTAATTTTTTTTATTTCGTAAGAAATGAGTGACAACAAAAGTTAGTATGGTTATCTTGGGTACGGCGGCACTGCGTTCCACCTTACCCAATATAACCTTAAATATTTACAAAACCAGTAACGTATATTTTACAACACAAAACGACAACACTCACTTAACCTTAAATATTTACAAAGCCGCCAACCACTTCACCTCACCAACATTTTCGCTAACGACTTCACTAATGAAAAAATAAACGTTCTCACTAACGTTCCCACTAATGTTCTCATTTACAAAAGTATTGCAGCGCTTCCCATTGCTGTGCTTCACATAACAGCTCATAATCTTCTGACTCACTTTCTTCTTCATATAGGTCAAAATCACTGTCATAGTTTATACCTGTAAGTTTTGACAAAGCTAATGAAACACGTTTACCATTTGTATCTATTGCTTTTATATATCTTCCATTATGTTTGTTGTCATAAATGCTTAAACTAACTTTACCCTTTCTCCCTCGTATCTGATAGAATGTATTTTCACGAGGAACGAAGAACAAATTCTTGAACTCATGACCGTTGTAGTTTGTTATCTCAATAGTTTTCGTCATTTATATAAAAATAAAATAAAAATAAATGATATCACCACTCCCACACGTATGAAAACATAGCGCAAAAATAAATTTAGGTGAAGCGGTGAGATCTCACCTCTTTTTTCACCCTGTTGAATTCATTGTTTTATAACTCACTTCCTTGGTTTCTTTTTAGTTGCTTTCTTCACGTCTGTCTCCAACTTGACTGTCTTTCTTCTTCGTCCGTAATGATACCAGTTACTTCCACCAGTCAATGGGTCAAATGGTCGTTCATAAGGGTTTCCATACATTCCATAGGGACCATACGGAAGAACTACTGGTGGAGGAAGAGTTCCATCGACTCTATTTAAATGCATTGTTTCACCTTTCATCTGGTCATTAAAGTCTTTTGCGTGTTTTGCAAACTCGTCGTCCTTTCCTAAAGCATTTTCTGACTCAGTCGCAACCAAATTGGATGCTTTATTTATGAGCCCTATTTTATTTAATCTTAACTTCTTTGCAACCCAGCCTCCAATCTTCCTTTATTTGCATCTAATGTCTTCGAAACCCTTCCTCCACTCATTTTATTTACTGCGTCATAAGCCCAAGTGCTTTTGCTCCAAATGCTAATGCTTTTGTTCCCATTGCGCCTAAAACTGCCCAAGCTACCATTTACACCATATTAAAATCATCTCTCTTCAATATTATCTCATAAAAGTTCTCGTTACTGGAGAAAGTCAATGAAACATAAGCGTTCTCACGGGCTTCGCCCTCACCGCTTTGCGGTCTATCTAACTTATTTCTTATATCATCTATACGCTTCAAAATGTCTGAACAATTGCTAACATCTTCTACAACAGTTATTTCATCATGAATGACCTTCAAAACAAGCTCATTTAATATGCTATTAAAATCATCTCAATAATGAGTCCATCCTTTCCATCTTTAGGTAGCACAACATCTTTCATTGAAGAAGGTTCGACAAGTCTTATGTTAAACTTACTGACAAAGTTTGTTATACTATAATGCTTCGGTGGCGAATACATGTAGTTTGAAAGACATAATATAGATTCTTCAGCAAATTCACTTATACTGGATTTTATAACAATGTTCTCACGAGACCAAATACCACCAATTGACAATCTTGTAAGCAATCCTGCTGAACCTTCAACTGTAAACGTCGATGGTAACATTCCACGAAGGTCATCTATTGACATCGTTGAGTCACTATTTAAATATTTTCTTAAAGCAATCGTCATTATCTAACCATGCAATAGCTTTGAAGTTTTCATTCGAATATACATCTGCTTCATTAAATGTAAAACCTGACTTCTTTGCAGAGATGACTTTAAAATCTATTGAGTTTGTTTCAAAATTATATACTATGGTAACTTCTGAAGGTAATGGATGTCCTTCCGCAGTCAGTTGTTCTCTCACTACCGTTTGAAGCTTTGTGTTAAAAACTTTCATGTCATCTCCTGTGTCTAGGTTCACATACACAGCAACAGGAAAACTATCTTGCTTCTTTGTTTCATCATTATACCTCAAAACATTAAAGTTCTTCAATAATATTGTTCTTCCTGCTGGAATACTTCGAACCTGTCTGATTTCAATAGCTTTCTCACCTCCTACATACTCTACCCAGTGTCTTGGATATTCATAAGTATACTGACTTTCTTGAATTTTGGTTGGTTTCATCATAACGTGTTCATAGTATATCTTTATACTCTTGTCAGTTAGACTCGGTGCTATGTTCTGAATATTTCTGACTTGCATTTTTAATGGAGATAAAATGAAGCATTTAATACATGACGTAGATGAAGACATGAATGAAACTACAGACAAACTTAACTCTTCTCTATTCTTCCTTTCAGCAAAGATTATGATTCTGTTCAAATGGTGTGTATTTCTATTGTGGAAAGATGGGTTCAGGTAAGACATTTAATTTAATTCGTCATATACTCATAACAGAGCGTTTAGGAAACGACTCTTACTATGACCAAATCATTATATCAGCAACTTCAGACTCTATGGACTCAACAGCGAAAACATTTATGTCAAAAGTTCAAGCCTCTGTCGTTAAAGTTCCAGACAGTGAACTCATTGAATTTCTTCAACGTTACATTCGACGTAAGAGAAATATTATGCCATCGTGAATTTATACAGTCAGGAATGCAAAAGACTTCTGAGGAGATGGAAAGAATTATTGACAAACACCACTTACGTCAGTACTCAGGAGTTTACGATATGAAACGACTTACAAACTACATTCTGTCAAAACTTTCAAAATACCCCTTCAAAAAGTATCCTTCAAACACTTTGTTCGTTTGTGACGACTTCGCCGGAAAAGGTTTAGTGTCAAAGCCTGACTCACCATTAGCTAACATCATAACTAAAGTCAGACATTACCACTTAACTGTAGCAATACTTATGCAAACATGGCGTTTCCTTGCTTTAAACATAAAACGTCTCATAACTGACTTCGTTATCTTTCAAGGTTTCTCACGTTATGATATTGAACTCATTTGGAAACAGTCAGGTATAACATTACCTTTTGAAGAAATTTGGGAAGCATATAAGTCTCTCATCTCTCCTCGTTCATACCTTGAGATTCATATCATGACTAATACCATTAAAGTCAAAAATATTCCATGGGAACGACCAACATTGTTTTAAAGTTTAACCTTCAATTGACTGATGGTAAACAAATTCCATGCATCTCTGTCGCCATTTCTGTTAATATTTTTGCTGTCATTCATATCATCCACTTCCCCATCCGTTAACTTTTGAGGATATGCGTTAGAATAGCTGTTCTTAAATGAAGGCTTTTCACCTTTGAGAGCATAAACTCTATAACTTTCTGCATACTTTATGTTTGAACCTCCTGAGCCATCATTGACATAAATTTTTATAGGCTTCCACCCTTTGTTCATATTCCTGCTTCTTCCCTTGCTCTTTTGTTCAGTAGTTCTACATCTTTATACACAGCTCCTGTCTCAGTGAATTCAACAATATTTTCATTCGTTAGCTTTACATTCAAACCCTTGTCGAGTATATTGTTCATTTCATACATATAAAAGGTTTTTATTCTATATGAAATGAGAAGCAAATCCATCTTAGCTGGTGCCGTTAATGTTCCAATTGAACCAACATCAAATGTTGACTCACGAACGACAAACAATATTGTCATAAAGAACTATAGTTCAGAGTGTTTGAAAGAAAAAGAACCAGAGCTGAAATCCGTGAATTTAAACACAGCTTCAAACGCTAACGCTACATCAGATGTTAAGTTAGAGTATCCACCACTGGACCAAATTCTTTCAAGAGAAGCCAACGACAACCCTTACATAAATGTTCAAACAAATCCTTCAGATAACGTAGACCATTACCTTCTTCAGTTATACCAAACAATTTTACTCAAAGACGATAAGAAGCTTTTGATAAATCTTATAAGTAAGAACCAAATAATTCTAACAAAGGAGGACCTTGAAAATGTTATATCACGAATAACAGGAAAGCAATGTGTCATTGACTATCTCGACCCTGAAATCGAATGCTGTGGTCAAACGCCACCATTCATGAAAATAGGTAACATCCGCATCATTGAAACACCAGGAACTACAGGAGTTGAGTTTAAGTATAAATATTCGAACGAGTATACAAAACTACTTTCAACAGAATAAAGCTTTGTTTGAAATATGTTTTAGTAAATTAAAGCAACTTATAGTATCTATCCAAAACTTCTTCAACAGTATCGAACTCATCTTCATAATGCAAACCTAATCTTATTGACTTGGTGCAGTTTTCACTAACACAATATAGCGCTTTGCGCTCGGCGCCTTTGACGCCTTTTTCTGTTCTCTTGACTGACATAACTAACTCATTTGTTTCATCAAACAGCAACAACCAAAGTTCATGACCTAATACATAACATTCATACTTTATATTTTTAGCTCTGAGTTCTCTTGTAAGCTGTTGCATTTAATATTTTCTAAAAAGTCAACTTCAACAGTCATTCGCACTGGTGCCTTCAGTTCTACAGGCTCTCCTTGAAAGTCAACTAGTCTGAATTGCATGTCTTTCAAATTATGAGGACTAATGCGAACCCATTTACCTAAATGAGTTGCTATGACAGGAACGTTTGGAATGAACATTGAATTGACTGCATAACAGAAAGACTTATATTCTACTGAACCTTTACTATTAACTCCTGAAATACCTGTGACATTAGCTATTTTTGACTCAATGTATAAACAATTGCCATAACATACGTATGGAACAGATTTCATCTCAATCGTTTTGTCAATACTTTTCAAAGGAAATGTCATATGGTATGCTCCCAGAAGCAATTGAACTCTATGACTCATTCGTGTTATCTTAAACTCCTTCGCATAACTGAACTTCAAAACTCCTGCAATAAGTTTAACATTCATTAAGTTTTCTTCGTTATCCTTGTTTATTGTAGTATTTATGAGAGCATTTAACACTCCAGCTAATGTTTCCATCTTATATTCTACATTATTGTGAAATCTTATTTCATGCTTCTTTCCATCTATTTCAAACTCCATGAAATCTGTTTCATCTGTTATGACAAAAGTTGCGATAGTATTGAAGTCAACAACTCTGAAAGCAAGCGCTTCATTCTGAAGACCTAAGTTTGTTTGTAGCTTTACTGTCCCGTATTCGTTTGGGTCTGTACTTTGCAAATAGAACAACATTTTATTCTCATTAAAATATGAGTTTAGCTGCATATGCGTATGAAGCTGACAGAGCTAAACGTTTATATTTTGGTCAATACTCTCTCACACTTACTGACAAATATATTGTTATCAGTGATGGAAATACCGAGAAATACATAACATGGAAGGACTATGAAAAGTTTGACCCTATTTTAACTCCATGTACAATGCCATTCATTGTAAATGGTGAAGTTGTCATGAAGAACGACACAACAGTATATAAGTCTGTATATGAAGCATTAGAATATATGTTGAATTATAATCCCGAAAGATTTGACCCAAGCACTACACCATGTGCAATGCCTTTTATTAAGGACGGTGAAATCGTAAGAGTTCCGGATTCAACGGTTTATACTGCTGTTCAAAACAGTTTACAAAACATTTTAGCGAATATCTTTAATTCAGAAACTACAGAAATAAAATTACCATATATAACAGATGCTAAAGAAATTAAATCAAAAACGACAACATTATTTACGTCACTTAATGATTTAATGACTTATATCATTAATATTCCTGCACCAACTACAGCATTTGATCCAAACTCGACGGTTTGCAGTGTACCTTTCATAAAGTCGCAAAGCGACCAGGGCGAAGCCCATGACAGTTCATTAATTACTTTAAGGGATTCAACAGTTAATGAATCATTAAAGGCGTCATTAATGAAAATCATTGATTTTAACTCATTCACGAATACATATAATTCATTCATTAATGTTTCATATGCTTCTAAAGAAGGTGAGCCAAAAACTATCGATAAAGCGGTGTATGAAATAAAAGCATCAACGACGAAATTGAATTCGTTAACTTTTGACGGTGATAGTTTCGTTAATGACATAACATCGGGGAAAACAATTTTAACGAAAGAATATTTAAAATCTCATGTTAGTGAGTTCGTTGAAATTGAAAAAGAAGGTGGAATTAAGTTCGATCCACTGAATTTCATTTTCAGCTTAGCGAATGCGGGTGTTAGTTTCGCTGAATGGACAACTATACAGAGTGAAATAAATGCAATATGGACGTTTTTGGGGTCAAAAGCGGGAATGGGTGAGCTTGTAAATGCTGCAAGAACATTAGGTGAAACAGGAAATTTTGTAGATGGTTTTAAAAGACTTGTTTCAAATGTTTTAACAAACACAAAGAAATTATTTAGATATACCATACATAACGGACGGATTTTCGAACAGGTAGCAACAAACCCTCCGGTTATGGCTGCGTTGATGATGGTTAGAGATATAAAACCACGTAACGACGGGAACGAAGAAGAACATGAACAACAGGATACTGGTCGGGTTATTCAAGACATTAAAAACGTGTATCCTGAAGTTATTGATTTATTTAGAGGAGTTAATGATTCAATTTCAAAACATTCTATAACCCTCGATGAAGAGAATAAATTAACAGATTATATATTCGTCATTATTGCAGAATTAATGAAGAGAATAAATGAAAAAGGAATTGGTGATATCATTAATGTCAGCGATGTAATGATGAAAAGAAATTTTGACTCATTATTTACAAAACCGAAAACAGAATATAGTCTTTATGACGTAATTACCGAATTAATGAAAAAGATTAATGATAATAAGAGTTCTGGCGGAAGAGTTGAATTAGAAGTGAATGATGTTAATGAGAAATTAGCCGAAAAAGCAAACAAAAACCACGTTCATTATATAACTTCAGACGAACAGATTATAACGGACTACCATGGATATTTAACACGAAGTGATGAAGCGAAGACAAAAAATGTTAATGAAAGAAGATATAAATACATTCGTGCTAAAGGTTATGACATAAGCTGTACTGTACAGTATGATGTAGCTAAAGCACCAGAAGCATTTGGTTATACCGGTGAAATTTATGCCTCTACTTTCAATGTTAATGGTGTATTAGTTGAACCAAGATTTACTTTGAGAGTTAAGTCAAAAATAACGTTTGAAGATGCTATTAAAAGTAAAGCTGACAAAGATGAACTTGACGCAACGAACAAAGTTTTGAAATCTCATAAACACAACATCTCCGATATAAATGAACTTCAAACTTCTTTAGACAGTAAAGCTGACAAGAACCATACACATAAATCCTTCACTACTGTTAGAGCAGACGACATAATATTGAACTTTGACCTTGGTTCAAGTGCACCTTTAGAGAATCCAAGTACAAGCGTAAAAGATACACTAAACTCCTTAAATAGTAAATGTATGAACATTGAAGGTCATGTCAGAAACTTTGAAACACATGAACTACCAGCAATGTTAGATAAGAAAGCAGATAAGAACCATACACATGATTTCTTCACAACTGTTGGTATAGAAAGTATTGAAGGAACGGTTGAAGGAACTGGTGGGGATGCATTATATTGGAAACCTCCTAACTTTCCACAAGGTTTAACATCGGAGGAAAACATAACGACGATGAAATACATTAGATGTAGAAATGTTTATGTCATGGAGGATGAAAATAATGTTAAATTCACTGCTCAAGATTTATATGATAAGAAAGCTGACAAGAACCATACACATAAATCCTTCACTACTGTTAGAGCAGACGACATAATATTGAACTTTGACCTTGGTTCAAGTGCACCATTAGAAAATCCAAGTACAAGCGTAAAAGATACTCTTAACAATTTAGATAAGAGTTGCAGGAATACCGAAGATCATGCCAGAAACTTTGAAGCATATGAACTACCAGCAATGTTAGATAAGAAAGCTGACAAAACAGAGCTTCAAACATTAAAGACAGAAATACTTCAAACATTATATCCTATAGGTTCTATTTATACGTCAATGAACTCAACAAATCCAGCAACAGTTCTGGGTTTCGGTACGTGGGAACAGATTGTAGATAAATTCTTATACTGTGCTAGATATTCAAAGCAAACAGGAGGTTCGAAGAAAATTACTGAAGCAAACCTTCCACCGCACACTCATACAGGAACGACAAACTTTTCTGGCGACCATAGCCACTCATTAAGAGACCACCCATTATACAACTCAGAGTATGAAGCTGGCAATGACGTTTTATCTCCATCTTATAACAATGCAGCAAAAAAGACTTTTCGACCAACTGAACCAGGAGGAAATCATGTCCATACTTTCACAACAAATCCAACAGGCTCGGGTGCAGATTATATGCCACCATTTATGACTGTATTTGCATGGAATAGAGTTCAATGAACGCGCTTGAGCCTAGAATAAAATCTTTAACTTTACATAAATGAGCTTGAAAGAAGTATTCGAACAACATCCATGGAGGTCATTTAAGAAGTTCAATGAAGCTGCAAAGAGTTCGGGATTTACTAACAGAGCTGAAGTGAAAAGGTTCTTTGACAAAAATGTTGTACATCAAACAAAAATAAATCCTTACGACTACTTTTTACCAATTTACTCCAACACTCCTGACGCATACCAATTTGACACTCTCATTCAAAGCAGAAAAGGAAGACATAAACCATTCCTCATCTTCATAAATGTTAACACTCGCAAAGCTTTTGCGTATATAATGAGAAATAAAGGAACTCATGAAGTGTTAAGAGTTTTACAAAAGTTTGTAGCAGAACATAGCCCAAGTATTTTAACATCAGACCAAGACGGTGCATACCTCAGCAACGAAATCACAGAATTTCTCATTAAGCATAACATAACTCACTACACTACTGAAGACCATAACCATAACATACTCGGTATCATTAACCGCTTCATAAGGACTCTCAGAGATTTAAATCAAGAGCGAGACTTTACCGAAGAAACAATGAAACATTTCATCGAAGTTTACAATTCCTCAACACATTCTACAACAGGACATACACCAAATTCAATGACACAACAACAAGAAGAAAAGTATATACAAAAGAAACGAAGTCAAACACAAAATATCAGAAATTCAACACAATTTACTCTCATTCCTGGAACAAAAGTTCGTGTAGTTCTTGACGACAAACCGTTGACAAAGAAACGTTTAAGGTTAAGTCGAAATTATTATATCGTAGACTCTACGCAAGGTAATGGATATCTTATAAAAGCTGCTGACGACTCCATAGCATTTTACCCTCGTCATAAATTAGTTGAAAGTAGTAATGGCGAACTTGCTGAAACCATTGACGAAGCAAAGCGAGGAGTGGTTATTGAAATACTTGACTACAACATAAACGATGACACTTATAAAGTAAGATATGAAGGAGGCGTTGAAGATGTTATACCATCTAAGAACTTGAGAGAATCTAAACCAACTCATCTGGGACCATTAGAGCGGGAGTACTGGAAAGATAAAAACATGCCAGAAAGAATAAGAAAATTCTTCTAAACTTTTTCGTTGGATGTAAATCAGACAAAAATATATTATAGGTGAAGAGGTGAGATTTCACCTGTTTTCTCACCTGTTTTTTCACCTCTTGAATTTTCGTGAATTTTCACAAAAGACCAAAAATAAAGTTAGTTTTATTTTTATTTATTTTTTTATTTTGTATGTAAAGACAGTAATGTCAGTCGAAGCAAAAACATTCACTAACAAATCTAATGGCGAAACATTCACAAAAGGCACTTATAACGGTATTGAAGTCTTACGTAGAGACAAGGATGGTTACATTAATGCAACAAAGATGGCAAGAGAAGCAGGAAAGTTAAACCATTTAAACAGATTTCTCAATAGTGCTAAAATGCAGGAAATTCTTGAGTTTTGGTTGAAAGAATACGGTCGAGCCAAAAGTGGCTCAACCTCAAAACAAGCATTTTATGAGCTTACTAAGGGCGTTATGAATGAATTCAAAGGTATTTACATACATGCTGACCTCGTTCATTTTGTTGCTGAATGGTGCTCTGTAAAGTATGCATTTTATGTCAAAGATATTATGGACTCCATAGACAAGAAAGTTCATGAGAAGTTAGATGAAGAAGAACTCGAAGATACAGTGGAGAATGCTAAACCTTTGTTCGAAGAAGAAGTTGGAAAAATGTGCGGAAAACAATTAGAACATGAACGTGAGAAATGTTATGGTTATAGAGATTCTCCATACGAACTAGACCAATGGGAACAAGAAGATTTAAAGAGAGAATTTAGAGAATATGAACTCGCTAAGATAGCATTTGAAGCTGCAGAAAAGAAGTTAAAAGTTTGGGGTCGTTTTGTACAAAAATATTGTGAGTAAATGAACCATTTATTTTTGTCATAAACGACCAAAAATATATTTTATCGTGAATGGTTTCAGGTTATTCAATAATTAATTATTTTTGAAGAACTGTAGGTGCTACCATGTTACCATGTGCTACCAGGTCATTTAACTTCTCTGAAAAAATGTGACAACATGACATTTTGACAACATCACAGGAGGAAGGTAGTTATGAATTATTTTTGAAGAACTGTAGGTGCTACCATGTTACCATGTGCTACCAGGTCATTTAACTTCTTTTAAAAAATGTGACAACATGACATTTTGACAACAACACAGGAGGAAGGCAGTTATGACTTATTTTTGAAGAACTGAAGGTGTTACCATGTTACCATGTGCTACCAGGTCATTTAACTCATGACATTTTGACAACATTTACGAAAATATGATGCAGTCCAAAAATAAAGTTAGTTTTAAAATTATTTTTATTTTTTTATTCCTATATAAATGACAGTAACAAACAACAACAACAGCAACTATATCGTTTCTGATGAAAAAGTTATTGATTCATTAGTTGAGGAATTAGTTGTGGCAGAAACTAAAACCCTCAACGAAAGAATTGGTGAAAACAGGATTGATTTACATAACTACCTCAAATACGATGGAGGAAGAGGAAGGAAAACTGGTATGGCTTTATTAGTAAATAAAATTTCAAATTTAACGATTATAGATGTTGATATCAATAAATCGTACAATGATGAACTTAAAGAAACAGTTAGAAAAGACATTTTATCAAAACTTTCGGATAAAGATGTTATCGTTAAAACCGCTTCAGGAGGTCTTCACATTTATTGCAACACTAATTTCTTCTATGCAGTTTCGAACAGAATGATTAAATGTTATTCCTGCAATGATTATGATATTGACATAATGACTTCTATGGATGATTCAAAGCGTTCTTTAGTGGTTATGGCTGATTCAAGAGTTCGCAAGAATGCAACAGAACCAATCAAAACATACTCATTCATTCGTGGAAGTTATGATTCAACATTAACTAGAACAGTAAACGATATATTAAATGATTTGAATATTAAGGTAAGAGTTGAACAGAAGAATGAAGAAATAAAGAGTATAATGAATGAAAACAAAGATGTAAACATTGACGATAAACTTGCCCAGAGCATAGTTGATGGCATCAGTGATTTTGAAGTACATAATGACGGTGGAAACATGAATTTAGAAAAAGAAGTTACATTATTCACACTGTTTCAAGCAATTAATTTGTTACCGGATCATTTAATTAATGAAGCATACGACAGCGTTTATAACTTCTGCAGTTTAACAGAAAATGCTAAAAGTAATTTTGAAAAAGCACGTAGTAGATATGCACATTTAATGACTTCTCCATTTGTTTTAGTGAAGATTCTAAAACTATACCAAAAGGAATATTATGATGAATATGTTTTACCTTTATTACGTAAGCCAAAAATAACATTTGATATAAAACTTGATGACTCGTTTTTGATAACAGATATTAGACGCAAGGCTGAAAATCATCAGTATAAAAACAGTTCTGAAGTAATTGAGGATTTATCACGTGTAATCCGTTTTGTAGATTGTGGAAATAAATATTCATTCAAAAGGACTATAATATTCACGACAAAATGAATCAAATATCATTCGTTCTTCAATCAAACATGAAAGAGTCACTCAAAATGATTAAATTATTTAAAGAAGAAGGTAAACCTAACAGCATGGGATGTACTACTAAATCAATTATCCTCATTAACCGTTAAGGGTGTTTGCTTTAAAATCTGATTCCCCAGATGTTTTCTCAACGTTTCAGGGTTATAAATACAACATTCTCGAAAAACCAGATTACTCAAAAATTGAGATGTTTATGAATTTCATTAAAGAAGCCATTTGTGATAATAACGATGAAGTGTATAAATACCTTCTCGGCTGGATTGCATCAATGATTCAACATCCCGGAATCAAGAATGAAACAGCAATTATTTTGAAAGGACTTCAGGGAACAGGTAAAAACAGATTTACAGACATTATTTCTGAACTTCTCGCTGGTTATTCATGTAAAAACATTACTGAAATAAGTGAGCTAACGGGTAATTTCAATTCGGTTGTTGAAAATAAAATGTTTCTTGGTACTTAATGAACTCAAGAATGTTGGTGAAGATAGACTCGCAAACTTCAACGCTTTGAAATCAATTATTACGGATAATCAAATTAGAATTAATGAAAAGAATCAACCCAGAAGAACTGCTCAGAACGTTGCAAACTTCATTTTCGTAACTAATAACGTCTACCCTGTCAAAATTGAAGTGGAGACAGAAGATACGTAGTTTAAGAGTTAATGGTAAATTCAAGGGTCAATTTGATTACTTCAAGAATTTAATGGATTCATGCACAAAGGAATTTTATGATAATTTGCTGACGTATTTTATGCAATATGACCTTTCATCATTTAATGTACGAATCATACCGATGACTGAAGCCAAACAAGATTTAATCGAGTTATCAACAAATCCTTTAGATGTATGGATAAATACACATTATGATGAATTGTGTGCAGGTATGACGTGTGAAAATGCTCTATTCTGCAAACCATCAGACATGAAAGACAAGAATTTCCAAATGAGTATTAAGGATAAATGTGATAGGAAACATAGAAGAATAGACGGTAAACAAACATGGTGTTATGTTTTGAAAGAAGAAATGAAAGGATTATATAAACAGGTTGAACCAAACGATAATGAGGATTCATTTACTGACGATGAAATACCTGTAAATGAAGCTTTATAAAGTATGATTGGAATTTATTTTTGCCTTCCTCCTGTGTTGTTGTCAAAATGTCATGAGTTAAATGACCTGGTAGCACATGGTAACATGGTAACACCTTCAGTTCTTCAAAAATAAGTCATAACTGCCTTCCTCCTGTGTTGTTGTCAAAATGTCATGTTGTCACACTTTTTCAGAGAAGTTAAATGACCTGGTAGCACATGGTAACATGGTAACACCTTCAGTTCTTCAAAAATAAGTCATTATTGAATAACCTGTGTTGTTGTCAAAATGTCATGAGTTAAATGACCTGGTAGCACATGGTAACACCTTCAGTTCTTCAAAAATAATTCATTATTGAATAACCTGTAAACATTAACGTAAACATTTATTTCTGCAGTTCATTCATTACTTCATTACCTAATTAATTACAAACATAAAATATATTTAGTTCATTCAATGAACGCGGTAAGCCTGCAAAGTAGGCTCAAGCACATTCAATAAATGCGGTACCATGCGAATACAGTCATAAATGGTGGCATATAATCTGCACCCAAGCCTGTTGGATTTGTTGTGAAAGTATGGACATGATTTCCTCCTGGTTCAGTTGGTCGAAAAGTCTTTTTTGCTGCATTGTTATAAGATGGAGATAAAACGTCATTGCCAGCTTCATACTCTGAGTTGTATAATGGGTGGTCTCTTAATGAGTGGCTATGGTCGCCAGAAAAGTTTGTCGTTCCTGTATGAGTGTGCGGTGGAAGGTTTGCTTCAGTAATTTTCTTCGAACCTCCTGTTTGCTTTGAATATCTAGCACAGTATAAAGAATTTATCTACAATCTGTTCCCACGTACCGAAACCCAGAACTGTTGCTGGATTTGTTGAGTTCATTGACGTATAAATAGAACCTATAGATATAATGTTTGAAGTATTTCTGTCTTTAATGTTTGAAGCTCTGTTTTGTCAGCTTTCTTATCTAACATTGCTGGTAGTTCATATGCTTCAAAGTTTCTGGCATGATCTTCGTATTCCTGCAACTCTTATCTAAATTGTTAAGAGTATCTTTTACGCTTCGTACTTGGATTTTCTAATGGTGCACTTGAACCAAGGTCAAAGTTCAATATTATGTCGTCTGCTCTAAACAGTAGTGAAGGATTTATGTGTATGGTTCTTGTCAGCTTTCTTATCATATAAATCTTGAGCAGTGAATTTAACATTATTTTCATCCTCCATGACATAAACATTTCTACATCTAATGTATTTCATCGTCGTTATGTTTTTCCTCCGATGTTAAACCTTGTGGAAAGTTAGGAGGTTTCCAATATAATGCATCCCCACCAGTTCCTTCAACCGTTCCTTCAATACTTTCCTATACCAACAGTTGTGAAGAAATCATGTGGTATGGTTCTTATCTGCTTTCTTATCTAACATTGCTGGTAGTTCATGTGTTTCAAAGTTTCTGACATGACCTTCAATGTTCATACATTTACTATTTAAGGAGTTTAGTGTATCTTTTACGCTTGTACTTGGATTCTCTAAAGGTGCACTTGAACCAAGGTCAAAGTTCAATATTATGTCGTCTGCTCTAACAGTAGTGAAGGATTTATGTGTATGGTTCTGTCAGCTTTACTGTCTAAAGAAGTTTGAAGTTCATTTATATCGGAGATGTTGTGTTTATGAGATTTCAAAAACTTTGTTCGTTGCGTCAAGTTCATCTTTGTCAGCTTTACTTTTAATAGCATCTTCAAACGTTATTTTTGACTTAACTCTCAAAGTAAATCTTGGTTCAACTAATACACCATTAACATTGAAAGTAGAGGCATAAATTCACGGTATAACCAAATGCTTCTGGTGCTTTAGCTACATCATACTGTACAGTACAGCTTATGTCATAACCTTTAGCACGAATGTATTTATATCTTCTTTCATTAACATTTTTTGTCTTCGCTTCATCACTTCGTGTTAAATATCCATGGTAGTCCGTTATAATCTGTTCGTCTGAATATATATATGAACGTGGTTTTGTTTGCTTTTTCGAGCTAATTTCTCATTAAACATCATTCACTTCTAATTTCAACTCTTCCGCCAGAACTCTTAGTTATCATTAATCTTTTTCATTAATTCGGTAATTACGTCATAAAGACTATATTCTGTTTTCGGTTTTGTAAATAATGAGTCAAAATTTCTTTTCATCATTACATCGCTGACATTAATGATATCACCAATTCCTTTTCATTTATTCTCTTCATTAATTCTGCAATAATGACGAATATATAATCTGTTAATTTATTCTCTTCATCGAGGGTTATAGAATGTTTTGAAATTGAATCATTAACTCCTCTAAATAAATCAATAACTTCAGGATACACGTTTTTAATGTCTTGAATAACCCGACCAGTATCCTGTTGTTCATGTTCTTCGTTCCCGTCGTTACGTGGTTTTATATCTCTAACCATCATCAACGCAGCCATAACCGGAGGGTTTGTTGCTACCTGTTCGAAAATCCGTCCGTGTTATGTATGGTATATCTAAATAATTTCTTTGTGTTTGTTAAAACATTTGAAACAAGTCTTTTAAAACCATCTACAAAATTTCCTGTTTCACCTAATGTTCTTGCAGCATTTACAAGCTCACCCATTCCCGCTTTTGACCCAAAAACGTCCATATTGCATTTATTTCACTCTGTATAGTTGTCCATTCAGCGAAACTAACACCCGCATTCGCTAAGCTGAAAATGAAATTCAGTGGATCGAACTTAATTCCACCTTCTTTTCAATTTCAACGAACTCACTAACATGAGATTTTTAAATATTCTTTCGTTAAAATTGTTTTCCCGATGTTATGTCATTAACGAAACTATCACCGTCAAAAGTTAACGAATTCAATTTCGTCGTTGATGCTTTTATTTCATACACCGCTTTATCGATAGTTTTTGGCTCACCTTCTTTAGAAGCATATGAAACATTAATGAATGAATTATATGTATTCGTGAATGAGTTAAAACAATGATTTTCATTAATGACGCCTTTAATGATTCATTAACTGTTGAATCCCTTAAAGTAATTAATGAACTGTCATGGGCTTCCCTGGTCGCTTTGCGACTTTATGAAAGGTACACTGCAAACCGTCGAGTTTGGATCAAATGCTGTAGTTGGTGCAGGAATATTAATGATATAAGTCATTAAATCATTAAGTGACGTAAATAATGTTGTCGTTTTTGATTTAATTTCTTTAGCATCTGTTATATATGGTAATTTTATTTCTGTAGTTTCTGAATTAAAAGATATTCGCTAAAATGTTTTGTAAACTGTTTTGAACAGCAGTATAAACCGTTGAATCCGGAACTCTTACGATTTCACCGTCCTTAATAAAAGGCATTGCACATGGTGTAGTGCTTGGGTCAAATCTTTCGGGATTATAATTCAACATATATTCTAATGCTTCATATACAGACTTATATACTGTTGTGTCGTTCTTCATGACAACTTCACCATTTACAATGAATGGCATTGTACATGGAGTTAAAATAGGGTCAAACTTTTCATAGTCCTTCCATGTTATGTATTTCTCGGTATTTCCATCACTGATAACAATATATTTGTCAGTAAGTGTGAGAGAGTATTGACCAAAAATATAAACGTTTAGCTCTGTCAGCTTCATACGCATATGCAGCTAAACTCATATTTTAATGAGAATAAAATGTTGTTCTATTTGCAAAGTACTGACCCAAACGAATACGGGACAGTAAAGCTACAACAAACTTAGGTCTTCAGAATGAAGCGCTTGCTTTCAGAGTTGTTGACTTCAATACTATCGCTTCATTCGTTATAACAGATGAAACAGATTTCATGGAGTTTGAAATAGATGGAAAGAAGCATGAAATAAGATTTCACAATAATGTAGAATATAAGATGGAAACATTAGCTGGAGTGTTAAATGCTCTCATAAATACTACAATAAACAAGGAGAACGAAGAAAACTTAATGAATGTTAAACTTATTGCAGGAGTTTTGAAGTTCAGTTATGGCGAAGGAGTTTAAGATAACACGAATGAGTCATAGAGTTCAATTGCTTCTGGAGCATACCATATGACATTTCCTTTGAAAAGTATTGACAAAACGATTGAGATGAAATCTGTTCCATACGTATGTTATGGCAATTTTTATACATTGAGTCAAAATAGCTAATGTCACAGGTATTTCAGGAGTTAATAGTAAAGGTTCAGTAGAATATAAGTCTTTCTGTTATGCAGTCAATTCAATGTTCATTCCAAACGTTCCTGTCATAGCAACTCATTTAGGTAAAATGGGTTCGCATTAGTCCTCATAATTTGAAAGACATGCAATTCAGACTAGTTGACTTTCAAGGAGAGCCTGTAGAACTGAAGGCACCAGTGCGAATGACTGTTGAAGTTGACTTTTTAGAAAATATTAAATGCAACAGCTTACAAGAGAATCAGAGCTAAAAATATAAGTATGAATGTTATGTATTAGGTCATGAACTTTGGTTGTTGCTGTTTGATGAAACAAATGAGTTAGTTATGTCAGTCAGAGAACAGAAAAAGGCGTCAAAGGCGCCGAGCGCAAAGCGCTATATTGTGTTAGTGAAAACTGCACCAAGTCAATAAGATTAGGTTTGCATTATGAAGATGAGTTCGATACTGTTGAAGAAGTTTTGGATAGATACTATAAGTTGCTTTAATTTACTAAAACATATTTCAAACAAAGCTTATAGTAAGTAGATAGTTTTGTATACTCGTTCGAATATTTATACTTAAACTCAACTCCTGTAGTTCCTGGTGTTTCAATGATGCGGATGTTACCTATTTTCATGAATGGTGACGTTTGACCACAGCATTCGATTTCAGGGTCGAGATAGTCAATGACACATTGCTTTCCTGTTATTCGTGATATAACATTTTCAAGGTCCTCCTTTGTTAGAATTATTTGGTTCTTACTTATAAGATTTATCAAAAGCTTCTTATCGTCTTTGAGTAAAATTGTTTGGTATAACTGAAGAAGGTAATGGTCTACGTTATCTGAAGGATTTGTTTGAACATTTATGTAAGGGTTGTCGTTGGCTTCTCTTGAAAGAATTTGGTCCAGTGGTGGATACTCTAACTTAACATCTGATGTAGCGTTAGCGTTTGAAGCTGTGTTTAAATTCACGGATTTCAGCTCTGGTTCTTTTTCTTTCAAACACTCTGAACTATAGTTCTTTATGACAATATTGTTTGTCGTTCGTGAGTCAACATTTGATGTTGGTTCAATTGGAACATTAACAGCACCAGCTAAGATGGATTTGCTTCTCATTTCATATAGAATAAAAACCTTTTATATGTATGAAATGAACAATATACTCGACAAGGGTTTGAATGTAAAGCTAACGAATGAAAATATTGTTGAATTCACTGAGACAGGAGCTGTGTATAAAGATGTAGAACTACTGAACAAAAGAGCAAAGGGAAGAAGCAGGAATATGAACAAAGGGTGGAAGCCTATAAAAATTTATGTCAATGATGGCTCAGGAGGTTCAAACATAAAGTATGCAGAAAGTTATAGAGTTTATGCTCTCAAAGGTGAAAAGCCTTCATTTAAGAACAGCTATTCTAACGCATATCCTCAAAAGTTAACGGATGGGGAAGTGGATGATATGAATGACAGCAAAAATATTAACAGAAATGGCGACAGAGATGCATGGAATTTGTTTACCATCAGTCAATTGAAGGTTAAACTTTAAAACAATGTTGGTCGTTCCCATGGAATATTTTTGACTTTAATGGTATTAGTCATGATATGAATCTCAAGGTATGAACGAGGAGAGATGAGAGACTTATATGCTTCCCAAATTTCTTCAAAAGGTAATGTTATACCTGACTGTTTCCAAATGAGTTCAATATCATAACGTGAGAAACCTTGAAAGATAACGAAGTCAGTTATGAGACGTTTTATGTTTAAAGCAAGGAAACGCCATGTTTGCATAAGTATTGCTACAGTTAAGTGGTAATGTCTGACTTTAGTAATGATGTTAGCTAATGGTGAGTCAGGCTTTGACACTAAACCTTTTCCGGCGAAGTCGTCACAAACTAACAAAGTATTTGAAGGATACTTTTTGAAGGGGTATTTTGAAAGTTTTGACAGAATGTAGTTTGTAAGTCGTTTCATATCGTAAACTCCTGAGTACTGACGTAAGTGGTGTTTGTCAATAATTCTTTCCATCTCCTCAGAAGTCTTTTGCATTCCTGACTGTATAAATTCAACGATGGCATAATATTTCCTCTTACGTCGAATGTAACGTTGAAGAAATTCAATGAGTTCACTGTCTGGAACTTTAACGACAGAGGCTTGAACTTTTGACATAAATGTTTTCGCTGTTGAGTCCATAGAGTCTGAAGTTGCTGATATAATGATTTGGTCATAGTAAGAGTCGTTTCCTAAACGCTCTGTTATGAGTATATGACGAATTAAATTAAATGTCTTACCTGAACCCATCTTTCCACAATAGAAATACACACCATTTGAACAGAATTCATAATCTTTGCTGAAAGGAAGAATAAGAGAAGAGTTAAGTTTGTCTGTAGTTTCATTCATGTCTTCATCTACGTCATGTATTAAATGCTTCATTTTATCTCCATTAAAAATGCAAGTCAGAAATATTCAGAACATAGCACCGAGTCTAACTGACAAGAGTATAAAGATATACTATGAACACGTTATGATGAAACCAACCAAAATTCAAGAAAGTCAGTATACTTATGAATATCCAAGACACTGGGTAGAGTATGTAGGAGGTGAGAAAGCTATTGAAATCAGACAGGTTCGAAGTATTCCAGCAGGAAGAACAATATTATTGAAGAACTTTAATGTTTTGAGGTATAATGATGAAACAAAGAAGCAAGATAGTTTTCCTGTTGCTGTGTATGTGAACCTAGACACAGGAGATGACATGAAAGTTTTTAACACAAAGCTTCAAATGGTAGTGAGAGAACAACTGACTGTGGAAGGACATCCATTACCTTCAGAAGTTACCATAGTATATAATTTTGAAACAAACTCAATAGATTTTAAAGTCATCTCTGCAAAGAAGTCAGGTTTTACATTTAATGAAGCAGATGTATATTCGAATGAAAACTTCAAAGCTATTGCATGGTTAGATAATGACGATTGCTTTAAGAAAATATTTAAATACAGTGACTCAACGATGTCAATAGATGACCTTCGTGGAATGTTACCATCGACGTTTACAGTTGAAGGCTCAGCAGGATTGCTTACAAGATTGTCAATTGGTGGTATTTGGTCTCGTGAGAACATTGTTATAAAATCCAGTATAAGTGAATTTGCTGAAGAATCTATATTATGTCTTTCAAACTACATGTATTCGCCACCGAAGCATTATAGTATAACAAACTTTGTCAGTAAGTTTAACATAAGACTTGTCGAACCTTCTTCAATGAAAGATGTTGTGCTACCCAAAGACGGAAAGGATGGACTCATTATTGAGATGATTTTAATAGCATATTAAATGAGCTTGTTTTTAAAGGTCATTCATGATGAAATAACTGTTGTAGAAGATGTTAGCAATTGTTCAGACATTTTGAAGCGTATAGATGATATAAGAAATAAGTTAGATAGACCGCAAAGCGGTGAGGGCGAAGCCCGTGAGAACGCTTATGTTTCATTGACTTTCTCCAGTAACGAGAACTTTTATGAGATAATATTGAAGAGAGATGATTTTAATATGGTGTAAATGGTAGCTTGGGCAGTTTTAGGCGCAATGGGAACAAAAGCATTAGCATTTGGAGCAAAAGCACTTGGAGCTTATGACGCAGTAAATAAAATGAGTGGAGGAAGGGTTTCGAAGACATTAGATGCAAATAAAGGGAAGATTGGAGGCTGGGTTGCAAAGAAGTTAAGATTAAATAAAATAGGGCTCATAAATAAAGCATCCAATTTGGTTGCGACTGAGTCAGAAAATGCTTTAGGAAAGGACGACGAGTTTGCAAAACACGCAAAAGACTTTAATGACCAGATGAAAGGTGAAACAATGCATTTAAATAGAGTCGATGGAACTCTTCCTCCACCAGTAGTTCTTCCGTATGGTCCCTATGGAATGTATGGAAACCCTTATGAACGACCATTTGACCCATTGACTGGTGGAAGTAACTGGTATCATTACGGACGAAGAAGAAAGACAGTCAAGTTGGAGACAGACGTGAAGAAAGCAACTAAAAAGAAACCAAGGAAGTGAGTTATAAAGCAATGAATTCAACAGGGTGAAAAAAGAGGTGAAAAAAGAGGTGAGATCTCACCGCTTCACCTAAATTTATTTTTGCGCTATGTTTTCATACGTGTGGGAGTGGTGATATCATTTATTTTTATTTTATTTTTATATAAATGACGAAAACTATTGAGATAACAAACTACAACAGTCATGAGTTCAAGAATTTGTTCTTCGTTCCTCGTGAAAATACATTCTATCAGATACGAGGGAGAAAGGGTAAAGTTAGTTTGAGCGTTTATGACAACAAACATAATGGGAGATATATAAAAGCAATAGATACAAACGGTAAGCGTGTTTCATTAGCTTTGTCAAAACTTACTAACATTTATTTTGACAGTGATTTTGACCTATATGAAGAAGAAAGTGAGTCAGAAGATTATGAGCTGTTATGTGAAGCACAGCAATGGGAAGCGCTGCAATACTTTTGTAAATGAGAACATTAGTGGGAACGTTAGTGAGAACGTTTATTTTTTCATTAGTGAAGTCGTTAGCGAAAATGTTGGTGAGGTGAAGTGGTTGGCGGCTTTGTAAATATTTAAGGTTAAGTGAGTGTTGTCGTTTTGTGTTGTAAAATATACGTTACTGGTTTTGTAAATATTTAAGGTTATATTGGGTAAGGTGGAACGCAGTGCCGCCGTACCCAAGATAGCCATACTAACTACAAAGCAGCCAAGAGTCCAGACGATGAATATAAAAAGAAACTAAACAGAATTAAATCAAAAATATGCTATTACAAAAAGAAGCCACAATGCGGTGGGGTTGATGCCCATAAAACTAATGGAACTGAAAACGATGAAGAGAGGAAAGAAATAATCGAAAAATTAGAAACTTACCGTTCAATCCTTAAACTGAGTGAAGCAAAAATAAAAGAATTTAATAGAATAAATAAATTGATTGGAAGAGATGAATTTAATAAAGATGAATTTTTAAACTCAATCCAAATTTAATTTTTATTCCTCTTTGACAACGTCTCTCTTTCCATCATTACTGCATAACCACATTTTCTCAGTTTTAGTGGTTTGTTATTTTTAGCAAGTTCTCGCATCATTTTTATCGTTTCCTCCCTTGTTATGATTCGTGGTAAATTTTGAGCTTGTGGGGTATCCATTTATGATAAAAATAAAAATTTAAATTATGCCGTTCTAAAGTTTGTGACAACATGACATTTTGACAACAGTCCCGGAAATGATTTGTCATGACTTCATCGTAATGAGTGTAAATGACCCAAAAATAATGTTTACGTTAATGGTTTTTAGGTTATTCAATAATTAATTATTTTTGAAGAACTGAAGGTGCTACCATGTTACCATGTGCTACCAGGTTATTTAACTTCTCTGAAAAAATGAGACAACATGACATTTTGACAACAACACAGGAGGAAGGCAGTTATGAATTATTTTTGAAGAACTGAAGGTGCTACCATGTTACCATGTGCTACCAGGTTATTTAACTTCTCTGAAAAAATGAGACAACATGACATTTTGACAACAACACAGGAGGAAGGCAGTTATGAATTATTTTTGAAGAACTGAAGGTGCTACCATGTTACCATGTGCTACCAGGTTATTTAACTTCTCTGAAAAAATGAGACAACATGACATTTTGACAACACAGCAGGATTAATGCAAAAATAAATTCCAATCATACTTTATAAAGCATCATTTACAGGTATTTCATCGTCAGTAAATGAATCCTCATTATCGTTTGGTTCAACCTGTTTATATAATCCTTTCATTTCTTCTTTCAAAACATAACACCATGTTTGTTTATCGTCTATTCTTCTATGTTTCCTATCACATTTATCCTTAATGCTCATTTGAAAGTTCTTGTCTTTCATGTCTGATGGTTTGCAGAATAGAGCATTTTTACATGTCATACCTGCACACAATTCATCATAATGTGTATTTATCCATACATCTAAGGGATTTGTTGATAATTCAATTAAATCTTGTTTGGCTTCAGTCATCGGTATGATTCGTACATTAAATGATGAAAGGTCGTAATTGATAAAATATGTTAAAAGGTTATCATAAAATTCCTTTGTGCATGAATTCATCAAATTCTTGAAGTAATCAAATTGACCCTTGAATTTACCATTAACTCTTAAAACTACGTATCTTCTGTCTCCAACTTCAATTTTGACAGGGTAGACGTTATTAGTTACGAAAATGAAGTTTGCAACGTTCTGTGCAGTTCTTCTGGGTTGATTCTTTTCATTAATTCTAATCTCATTATCCGTTATAATTGATTTCAAAGCGTTGAAGTTTGCGAGTCTGTCTTCACCTACATTCTTGAGTTCATTAAGTACAAGAAACATTTTATTTTCAACTACTGAGTTGAAATTACCCGTTAGCTCACCTATTTCGGTAATGTTTTTACATGAATAACCAGCGAGAAGTTCAGAAATAATGTCTGTAAATCTGTTTTTACCTGTTCCCTGAAGTCCTTTCAAAATAATTGCTGTTTCATTCTTGATTCCAGGATGTTGAATCATTGATGCAATCCAGCCGAGAAGGTATTTATACACTTCATCATTATTATCACAAATGGCTTCTTTAATGAAATCTATAAACATCTCAATTTTTGAGTAATCTACTTTTTCGAGAATGTTGTATTTATAACCCTGAAACGTTGAGAAAACATCTGGGGAATCAGATTTAAAGCAAACACCCTTAACGGTTAATGAGGATAATTGATTTAATAGTACGTCCCATGCTGTTATTGTTTTACCTTCTTCTTTAAATAATTTAATCATTTTAAGTGACTCTTTCATGTTTGATTGAAGAACGAATGATATTTGATTCATTTTGTCGTGGATATTATAGTCCTTTTGAATGAAATATTTGTTTCCACAATCTACAAAACGGATTACACGTGATAAATCCTCAATTACTTCAGAACTGTTTTTATACTGATGATTTTCAGCCTTGCGTCTAATATCTGTTATCAAAAACGAGTCATCAAGTTTTATATCAAATGTTATTTTTGGCTTACGTAATAAAGGTAAAACATATTCATCATAATATTCTTTTTGATATAGTTTTAGAATCTTCACTAAAACAAATGGAGAAGTCATTAAATGTGCATATCTACTACGTGCTTTTTCAAAATTACTTTTTGCATTTTCTGTTAAACTGCAGAAGTTATAAACGTTATCGTATGCTTCATTAATTAAATGATTAGGTAACGAATTAATTGCTTGAAACAGTGTGAATAATGTAACTTCTTTTTCTAAATTCATGTTTCCACCGTCATTATGTACTTCAAAATCACAGATGCCATCAACTATGCTCTGGGCAAGTTTATCGTCAATGTTTACATCTTTGTTTTCATTCATGATAGTCTTTATTTCTTCGTTCTTCTGTTCAACTCTTACCTTAATATTCAAATCATTTAATATATCATTCACTGTTCTGGTTATGGTCGAGTCATAACTTCCACGAATGAATGAGTATGTATTGATTGGTTCTGATGCATTCTTGCGAACTCTTGAATCAGCCATAACCACTAAAGAACGCTTTGAATCATCCATAGAAGTCATTATGTCAATATCATAATCATTGCAGGAATAACATTTAATCATTCTGTTCGAGGTTGAATAGAAGAAATTAGTGTTGCAATAAATGTGAAGACCTCCTGAAGCGGTTTTAACGATAACATCTTTATCCGAAAGTTTTGATAAAATATCTTTTCTAACTGTTTCTTTAAGTTCATCATTTAACGATTTATTGATATCAACATCTATAATCGTTAAATTTGAAATTTTATTTACTAATAAAGCCATACCAGTTTTCCTTCCTCTTCCTCCATCATGTTTGAGGTAGTTATGTAAATCAATCTTGTTTTCACCAATTCTTTCGTTGAGGGTTTTAGTTTCTGCCACAACTAATTCCTCAGCTAATGAATCAATAACTTGTTCATCAGAAATGATAAAGTTGCTGTTGTTGTTTGTTGCTGTCATTTATATAGGAATAAAAAAATAAAAATAATTTTAAAACTAACTTTATTTTTGGACTGCATCAAATTTCCAGGACTGTTGTCTAAATGTCATGTTGTCTCATTTTTTTCAGAGAAGTTAATTAACCTGGTAGCACATGGTAACATGGTAGCACCTTCAGTTCTTCAAAAATAATTAATTATTGAATAACCTGAAAATATTAACGTAAACATTATTTTTGGTTCATTTACACTCATTACGATGAAGTCTTGACAAAACATTTACGATGAAACCTTGACAAAGTCTTGACAAATCATTTACGAAGAAGTCTTGACAAATCATTTACGTTTATGTTTGACAAAACATTTACGATGAAGTTTATTTCCTGTGTTGTTGTCAAAATGTCATGTTGTCATCATTTTTAAAAGAAGTTAATTAACCTGGTAGCACATGGTAACATGGTAGCACCTTCAGTTCTTCAAAAATAATTAATTATTGAATAACCTGAAAACATGAGACTTTGTCTCCGGACTCTTTGAGTCACTTAACGATAAAATATATTTTTGGTCATGGGCTATGCCCCGCCACGTTGCGTCTTTATGACAAAAATAAATGGTTCATTTACTCACAATATTTTTGTACAAAACGACCCAAGCTTTTAACTTCTTTTCTGCAGCTTCTAATGCTATCTTAGCGAGTTCATATTCTCTAAATTCTCTCTTTAAATTTTCTTGTCCCCATTGGTCTAGTTCGAATGGAGAATCTCTATAACCATAACATAACTCACGTTCATGTTCTAATTGTTTTTCGCGCATTTTTCTAACTTCTTGTTCGAACAAAGGTTTAGCATTCTCTACTGTATCTTCAAGTTCTTCTTCATCTAATTTCTCATGAACTTTCTTGTCTATGGAGTCCATAATATCTTTGACATAAAATGCATACTTTACAGAGCACCATTCAGCAACAAAATGAACGAGGTTAGGATGTATGTAAATACCTTTGAATTCATTTATAACACCCTTTGTAAGCTCATAAAATGCTTGTTTTGAGGTCGAGCCACTTTTGGCTCCACCGTATTCGTTCATCCAAAACTCAAGAATTTCCTGCATTTTAGCACTATTGAGAAATCTGTTTAAATGGTTTAACTTTCCTGCTTCTCTTGCCATCTTTGTTGCATTAATGTAACCATCCTTGTCTCTACGTAAGACTTCAATACCGTTATATGTACCTTTTGTGAATGTTTCGCCATTAGATTTGTTAGTGAATGTTTTTGCTTCGACTGACATTTCTGTTCTTACATACCAAATAAAAAGTTAGATAAAATAAAACTAACTTTATTTTTGGACTGCATCAAATTTCCAGGACTGTTGTCTAAATGTCATGTTGTCTCATTTTTTCAGAGAAGTTAATTAACCTGGTAGCACATGGTAACATGGTAGCACCTTCAGTTCTTCAAAAATAATTAATTATTGAATAACCTAAAAACATTAACGTAAACATTAACGTAAACATTTATTTCTGCAGTTCATCCATTACTTCATTACCTAATTAATTACAGACATAAAATATATTTAGTTCATTCGGTAAGCCTAAACCCTTTGGGTCAAGTCTCAAGCACATTCAATGAACGCGGTACCATGCGAATACAGTCACAAATGGTGGCATGTAATCTTTACCCGAGCCTGTTGGATTTGTTGTGAAAGTGTGTGAATGATTTCCTGCGGTTCCACAGAAAATACCTGTGCTTGAATCTACTGGGTCAGTTGTGATATCATATCTATTCATTCCCCATCTATCCGAACCCGCTGCAAGATTTATATAACCTCTTTTTGTTATTGAATGTGAATGATTACCTGTTGTGTTTGTAGTTCCTGTATGAGTGTGCGGTGGAAGGTTTGCTTCTTTAATTTTCTTCGAACCTCCTGTTTGCTTTGAATATCTAGCACAGTATAAGAATTTATCTACAATCTGCTTCCACGTACCAAAACCTAAAACTGTTGCTGGATTTGTTGAGTTCATTGACGTATAAATAGAACCAACAGGATATAATGTTTGAAGAATTTCATTTTTCATGCTTGTAATCACATCATTTACTTCCGACTTCTGTGCATAATTTTCATCAACATAAGTTTTATCTGCTTTAAGGTCTAAACATCCTGAAACCCATTCTGTATCAGCTTTAACTTTAAAAGTCTCCAATGTCCATTCATGATACCATTCAACCTTTTCTTTAATTTCATTATCTTTTTCATCAACATAAACCAAATTTGCCTTCTTATTTAACTCACTATCCACATATTCCTTATCCACCTTCTTCATTATGTCATTTAGGAAACCTTCTATGAATTCCTCATTTAAATTAAATCTTCCAATCTTCAAAACTTTAGGAAATGCATTTAATGCGTAATATCTCTGTTCTTCTGGTGGAATTGATGTTATATCATCCGTTATTCCTTTAATTTTTGAATTCATAAATAAAATTTCTTTTATATTTGATATCACTGCACCACCTTTGCAAACGAATTCGAAATGGTCATTTTTCAATACTATCTCCAAATCTCCATATTTCAACCTTTGCGTTTGTTCTGCCGTCTTTGAATTATATGCATATATGGCGTATGTAATGGTCTGAAGGACCTGGGTGTTTTTGCCTTAAGTTGCTGTTGTTTAATCATTTATTATGATTTAAAAATAAATATTTAATCTGTTATCTCATCGCTATTTTCTCTATTTGAAATTGCCATAATATTTCATTCATAAATTCTAAATCACAATCAAATAGGTCAGTTATTCTAAATTTAATATTTGATAAATCTTTTGAATGAAGAATAAATGAATTCCCGGATAATTGAAACGGATATGATAAAGAAAATGTGTTTAAGTTGATGGATAAAATGTTTTGTATTGATGGGTAAGAGTTAGGGTCTAATGTTTGATGTGAAAATCTCATTGGGGTATTAACTTTATCACATTTGATTAAAATGAAATTGGAACCGTGTCAGAATACAAAACATCCCCAACATCTTTTTCAAAATTTAATATTCCCAACAATGAACGAAAATGAGGAGTACAAAATTTAATTTTCAGCGGGAATTTAATAAGGTTATTTATTTCATCAAGTTCAAAAAGTTTATCAGGTTTTGATTTAAAATTTTCTTCATACCATACGATAAATGATTCATTTAAATAACTTAAAATCATGTTAATATCCCATTTCGCTATCACATTATTTATATACATATCATACGTTTTTTCATGGTCATCTTTAATAAATGATATATAATCTGAAGGGTCTAAAAGAATGGGATTAAATTTACCACTCACAGAAACGAGAGTAACATTATAAATTCCGCTAACTGTTAAATTTAATTCACAACTATTATTCGAAATAATATTGATAATTGACATTTTTATTACGATTAAAAATATGGTAAAGCGTTATTTTCCAGTGATAAATAAAACTAGAATAAGATTACCTCAAGAATTCATAAATTCAACGAATAAGAAATTCATTCATGTTATAAATTTTAGTGTTTTCAGAAAATATGAGTCAATGTCATATTCATCAACAGGTTATATTTCACTTCATTCAAATTTAGTTCAATCAAACCCATATAATGACCATTTCATAAGATTTTCAGATGGTATTAAAAATGTAATTGATAGATTAAAATATGAACAGATTGACAATATCGAATTTTTGGAATTTTGGTTTAAATATCCCGATGGAAAAAAGATTGAAGTTAAAGATAAAGCTGATACTATAACAAAAACAATTACAATGACCGATCCAGATAGTGGGGAACAAAAAGAAATAAAACAAACGATAGAAACTGGTGAAAGGTCAATTATTATTGATTATGATTCAAAGGATTATTATTCGATAATGTTAATGCTTGAATATTAAATAGCCTTAACAAAGAATTTTTCAAGTGATATTTTATATTCATCAACTATTTTATTATAAATATCATTATATGTTAAATGAAGTTCAGTTGTTGTTCCGTTCTTTGATATCTTAATTGTGCTAATATCCTTTATAGGATTTATTTTTGCAACTGTTCCGCAGCATGAAACCTCATCATCTATGAAAAATTGAATCTTAACGTCTGAATCTTGAACATCACAAAGAATGGCGATAATGTGAATTAATGATTCATAAGGTAAAATAATTAAACCGGATTGATCAATTAAATTTATTATTGAATCATAATTATTAATTATTATATCACGGTAAATTTTCATTAATTCAGAATTAATGTCTATTTTATATGGGTTCTCGATGTTTGATGAAAGAGGTGGGGGGTATGTTGGATAAGTGGGAATTTCAACAGGTTCTTTACCAGGTTCAGATAAAATGATTGGGTCTCCATTCTCATGGTTTTCTTCATTCTCCTCATTCTTCGGTAAGTCACGAGTTAATAAATTTGGTTGAGTTGCTGACCTTGTTAATTCAGGGCTAACATTAACTTTAACATTTTGAATAATTCGTGATTTATCATCATTTACGTTATAACCAACCGTAATCTCTGCTTTTGCGTTAGTGTTCTTTTGACTAGTGAAACGTCTTCTCATTTATATTCGAATAAAAAAATATATTTAAACTTTTATTTTGCTGGAACTTTTGAATCTATTATTCCCTGTATTTGTTCTTGAAGTTGATTTTTAGCTGTTTCATCGAAATTAATAGACCGAATATATTCATTAATTGCATTCTTATAATCACCTGATTTCTCAAATTTTCTTTTATCTGATTCCTTAACTAAATCATAAGTTAAACCACGTTGCTGATATAATGGTTTCTTAATTAAATCTTTGAATGCTTGAGATAAAGCACCTGATGCAATTCTTGCTACTATAATTGGTTGGAATTGCTGTTTAAGTTCATCTTTAACATTTGCGAAAACTGGATCGAATAAAGCAACTTTAAAGAATTTCTTAGCTGAAATTTCAGGTCTAATATTTGCATATTGACCATCAAACTGGTTAGAATATCGTGGTAATCCATCCGGTCCCTCTTCAATAGCATTTAATTCTTCATTGAAATAAGAATATGGATTATGACGGTATGAATTAATTGGACCATTTTCACCTTCTCTAATGTATTGTTTAACAGCTTTTCCATTTTCATCAAATTGCATAGGATAACGTTCATTATATGCTTTACGTTTAGGATAATCAGTTATAGTTAATTTGTAACCATTTATGACTTTAATATTACCTTGACCATCAGTAACGAAAACTTCATTTATACCATCAGGTTTTCCATTTGGACCCGTAATGTCTGCTTCGTGTGCTTCCCAATTTGGACCTTGACGTTTGGCATATGCTTGAGCTTCTGGTAATGTTAAAACGTTTCTCATTTGTTTAACATCTTTTTGAAGACCAGCAACAATATGAACTAATTCTTTCATTCCATCAGGAACTTTCATAGTTCTATTATATGCACCCTTTTTGTTTGTCCCTTGTTTTAATGGAACCTGTAGAAGATTTGCTATTTCTGTCATGTTTAATTATAAATAAAAAATAAAAATTAATTATAAAAAGTTAATCAAATTTAACACTTCCTTTATTTAAATCAACTATTATTTTTCCATGTTCACCTAATTGCTGATATTGTGTGTAAAGTTCATTAATGCTCATTGGTAAATTCACTTGATAAAGCATAACGTTCAACTGTTGACGACTAAACCCACTGAAAATGAAAAGGTTGATAGATTTGATTTAATGTTTGTGCTTAATGCTTTGAAATATTGAACAGCCATAAAGAATGAACACTGAATGTGTCGACATTGAGTTAATAACTGATTAAAATATGATTTCTCATTTGTTATTAGTTTTGATTTCACTGCATCATCTAGAAAAATGAGTGAATGCAAAAATTCTCTATCAAAATTTGAAATAGAAAGTGTTTCAAATAATTCATCCCGTTGTTTATCAATAATTTTATCCTCTAATCCTTGCTTCTTGATTGTATTATATAATTCTTTATACATTAAAAAGTTTTTTAAATAATCTTCTGCTTCTTCTTGTGATAAATAAATAATTGGAATTTTGATTAAATGCTTTAAAGATTCAAATGTATCATCTGAAGGTGAACCTGAACGGTTGATATAAATTAACACATGTGAATAGGGGGAAGTGTTAGCAATAATGATAATTTGTTTTAATATCGTTAATGTTTTACCTTTATTTTGTTTACCAATTGCTGCAGTGATTGAATTTAAGTAACATTCAGAATATGGAATTTTCATTAATTTTTCCTTAGATAGAGCATTTCTATTATCACTCAATGCTTCATTAATCATATCATCTACGTATGTATTATATACTCCCGCTAATTCTTCATAAGGGTGGATGAATTTAAATCCATTTAATCAAAAATAAATTTATAATTTTAAACATTTCTATTCATCAATATTTCATCATATGAACTTCTATACTGTGGTGGTGTACCTGTTGGATGATATTTCAAACCTTCATCCGGTGTCCATGTCCAATATGTAGTCCTAGTAAACCAAACCTGAGGAGGATTTGTCACCTTTGAACAGTAAGTGTCATTTACACCCTGAATGATTGGATAAGCTTTCACTTGTACTGTAACTTGTGAGTTGAAAGTTTCTAATCCATCAAAGAATATACCCGCTCCATCACGTTGAACTGGAATAGTGCATAAGAATGAAGTTTGGTCTTTCCATGTTCTAGCTAATGGCGTGCCATCATCATCATTCAGTGGTCTAGTTAATGAGTCCTCGTATTCTTCTGTGCATTCATTCACTCCATCTAAATCAGAAGCTTGAAGCATACGTGTAAAGAATATGTCACCCACTGTGGTCATCGCTTGATCGGGGAAGTTTCTGGAATCTATAGTGACCTGAAGACCTCGAAGCATTGGATTTTCTAAAACTGTTCTTTGCATTGCATTCTTCGGAAATGTTAACACAACATCTGTAACATTATGAAGAGCGTATGAGAAATCTGAGCTGATACCTTCAGGAGTGATGCAACCTCCATTTAGTGAACGAACGTCAATATGTTGAGCTGGAATCATGAATGGATCTTCCTTACTGAATAAACGTGGTATTGCTTTAACTGATTCTTCAATTAAACCGTATCCTGGTGTAATGCATTTATCCTCTAAAACTTCCATCTTTGTGCATGAAATAATAACGTCATCAACTGTTGCGTCAGCAGATGTAGCGGCTAAGCTTGTAATTAATTTGGCAGGAAGTCCGATTTGTTGGAATTTGCGATCATATTTATAAACATGATTCATAATCTTTTCATAATTTTCATCAGTTATCTTTTCATAAACGTAATTTTGTAAATCAGCAACTCTTAACGGGTCAACCTGACAAAATACTAAAGTATCCCTGAAAACATAATATTTAAGAATGATATCACCAAATGATTTAGGATAATCATCGAACGCCTGAAATGCTAACAAATCATTTACCGGAATAATCATATCAAAAGTGACATCAACTTCTTCATTTGCGTTCTTGAAAACTTCTGAAGGGTCAATATATTTACCACATACTGAGTTATCATATTTTTGAACATTATTATATAACGAATGAACAAACTTTTTAACTTTCCTTTCTGATTTTGGTTTATATGTTGCAAATGCGAAAGATTCACGGGCGCAATCCATTGAAGATAACCGGCATCACCTCTTTCGGTTTCTACTTCTAATTGTTTAAAGCTTTGATTTGATGATTTGTAACCAACGAATAAACGCATGCATTTAAAAGCGGCATCACATGTGAAAGCTTTATTTGAAACTAGAGTTGCTTTAACTTTGCGTTTAATATATGTGTCACCTAATTTTCACATCATGAGCCGGATTTGTAATTCTTAAATGAGTTTGTTTATCATCAAAATATGGAGTATCAGAGTCATAGCATGAACTTTCAAGTTCTCTATAATATCTTCTACCGTCATTCTTTGCGAATATTTCATTTATCTTTTCGAATGAATGAAACACATTTCCATTAATCGGTTTAGTGTTTGGCACTAAATAGTTAGTCGTCATTTATTAATAAATAAAAAATCAAAATTAAAAGATGAAAATGAATTTTTAATTTTAATGAAATAATCAACTATGGCTGCAGGTATATTTAAGAAACTGTGGGATAAAGTAAAAAGAGGAGCGCATAAAGTTTGGGAAACATTGAAGAAGGGGCAAATTGGATATTTAAGAATAAAGAAGCAATTAGTGACGTTGCTGAATCAATAACACCAAAAGCTGCCCCAATAAGAGAAATATTAAATAAAGGAGAAAAAGTTTATCAAAGACTTCAACCGATACTAAGATAAAAATAATATTTATTTATTTTTCCACTATCTACCCCCTATTTTATTAAGTATTCCTTCAGCAATTCCACCAATTGCGTTACCTGCTTGTGCTCCCATCGCCGGATTACCTGCTTTAGTACCTAATACTCCACCTATGATAGTTCCTGCCGTTTTCGCTACTGGTGCCAAAAAGTTTGCAATGGGTTTAATAATATTTTTATGAACCCAACCCGCAGCTTTCTTAATTCCATCCCATAATTTTTTAAAGAATCCTGCCGCCATTTCTGATTTAATATTAATTAAAAAATATATTTCATCACTTATATTCTAATTTTTATTTAATGATAAATGAAACCGATTTTAAAAATAAATGAAACAGAGGAGGAAGAAATAAATGAAAGTGAAAATGTTCAACAAAAAATAAACGTTGTTAAACCAATTACTGAAATAAAAATTTTTTCATCTGTTGAAGAATTTAATGACTATTATGCTAATAATAAAAAATTATTTGAAGAATTGACAACGTGTAAATTGAATAAAATGTTTAAAGTTGATGGATTCAAAATTTCAAAAATAAAAGGAGTGGTTAGTTTGAAATCTATTCCTCAATCAAGAATCACCTCATTAATGAAAATAGATGATTTAACAAAAAGAATAGAAGAGATTGAAGAAAGAATGAATCAAATAATTGATTTCATAAATTCAAATAATCATTAGTTTCTTAAAGTTCTATGTTGAACTCATCAAATTCTTCTTCATCATTACCATTACTCTTTCAACTCTATCTTTTGATAGTCTTGCGTTTAATTTTTCGTAAGAAGTTTATTTTTTAAAAATTTTTAAAGTTTATTTTTTTATTTTTTTTATTTCATTATGGTAGTGAATCTTTTATTCATGAAAATAATTATTTCTAATTTCTTTTACTCGTTTATGAGGTCTTTGATTATGACTCCATTGATTCCATTCAGGATTTAAACAATGTTTAATTAATCGCGGAATATCTGACATCATCTATATATAGCTTCTTTTATAAAAGATAAAAAATAAATTATTTTAAAATTAATGTGTTAAAAAAATGATACAAAATCGCTCGATATTGTATGAATTCTTACGTTTACAAAAAAAGTCACACAACCCTCCTATCCTACTACTTACACAACAATAACGTATGTAATTTAGTAATTTGTAAGTTAAAGCTGGCGTTTGATGATATGAATGGAGCCATGGTGGATGATGTAAATCAGATTAAGGTCATTATTTCTCAAAAAATACGTTATTTCGCAAGCGAAAAAAATTCTCATGAACAACTTCAAGCGGATTTTTTTCAGTAATAAACCTCCAAACTTCTCTTAATTGTGGAGAGAAATTGAAGTTTTCTTCATGCATAGTAGTTTAGTACTTTGTATTTACAAAAATGTCAGAAACAGTGTTGACGTATATGCAATTTAAAATCGATGTCATTTATACTTAATAAGAATATATCCAATTGTTCTATTCTTTCAAAATATAAAGCTCTACAAAGGAAATTGTATAGCATAAAATTTAATAATCTACCCCGATACTTTGAACGATGAAAATTGTAAGCCACTGCAATAAAATTAATCCTCAATTGTTGTATATATTGATATCTTACTCTCATAAAAATCTGCAAGACTGTTTTCGCGAAAAAGTCATTTTACATACATGCGTTACTTAGTTAGGCGATTTTTCTAACCTCAACCATAAAAATAATGCAAAATACTGAAAGTCTAGATATAATTAATAGACTCTAAATATTGCCGCTGCGCTTAAAACAAGATTTAACAAATTTGTCGATATTTACTCAACAAATTGAAATTTCATCAATAAAGCAAAAAAATGAGATACAAACAGGAACATGACGAATTCATCTACTAAAAACTAATTTATAACTAATATACAGCAAAAATTCTTGATTAATCCCCGAATTGCAACAAATAACTTGAGGGTATTGTTTTACGTTGCTTACAAAAGCAAACTACATAAAGTTTTTGAAATAGAACCTTTTAAATACGCTCAAATAAAAATCTATACTAATACGTTTTCTCTTTTATAAATAAATATATTCTCATTCATTCCCTAAAACAAACCATTATATGAATATCATGAAATATGTCAATAAAAATAAATTATAATAATAATCCAAAATATTCATATTAGATATGGGAAAATAGACAAATTTTGGAATAAGCATCAAAAATAAATAATGTTTAAAATTCCAAATTTTTTTTATTTTGCAAATTTTCTTGGAAAATTCGTATTTCTTCTCTTGATTTTCAAATTTTCCTTTTTTTTTTGGAATTTTAAATGAAAAATTGAGAAACCTAATATAGATGGTTGTCATCTCATATGTGAGTACGTTCATTTTATTTCACAGTTTGGAATTTTCTCATATTTTATGGTGAAATTGAGTTTCTATCACAAGTTAAGATAGCATTTTTAAGGACAGATTACATGAATTTATATTTTCATCAATATGGTATATTGAAATAGGAGACACTCAATATTACAATGTCTTTCTTAGAATTCCAAATGTATTCAAATTTCCTGAAACTACAATTTCTGTAGTTACTAGCCACATATAGGAAGCAACACACAAATGTCTAGTAGATGGTATATCTTATCTCGTAAAATAAGTATCTTAGGAAAAATTCTAGATACTTTTTCAAAACATACAACAACGCAAGATCTATTCTGTAAAACCGATTAACAGTACAAATATGTTTATTTGCAGGTCAAAGAATCGAATGTTAATTTTAATAATATTTCCTCGAAATCGCTCTTGCAGTTTTCTTCCATAATTCGTCTATTAGTCACCGAGTACCTACATAGTCTAAATCCATTACCAAAATCAAGAAAGCATCGTTACGATTTTGTGGACCTACCTTTGAAAAAAATGACTTTGGGTATGATAAATATCACTTTTATAATTGATACATATTATATTGCACATTATTTTGGGGCGGTTATGAATAATGAAAAAAAAAATAATCGTCATTCGACGAATAATGAAAATAATCGTCAAAATCACGACTATAGAGGGTGAGATTACCAAATATTGGTTTTTACAAGGAATGAATATATCCTCAGATCAGAACTCGTCTAGGATGAGGTATTTATTAAGTTTGTTCATAGATGTATTTCTTATATTAAATAATAATTATGAGATATATGTGATAGATTGATTATTGTTTGGGATCTTACAAAACTCATTCTACTTGTTATATTTCTATATCATAAAACTCAATAATATAGTAATATGTCTATTTTTGAAATAAATTTCATCAGGAAGAAGGGTAAATAGAATGTAAGTATCATAACCTTAAGCCACCTATGAAAGATAAATATGTTGGTATGAAAAAAAAGGTTGGATAATGAAATCAAAAATATAAATAAAATTTTTATTCATAAAAAGTTAAGAAAGTATAAAAAGGATATTTCTTCCACATGGTAATGACATATTTCATTGACATAAGTATGTTTTCGACTAAATTTATAATCAAAATTTGTGAAAGTCGAATTTTTTAAAGTAAGTGGTTGTGGAAATGCTTTTATAGTATAATCCGAGTATTAAATTGCTTGAGATTTAGAATAATTTTAAATCAAATATACGATTTGAGAAAAAGCCTTCATATGCGAGTTATGCTTGTATATCTGAGTTTTAAGCATTTTAGTATAACTAATTTCGTTAAAAATTCGATTTTCGAAAATATATTATTTAAATTATCGTAATGGTTGTATTTTAAGGGAAGCATTCAAATTTCATTAGGTTTTAAATTATGTGGCGGATGATTTAGCAGTTGGTATGCTTAATTTAAAAAAAAATCGTTTCTCAGTCAGAGATATGTATTACAATCGATTAACCAAGACTGGGCATTGAATATATTTTGCATTGCATTAAAATTTAATGCATATATCCCTGTCTTTGGAAATCGATGAATACGTTAGAAACCGGAAACGAGATATAATGGATAAATATGAATAGAATCAGTATTTATTGATGATATAAAAGCAAAATCTATCAGTGATATTTGCTATTTTCATAAATGTGTGGTGATTAAAGCTTAAGGGTTCCGACCGACCACGTAAAAGTTCTCAATTTATGTCAACTTCATGACATGCTGCAGGGACATAGACTTACTATTTCCCGATGCTACCGTAGACAATATGGTACAAGAGGAGTAGACGAAGCTATCATCTGCTGGTTCATGAGTTCTCAAATCAACAGAATCTATCGAAATGATAAATTCTTTGAAACAAGTTTGCGAATTTTTCTAAAATATGTACATGGTAAAAAGACTCGAGTAGCTCGAAAAATTTTCGGATTTTTCGATCTTTTAAAATTATAGTTGTTGCCATATGTGATTTTACTTTATCAATGATTCGCTGCTCAAAACCCAACATTTACTCAGTTACGATTTTATATTCTACAAATAAATGCAAAACATAGTAATATGACAGAGCACCGTATATTTTCATATTGTAACAAGATATGTCCTCCATGCAACTACCCATTAAGTTGTATCAAAATTGTTAAATTATCTCATCCAAACAAAAATAGCGGGATTTATAAACCATTTACGATTGGCTACAATAGAATACCTAGATGCAGTTTGTGATTTTAATTTGGCTTAATAATACGCTAATATTAAAATTTTAATTTGTTGTAAGTAATATTGTAGAGATGATAAATCAGTAGTTGTTCATACATTGTGAAATAAAAACATATCTTATATATAAAAGCTAAATACATATAAAAATTAAAAAAAATTATTCGAATTTAAGGATTAGAGAGAAGTTATTACTAAAATTAATAGCATTTTGGTTTTTAAAGAAATTGTATTATTACAAAGTTCCACTGTTATGAGTATGAGGTAACAATTATTTCATGGATTTGATCAAGTCTATCCAGTACATATATTTCTATATCGAGGGAAGACCAAAATTTTTGTTACGGGCGTGACCAAGACCAAAATTTCACCAAAAGTGACGCTTTTTTGAGAAAAATCATTATCTGGGACTTCTATGTATACCACTCATCAGAGCATACTCCATACTATCATACTTTATCTTGATGATGAAGTCTGAAGATTATATAAAAATTGATTATTGATTATTATATAAATATTATGCAATTCTTCAATATGTTGTATAGATTAGTACACTTATTGCAAATCTATCCTGTATTAATGATTAAATTTGTTCATTTAAGTATAATATATTTCATTTCCACCAAAAATGCTTTTTTATTGTGTAATAGTATACAAATAGATAAATATTATATATTAAAACTCATTTATATTGTGATAACGCCTTAAATGCTTATAAATTGTATTGAATATCAAAGTTATGGAATGAAATAGTCTATTAGTTAGATTAGAACGGGAATAAATATATTTATAGTTAAGCATTAGATATTCTAATGTAATTATTCCAAAATGTCTCAATTACAAAAAAAATAAATATTATTACCTAAAAAGTATTGTTTATTCAGCAAACAATGTAAAAATAAAACTATATTATAATTTTGGAAATAATAAGGATATACATCCAAATTTAATAATCTTGCCTTTTTATATCAACGTAATCAAAGTATGATCTATGCAATTTGTATTTTACCTTTGTATGTAAATTGAAAAAACGCATTTAAAATCGAATCTGTTCAATTTGAGTGATTTCTATGATATATTTATATGAATTCGAATTAAATGGAAATATAATTCGTAGTTGCTAGTACTTGAAATTACAATTGCCTATAGATTTATTGTTCTTTGTGTTAATAAAATATTGAATTTGAAAAATAAATCGATTATTGTATAATATCTTGTGTCATTGATGGTAAATCTCCATGTATGTGGAATTTCCGATGAAATTATTAGTTTAATCGAATGATATAAGTTTCAAGGTTTGCGATTTTATATGATTTAAGGCTTCATTCAATGGATTACAATAAGGAACATTCACCTTATTCAAAATTCCGTTTGAAAATCTATTATGTGCATGTTTGTTAAAATGTGTGATGTTCATTATAACAAACAACACAATCTTATGGAAATTTTCCCCGATAATTACGTTATTTATAGTTTAGATCTTCTTATGTAAATATGGCACATAAATATCAATAAATCATATTAAACATCATATAAATGATAATTGCGCCTTTAAAAATAGATATTTTATTCATTTGATCTCAAATTATTGTATTTCATGGCATTATAACAAATCCACATTGAAATAGACAGTTTCTATTGCTATTAAGAACAAAAAATATAGATTGGCACAAAAAACATGCTGTTTAATTTTGAAACAAATCAATTGGTATTGTTGATACGTTTTCACACAATAACACAGTTATAAACATATTGTTTACATATGAAATTATCTTGCACATTACTTATTTATGCCCAAATAATAGTATATCTTATTAAATCTTTTATTTAATATAACAAAAAAACACAAGATAGTACTTTGGCTACATGAATGAATTCCCCATCCAATACTTTAATTGTTACCAAAGGATCATTGCAAAAAATTTAACTCTATAATTGATTTTGACGATTATTTTCATTATTCGTCGAAAGACGATTATTTTTTTTTCATTATTCATAAGGGTGCACTGTAGTCGGTTTGACAGACCCTCAATTTCGATCATTTGGTACTCAATTCCGATCAATTGGACATTTAAGGCTATACTTATTTCATAAATAACTCCTTACCTATTTAACATTTTTCAACTTTCTTTTATTATTATGCATCAGTACATTATTACTAATCTTAGGAATAAAAATTACGGATATATTTCTTGAAATGATAGAAATTTAGAAAGGGGTGTCAAACCGCTTACAGTGCACCCATAACCGCCCGATTATTTTGGAATTTTGTTTTTTCAAAATTTTCTAAATTTAATTTGGATTTACCTTTTTAAGAATACACCTCTCAATTTTATTAAGACGGTTTTTTGTTTCCCTCAAATATATTGAGAGATGTGGGAAAAAATATATTTTTGGGTGAAGTACTCTGAAGTTCTGAGCCAGACTTCAAATATCTGGATACTGTGAAGTCCTCAATATCATATGCGTTTTGCATGAATATTTGTCGCTCGAATTTTGCAATTGATCTTTGCGTTCGATATTTAATTAACACAATCACTCAACTGAATCAATTAATCCAATTCTGTATTATATTATTGGTTTATTATCCGAAAATTTGATAAAAAGTCAAAAAATAAGCGATATCAAAGATTACTGTATGAATGCGCTATTTGTTGATCCTTTTCTGATTAATTGCGAATTACTGAAATGTTTTTATTTGTTAGATTCTGATATAAATTTTAAAAATCTCTTTATTTTCATAAGTAATACTTACAATTTGTAATCTTTTATTTCACAGATATAAGCTTTTAAAATAATAACAAAATTCAATTGCATCATAACAGACTTGTTGAGGAAGAATTGTTTCCCGTCTATGTATGAAGAAAACTTCAATCATTCTCCACAAGTAAAAGGAAGTTTGGCGTTTTGTTCATGAGAATATTTTTCTTTTTGAAATAACGTATTTTTTGTGGAATTCCTTTGCCTGTATTATCAAAATGAATCCATATTTGTGTTACCATTTTGTTTAGGTCTTCATGAATTATATGTTTTGAATGATTAGTTTATTCCATATCATTGTTATTCTTTTCACAATTATTTATTGGTGTCCTTCATTTCACTATAGTGGCCCAATAATTGTTGATAGGTTTGAGCAAATCAACATTAGCTTTGAACCAAATGCGAGTATAGCAATTCCTTTTTATCAAATTCAATCAGATCACTTAACAAGAATTACGCGTACAATTCCATATTGGATCTTAAATTATTCTCTTTTGGATCAAACAGAATTTTTCGAATGGGTCAGATTACGCTGCTTTCTCACACGTTCAATTGTTTATGTTGGAATATATCACAATGTGTTTACTTCAAATTCTCCTCGTACAAAACAGTTTGGGTTTTCTGTCTTACCACCATACAAACAATTTGAAGTTAATAAAAGAAATGTAATTGGAAAATATGACATAGGTGTTTACTGTTACGAAGAATTTCATGAATGGGGTCACATGATCGTCGATTTTATATGCTCATTTTTTTATTTACCCGAAGAAGTTCATAAACAAGGATTTATTATACATGGTCCATGGTCAGCTGGTGGTTCATTATACGAGTGGCTTAAAATGCTTCAATTTAATGCAACAGTTTTTGATGGATATTCTCATCAACAAATTTACGTCAGACAACTATATGTCGTCAATCAGTGTTTCCATGCTCATTATTTAACAGCAGGGGCCTATCCTTTACTCAGAAAAAGAATTTTTGATCTTCATCATCTCGAGCAAATTCCACCAACATTGTTTGTTGCACTTAACAGAAAAGGCAACAGATTTTTAGGAAATATGGACAATGTTGTGGATGCTTTGATAGCGGAAGTTCCCATTGATGAAGGACAAAAATGGCATGAATTACAATTAGACGGAGAACTTGAAGAAGTAATGAAAACATTTGCATCTATAAAGGTTTTAGTAACTTTAGGTGGCTCTCATATATTTAATTCCATTTTTATGAACAATAAAACTGGAATTGTAGCAATGTTCCCAAAGGTTATGCTTATAGAACAAATGACAATGGCTGCGATGAGTAACATCTTCATGGCAGGCATATACTTGAATGATCTTCAATTACATCAGACTAGTCCATATAATGTCAGCGTACCAAAAGTTGTTTCTTATACAAAGATGCTTGTTAAAGCAGTTAAATATGGAAAATGGAGAAATAGGGATCATTTATACCAAATATTTAATGTGACTGAACAAGAAGAATGCCCCATAGATGCAATAAATCCGATATATGTTGATCAATTTAAGTCAGAAATGATGCAATATTCATATGATAATATAATGTAGAATACTAAATTAATATTCACCGAAATTTATTTGAATTTAAGGCTTCTCTCCCATATGAACTGATCCTCTTAAGAGGTACCAAGCTCCTTATGTTGTCAATTTCATATAGCATTACTTATGTGATATCATTACCTGATCTTCATAGATGTTCTAAGTTATTAAAACCATTTTTTTGTAAAAGATTAATATTAATATCTGATATATCTCATATAATAACAATTGAATTTTCCAACTAAGCATGATTTCGATATCCATGCAGAACACAAGTTTATATTCTAAAATACAATTTCTGCTTTCATATTAAAGTATATTTGTCTTTCTTTCTCAAATTCCTTATTTAACATAAAGATCAATTAATTATCTGTTACCTAAACTATCATAAAATAACAATACAATGCAGACTGTTTTTCTCTAGAAGATTCATGAGAAGAAATTCTGCTTAATCTCTATATTATTTTTACCATAATCTGCTTGGTGACACTTAAATTAGTTGGATTACCAAGCAGATAATAGTGTAATAAAGGTCTTCAGTCCAGATTTGAGTTATTCCAGCAGTTAATGGTGAATGCTATGCATCCTCAAGGATTTCAAATGTAGGACGTTTTACGGGCGCCTTCGAGCCAAAAGCATGTTCAAAAATTTGGATTATATGAGCAATGATCATTTTTGTTTCTAATGCAAATTTACATTTGAATGAATAATAATCGTAGTTCAGATAATTTTACATGTCCGCGAGCCAAACTCAAATTAAGATAGTTTTACTTGGTGATCAGGCAGTCGGAAAAACATCCCTTCTCCAAAAATGGGTTGTTGGTAATTATGATGTAAACTTACCTCCAACTGTTGGTGGAGCAACTCAGATCAGACAAGATGTTGTAGAAGGAGTTAAATATAGTTTTCAAATTTGGGATACTGCTGGTGCAGAAAGATACAGAGCTCTTACTCCTTTATATACTCGTGATGCAGCTGCCGCAATGATCGTTTTCGATTTAACTTCACAGACATCTGTGGATAATATCAAGCAATGGGTGGAATTCGTTCATCAGCATGGCTCCATGCCCTTTATAATAGTTGGAAATAAGGAAGATTTAGTTGATGAACAAATTATTACCCCAGAAGAAGCTCTGGAACTAGCTTTCTCAGTTCAAAGTCAGTTTTTTGCTACAAGTGCTAAAACCGGAAATAATGTCGACTTAGCTTTTCGACAATTGGAATGTATCGCCGTTGAATATTACACGAAATCTGGAGCAGGAGGAACCGCTACAATTGTTATTGATCCAGAACTCAAACCACCTCCACATGGTTGCAGTTGCTGAATTTACTTTTTTTTTTGGTTAGATTTGCTTTTAGCTTTACATTTTTCTTATTAAGTTTTGAATACAAGTTATAAATTTGAAAATTTATTCTTTCAACCTTTAATTGATTATTGCTTTTTTTTATTTATGAACGGAACATTAATTTTGGAATATTTTGCTCGGCATATGAAGCACAGTAACGCGTATGGATTCATATAATTACTTCTGTTAGATTTTGAGATAAATTATGAGTTTTTATTGTATTATGAAAAATAAACGAAAAAGATCACTCAAGAAGAGCACAATTATAGGTTTCTTATGTTTCTATTTTTTTGAATTTTTCAATTGTGGTCAAAACTCGAAAAAAAGTTTCCATTCTAATAGAGTACTTAATAATATCCACAAAATGCACATCATCTTCCTTATATGGATATTATATATGAATCAAAACCGAAAAATCATTGTTTTGAAACGATTTATTTGAACGAAAATGCAACAATAAATATGAATCATAGAGAGAAACATTTTTTTTTCATAAGTAGTTTATGGAATAATACCTTTCGCAAATAGAATCAATATGACAATCAATCCATAAATTATTATAAATCCTATCCACGGCAATAAAGATCGACATATATTAATACTCCTACCATGAATCACTAGACCTTGTATAATTTTTATTGTTGCGCAGTGAGTCCATCTACCAAAACAACAACATGGAACAGGATAGTTGCATTTTTCTAAGACACATGCTGCAAATAAGTGACAATTAGAGCATAGTAAACTGTAATTTTTGTGATGAAATTCTTCTTCAGCTTGTAAAATTGCATTATCAAATATATCTGTATCAACATCTAGCTTCCAACATTGCATTGGATCCCCAAAAAGCATTCTTCCACGACCAACAGATCGAGGTCCTTGAAAATCAAAAACTACTCCGTGTGAATCAACAACCCCGACATGACCAAGAGCAGGGCATAACCAGGATAAGATCGGTATTTGTGTCCAAACTATGGATGTTCTGATATCTTTTTCATAAAAATTTTCAATATCCATTTATTTTTTTTTAAATTTATAAAAGTGACAAACAGATGGCTGCTGCTCTTCTTTTGATATCAATACTTAGCATCAAATCTATTTCAATCAAGCAATCAGCACTCGCAAATCACGAGAATGCAGAGCCATATAAAGCAAAAGACAAAAAGAGCATTTTAGATAATGGTTCTGACACATATGAAATTATAGAACACTCTGGAAGCAGTCCTTTTGAATCAAATTCACAAACTCATCCTGAATCAGAAAACCTATCGGACATTTCACAATTTCCTTCACAAAGCGAAAGTTCCAGCTCAAGCTCCGAGACATTAAGCGAGACTTCTTCAAGCCCATTTGAAATTAGCACGCAGAGCTCTTCAACAGAAAAATCTACTGAAATATCGTCAAGCTCCACACATTCTTCTGAATCGTCTGAACAAGAGACATCATCACTAACGTCATCAGAGTCAAATTATTCATCTTCACTATCTTCAGAAGAGTCTTCATCTGAAATAATTCCAACAAAATCATTTACCTCAACCCCAACCCAAACTCCTTTATGTACAACACCTAATACACATATCACAGTTCCACCTTCATCTACCGATTCCAGCAGTAACTCTTCACCAATTACTCCAGATAATCAAAAAACTGGAGGAGACAAGAAGAAATTCCCTGTATGGATACCAATTGTTGTAGTTATTGTTGTTGCACTAATTATTGCCGCTATTATTTTTGTCCTTATTATCGTTAAGAATCATAAACGCGAGGAAGATAGATTTGATAGCTTCGGATTCAATCTTATTGTTTAATTACCATCTTTATTGTTATAAAGAGAATTACTTTCTTATTTTTATTCCTTCGATTTTTCTGAAAGTTTATGATTGATAAAATTTGATATAAGAAATGTGATAACATAGTTGTGTCAAAACCATATTATTTGACAAATTATTCAAAAACAATAATAGATCACAACAAGGGAACAATGTGGTATTTTTCATTGATACCTTGAGATAGGTTAATAAAGATTATCTTCTGTAGTAAATCATGATGCGCTATCTAGTTATTTAATTCTTCATTTGCTTTCAAATAATAAATATGAAATTCATCAATCTCAACAGAAAAATGGGGAAATTAACTATAGGGACGCCGCATCCTTGATGTTCGAGCTGAATGCTATGCAGTTATCATTGATTACCCTTAAACTCACTCAGTGTTTATCCCAATGTAAACTATTGAAAATTTGATAGTTCGATCTTTGACACCGGAGTATAATGTTAATCAATTTTTCCGATTTTAGCGTTCAAAAACTCTCTATGCTTGATGAATATCTATTAACTATTGATAAAAACCAGATTCAGCTTATAACCAGCTTTATTATTAGAGATTTTTCGCATTATGACAAAATTTATCTTTTCAAGCAGTTAAAATACTATGCCAAGATTCGACCTCGTTTAACACAATTGTATGATGATGTTTATAACAATTTAGTTAAGAGTATCACGAACATCAATCTTACACCAAAAAATGAGGAATATTTTCCTTCAGAATCAAATCATTTTATTAAAATTAAATCTAAAATAACTAATTCCATAATTAACAATGTACAAAATGACGATTTATCTTCTATCTTGAAAAATTCAGAAATGAATGAAGATATTATTAACGATTTGATTAATTTATCTGCTTTATTTGGATCGTGCCATTGCTTGAGATACTTTCTTTTAAATCAAACAAATTTTGATAATAGTCTTGTTAAATATGCAATAGCTGGTGGAAATACAGAGATTGTTGAAATAGTACAAAATAAAATTGATGATTTTTCTAATTACATTAATGTCTCCCTCAAATATCATCAATATCATATCACCAAATGGATTATTGACACCTATTCAGCAGATATTGATTATGTCTACTGTCTCCGACACTATTGCTTTAAATTTTTAATTGAATTTTCTCAAAATAACACACAATTAATAGCATATGATAAAAATTTCATTTACCATTGCGCCGAAGTTGGAATATATGATTTAGTACATTTACTTGTTGAAAATCATTATAATCCTGAAAGCCGCGAATCGATAAATAACGAAACACCTCTTCATGCTGCTGCAAGATGCAACATGCTAAATATTTGCAAACTTTTACTTGATTATAATGCTGATGTTGATGCATGCGATAATGATGGATGGACTCCATTGATGGTTGCAGCGTATAAAAACAATCTTGAAGTTTTTCAATACTTATTAGAAAAAGGGGCAAATATTCATCACAAAGATAATTATTTTGAATCTGTATATTCTATAGCTGCAAGGGATATTCAAGATTATATAGTAATAAATGGATTACTACTTAGTTAAAAGAAGTAATGTACATAAATTATTAAATTTTTTATTGATCCGCAAATATATGGCATACGGTTTCAAAATATAAACAATAATATATTCAGTCCTTACCACATATAATTTCTAAGTTTGTCACTTTTGAGAGTTGTTTCGTGGTGAAATATAGCTTATTTTCCCTTGCGTTGTATACAAATTTACTTATTATACAATTAAATATAAGGTCGACAAAAAAAAGTGCGAAAATTATAAAACATCGTTTGAGCACTTTCTGAGGTAAAAAAAAGAAAAAAAAAGGTAGTGGGGCTTCCAGGCGCGTTGCGCCCTCTAGCCCTGAAGATGTTTAGTATAAATGAAGTTTATATTCGGAGGGCTTCCAGGCGCGTTGCGCCCTCTAGCCCTGAAGATGTTTAGTATAAATGAAGTTTATATTCGGAGGGCTTCCAGGCGCGTTGCGCCCTCTAGCCCGAAGATGTTTAGTATAAATGAAGTTTTTATTCGGAGGGCTTCCAGGCGCGTTGCGCCCTCTAGCCCCGAAGATGTTTAGTATAAATGAAGTTTTTATTCGGAGGGCTTCCAGGCGCGTTGCACCCTCTAGCCCATAAAAAATTTCTGAGGACGAGCCAGCCGGTGACTTTTTTGTAGAGCACTCAAAATAGTATAACTTTGTCCGGACAAGCAAGGGTCTATCGTCGCTACAGGAAAAGTTACAGGCGTTCCAAGGAAGTATACTTTGAGAAGCCTTTTCCCCTTATAGAATGAGACAGGACGGTTATTTTACAAAACTGACAACACTTTGACCGAGTAGTTTTTTGTGCTGAACAAAAAGTGTCATACAAACATCTGTCAAAAACAGTTTTTACTTCACTTAAAATGCCACGTAAGCTACGTAAGAATATACGTAAGAGGAAGGGAGCATTGAAACATCCAATAGTAAAACTGACACCACAACAACAGTTGCAACAACAAATGATGAATGACCCCACTATGTTGCAACAAATGTCAAGCAACCCTATGCTTTTAAACCGAGTTATTGGTGCACAGAGTGGAGGTTTAAGAGCGGCACTTTTAGCGAAAATGGCAGGCTATGGTGGAGCTGCAGACGGAACAGCTTATAACCCTCAAAGTCAAATGAATTTGAGTTCACTCAAAAATCAAATAACAGATGTCAAAAAGTCAAACATAGACATACAGAAACAAATAAGTGAAACGAAAAGAAAACTAGAATATGACAGACAGACAAAGAAACTCAATGAGTTAAACGTAGAGAAAAAGAAGAAAGAAGAACAACTGAAAGAACTAAGTACAGAGGAATATGCGAAAAAGTGTCAGAAAAAGCAGCAGAAGTAGCAAAAATGGAACAAGATGTTATAAATTTGAAAAACCATACTACTCAATATAAAGTATGAAGATGAAGAAATAAAACAAAAGCCATGAAGACATATATGGATAGCGATGAGTATAAAAAAGAAGTTGAAGCAAATGTAAAGGCAGAAAACTTTTACAGTTGCAAAACCAAACGTACAGTATGAAAACTTAGCACAAGAAAGTAAAAATAACGACGCAGCCATGCAAAAGGCAATGAAAAGCGCAGAATATATAAAAGCTAATAATGACTGGTTAGATGCCCAAGCAACGCTAAAGCAGCCCAACTTATAGGGTCAATAAGGACAAAAATACAAGCGGATGAAGACAGTTCAAATGAAGCTTTAATGAATGCTGACTTTAAGAATGCCTTCGAAGCTCTTCATAGTAAGGTGAAACTAGTGAACGACTTCTCATCTGGAAAGAAACTGAAGTCTGAAGGTTTCGACAAAGAGTTAAGAGAAGTAGACAAAATATGACGAAAATAACAGATGCAGCAACGAGACAGGCAGTTCAAAGTGCCTATGACGCGTTAGAGCAACTGTTGTGGAAAGTCAAGAAAAAGAGTTACAACAGACCAAAACAGACCTAGTAAATGCTTTCTAAAAACGAAAAGTCAGATTGGACATTATGCTGAGATGGAACATATGTGCCAGCTGGTGGACTTATATACCACCAAACCCTCCAAGAGAAGCACCTGCACCAGGACTACCTAAAACATTACATCGTCACATGGACACAGACACAGGCATGCACCAAAACCAACACAACAACAACAGTTCAAAATCCAGCACCACAACAACAACCAAAACCAACAGTTTCAAAATCCAGCACAGCAACCAACAGTTCAAAATCCAGCACAGCAACCAACAGTTCAAAACCCTGCACAACAACAACAGTTCAAAATCCAGCACACAACAACAACCAAAACAACAGTTCAAATCCAGCACAGCAACAACAGTTCAAAATCCAGCACAGCAAACCAACAGTTCAAAACCCTGCACAGCAACCAACAGTTCAAAATCCAGCACCACAACCAAACCAGCACAACAACCATCCACAACCAGCACAGCAACCAACAGTTCAAAAACCCTGCAACAACAACACAACAGAGCAAGGACATAAAAGAAGTAGAAGAAAAGGAAACCAAGAATTCTTAAAATGCTTAAGGAAGATTATGGTTACCCAGATACTCTTGACTTTAGTGACAGATATAAAGAAGCTATAGAAAGTTCAAGGAAGGAAATACTGACCGAACCTATTTAGCTTTATGGTTTCAGCATCAAATCGGATATAATCTAAACCTGGAAAATACAAGCTCGCTAAGGGATATGATTTAATAGCATATCATCCAAATGACATGAATGAATTACTCGAGACATTTGATGTCAGAGCTAAATGATAATTCAACTCTCTTCATGAAACACGTAAAAATAGAGACGGAACGAAAGAAGAAAGGTTTATGAGTCCGGATGACTTAGATAGGGAACTTGTTAAAAACGGTCTCGAATATATGAAATGCCAGCAGATGAGGTACAAGAAACTCAACAGGAAGAAGTTCAGATACAACCAGACATGGAAGAAATAGTTCTGCAACAACAGCTAGAAGAGCCGAAGGAAACGAACAAGTCCCTCCTTGGAAACTAACTTCACAGAACTAGATGAAGAATTTGGAACAGCCGAAAATCTTGACCCTCAACAAGTGTATGCGGAGAATATGGAATCTTTCCAAGAGTCTAAGAAAAATTCGGCTGACATAGTAGAAGAATATCGAAAAATGTTCACCGACATACAAAAGACTCCACATCAGATGAAAATATTCAGCATAGAATGGAAAGTACTGAAAGAAAATGTACGCAAATACAATAATCCTTTTTACTTACGACCATATAACGTTCAATCTTTGGCTGAAACTCGGTGAAAATAAAAGGTTAAATTTCAACAAAAATATAGAAATGAAACATTGTTTAAAGTTCATTCAGAACCTAACCAATATGGAAACAAAACCTACTTTTGTTTCTGCAGACGATGGAACTACAATGAGATGGGGTCATAAAGCTAATCCGGATAGGTGGTTCATAAACTTACAACCTCAATTCCAAGTTGAAGTTGTAGACGCAATGGAAGTGAATGGTGAACCAGATATAACGGGTATTTTCAGCGCGGCTTTAATGCCATTGAAAGATATGAAAGATGCAGATATTTTGGACCAGTATGAAATGAACATGGCTGATGGAAATATAACACCTGACGTTCTAGAACATTTATCTCAAAGAACTACACAGAACCATAAAGATGGTATATTTGGTGAAGAGTTTAGAAAGAAAGTTAGGGAGAGAGAAGGAAGAGAACCTATTGTACATGACCTTGCAAACGAAAGTTTGCAAAATGTCATAAAAACTTACTTTGCAGACAATGAAATGAGAAGGGATGAATATTTAAGAAAACTCAAATGGACAGTACCAAATGAAATGTTAGTATTGAAAAACATGTTCCATGACAAAATAAAACCAACTACAGAAATAAATGACGCAAGACTGAAACGTTGGGTAAAAAGCTTTCCCATTCACAAAAGATATTATTGGTTACATGGAAAGAAAACCAGAATGGCTACAAAAACATATATTTGGAAACGAGCTTATTCCATATGGACAAGCTCTGTTTTGAAGAGCTTGAACCGGAAACTCAGGAAAGAGTCATGCAAACAATAAGCGAAGACTCAAATACAAACTATGACAAAATCTTCTAGGATATAGGTTACCTGAGATGGGCGACCAGAGCCCAAAGGCAAAAAGGACATGGGAAATTTACAACATACTAGGTGAACATGAGGCAAAAGATGCAACAACTTGAAGCAGAAGGCAAGTTACCAAAAGCGACACCAAAGAAGAAGAGAAGAGTAGAACAAAGTGAAAGTAGTGAAGAAGTAACTTCATCTAGTGAAAGTAGTGGCAATGAAGGAAAAAGAAGAGTTAAAAACTCAGTCAGGAAGAAAGTAAAGCTTGGTCCGAGTGGGTTCTATTATGATATATAAATCCAACTATTCTATATTTTTACCCATATGAAATGTACGCCGCTCAGAATATAACGCCAACAGTTTTGGATGCCATGAACGGAAATGTTTCCGAATGGTATAACGAATGCGACAATGCCATTAGAAGGTCAGAAATAGTTCCTGGAACTTACGAATATACAACTGCTGTTTCTTATGGAAATGTAGGTGAGTTTGGAGAAGGTTCTTCAACAACAGTAGATATTGCTTGCGACAGGTTTCATATTATTTCTATTGACAACTCATTCTTATACGTGGAACAAGACATTGAAATAAAACCTTCTGCCAAGTTGTCTGACAAGAAAGGTTGCAATGGAATTTTCTATGTCGGATACCAATATGCTCCAGAAGTTTTCATGGGATATAAGATATATTCTAACTCTGACTTAGTTCAAACAGTAACATGGGCAAACTATGAATGGTTCGCTTTGAGAAACTCAGTACAACCACAAGCTAGAGAACAAACAGACCAGTATGCAACTATTGAGAAAATAAGAAGACTTGACCCTAACGTTCCAGGAGTTTATGTTAACCTTTCTGGACAAACTGCAGCAGCAGTAACCAAAGTAAAACTGAAACTTAGAGTTCCTTTGTCATCTTTCCTCATCTTCAGGTTTTTAAGATACTTGCCAAACTGGGCAGGAAAAATTTCTATCGAACTTACTCCAAGCAAAAATAACTTAGTCATTGCACCAACACAAGACCCATTCACTATTACAGACGTAAAGGGAACAAATCAAACGTCATTCGCCGAATTTTGCAAAGGCAAGGTTGACTTAGACTTTGGTTTCTCAAACTTCAACAATGAAGTAAACTATTATTTCAATGCTGCTGGAGATGCTTGGGACCCAGTTAAGTTCACATGCGAAAAATTTGAATGCAAGAGAATAGAAAGCAGACTTGCAGTCTATATGTTGGACCCAGATATTTCAAATGCTTTAGCTGCCAAATATATTGCAGTTCCACTTATGTTCCCTATACACCAAATATCTGTCAAAGACTTTGCAGGTGAAGTTGGAAACCAAAATCCAGGAGCCGCAGGTGCAAGAACAGATATTGCTTTAACAACTGCAATGAAACATGCAGATACTATGTTTGTACTGTTCAGACGAACTATAAATGACTATTCTTGTTTCTACAACCCTGGTATTAAATATCATATAAACATAGATGGTAAATATTATCCAAGAGAAGAATATTCTACAGTTGAGGATATGAGGTCATACAACTTGACATTAGATGCTATGAACTTTAACAACAACTTCACAACAACTATTAACCCTGAAATGCAAAGTTCTATTATGCCATATGTGAAAGTATGGACTCATACAGAAGGTCAAAAAACTCAATATACAAATGGAGACCGTTCAAACTTTTGGCTTGGCATTCCATTTGCTGACTCAGAAGACTTTATGGGTGGTATTTCAACTGTTGGTACTGTACAAATACAATATACTGGTGACAGAGACGGTCCAGATGAATTGAGAGCAAAGAAGTTTACAAAACCAATAGCACTTTTCACGGAAGATGCTCTTTTGAAGATTCGTTCGATGAAACCTGCTGGGGCTCCTCAGATTGGCATAACGACAGCTTCCATCGAGCAGATTTTGGCAGCAGGTCAGTAAGTTGTTCTTGAACTGACTTCTCTCCGTCAAATATTGACAGTACGCCAGTTTTGACATAATATTGTATTATAAACTTTCCTTTAGTAATATCTGTAAGTTTTGAAGTTATATTTTTGTCTGCTTCAAGAACTTTCACCATTTCAGTTATACCAACTTTCTTTTGCTTTATGAAAATATTTAGGTTCAGCAAAGACTGCTATTCTATAACATTTTCCATTGTTTGTGTAAAGAACTATTCTGTCAATGTATTTGTATTGTTTGTGAGTATAAACTTTGTTCTGCTTCAATTCAATAAGATATCCGAATACGTCCATCTTTTTATTCTAAGTAAAATGTCATTTCCGAAAATAGAAGCGTAAGTGTTTCAAAAGGTTTAATGGCGGTGGCAGATGTGAAGTTAAATTCACCAACTCAAACAAACAGTCAAAGTGTTATTGTCAATGTCAAAGACAGAGATGTTGAAGTGGGGAAACCATACGAAGACGAAGATGGTATAACAATTGTTCCTGTAAAAGAACCAACATATCCTGAAGTTAGCAGAGACTTAAGTTCTGTTGCAGATATTCGAAACGACTACCAACAACTGAAAGACAAACTTCAAACTCAGGAGAAGATTTGTCAAGCTTAAGTATAATGTTAAACTTGGTCGAACACAACCCTGTAAAAGTGAACTCATATGTCATTGCACCTCATGAAGTTTTGAAAGAACTATTGAAACTTTTGACAGAGGCAGACGATATAAACATCAAAAGAAATAGAACCCGACATTAGTTGCTGTGGTGTTTCATATAATGCCATTGACAAGATATACGTTATGAAAGGAGGTGAAACGTTGAACTTAAAATATAGTTTCCCAGACGTTATAAAAATATTTGACGACCACAACATTTCATTAAAGTTTATTTGCTAAGTAAATGGCAGAAGACATAATGGTTTATACTATTACGACTAAAAACCCTGAGTCATATAATTCTATAACAACAAACTTACAAAGTCCTCAAGGACGATATTGTAAACTAACCTTAAACACAATGACGACTAAAGCCTGTTTTGCTCTTTTGACACCAGAAGACTTTATTGTTGTGAATGGTAAAAAATACTCCTTTGAAGATACTTACTCAGATATACCACCAACAGGTTTTGTTGACTTATTTAATACTTTAAGTACGGGTGTAACATGGCTTGCAACTAGAGCAGTTTCATTATGTTTGGATGTCCGACTGAGTTACTATAAACGATATGAGCTATAATACAAAACTTATTTCTGGTTTTTACTACCAACATTTCCTATAACAGGAAAAGGTGTCATACAAGGAATGTCTATTCCATTGACATTAAGCACACCAATCTTATATATGGTTTCAAACTTAGGTTCAAAGTGTTATTCGAATGTCGACAGAAAACTATTATGACCAAAAAGATACTTATGCGTATAAACAATACTTTCTCTGCTGGTTTGCCTATTGTTCATTCGAATGCAGAATTTTCAACCTTAGTGAACTCAAACACTTGGCAAGTATAACGTTGACATTAGTTGACGCAAACTTTGTTCCTGTAAAACTTTTATGTCCTATGTATTTGTCAATGACGGCAGAAAGTTTCGAATTGGAAGATGCAACTGGTGAAAGTATTGTATTACAAGAACAACTTCAACAACAAATAGCTCAAGAACAACAAATGCAACAACAAAGTCAAGAATAAAAAAATAATATTTTTTTTATTTTTATAAAAATGTACAGAATAGATGTTTCAGATTTTTATGACTTCCAAGCATTCAGAAATATGTGTCCATTTAGAGACTATAACAAAGCAGTCGAGAATTTGAAACGTTTAGTCATTTATGTTGACTCTGCCCCAGAATGTTATGTCATGAAAGAATGGGATATTGTCTTTAACAAACCAAGAGCAACAATAGTGTCTGAACAAGAATGTAGACAGAAACTTAAGAAAATAAAAGTTGTACAAGTTAGAATGAAGATGTTAGATGCTTGGGATATCTTATTGTCAAAGTTAGAAGATTTTTCAGTTCGAGGTATAAAGTTCTATACACCTTCTTCAAACTTCTATTCTATCTTCACTGGATATAAATATGAACAAGTAGAATGGAAAGAAAATATTATAGAAGCTTGGTTAGACCATGTCAAAGAAATTATATGCAATGGAAACGAAAGAGTCTATGAGTATATCTTATGTTGGTTTGCAAACATCTTACAACATCCAAGTGCTAAAAATGAAACTGCTCTCATTATAATTGGAAAACAAGGAACTGGTAAGAATACTTTCTTTACAGATATCTTATGCAAACTGTTAGAAGGTTATTCGAATCCGAATATGACAAACTTAGAAAACATCTGTGGCAAGTTTAACTCTTCAATTGAGAATATGAAACTTATAGTTTGCAATGAACTTCAAAGTATAGATACAACAAAAGTTTTAAACTCAGATGCTTTGAAGAGTCTTATAACAGATAAAGTTGGAGTTGTTGAAAGAAAGTATAAAGACTCAAGAGTTTGTGAAAATGTTGCAAACTTCATTATGGTTTCAAACAATGCTGTTCCGATGAAGTTAGAAAGTTCTGACAGAAGATATGTAGTTGTCAGAACGTCAGATTCTCATATGCAAGATACAGAATATTTTGACGACTTAGCAGAAACTTTGACATCTGACTTTTACAACCACTTGTTCTCATATTTCATGACATTAGATATTTCTAAATTCAATCCAAGACAAATTCCACATACCGAAGAGAGACAAACATTGTTAGAAGCAAACAAGAGTGTATATGAACTGTTCATAGATGAAACTGACTTTGTGTCATTAGATGAAAGGTCTTTATATGATGAATATAAACAATATTGTCAAGAATATGGTTATATGGCAGCTTCTAAACGTACATTCTTGGCAAATGTCAAAAGTCTTTTAGATGTTCAGAATGGTGTATATACAAAGAAAAATTTTTCTGAGTAAATTTTAAAAAAATATTTTTTATCCGATAGAAAAGATGGCAAAATTCATCTCAGTAAATAAGTACATGTCAGGACTTAAAGAAGAACTAGACCCATTCACATATTTGAATGTTTACTTCTACCATTTTGAAAAGTCTTCATTCAGCAAAGTTTGGAACATCGAACCAGTTAAGTTTGCTATTGTGACTAAAAATGGTGCGAAATTTGAAGACTTAGACATAGAAGGTTTGTTAACAGTCAAAGAAAGTTTTGACAGAAGGTTCTCAAACCTTAAAGAAGGCAAAGCATACAAACTTGTTATACCTTATGAACCAAAGAAGACAGACGACTATGAATATTATGAGTCTAAAGTTGTAGAAGTTCAAGGTAAATTGGGTAAAAAGATTTTAGAGTCTAAGCCAGTGTTTACTCCTAAAGAGGAAGAGAACATTGACATTGACCCAGAAATGTTCTAAAATAAAATTTTATTTTTACATGTCATATCTCCCCTTCTCTGGAACTGGTTCAGGTTCTTTCTTCTCTTCTTCTACTTTCTTTTCTTTCTTTTCTCTCTTCTTCTTTTCTGGTGGAGTTATGTCAAATTTGGCGCAACTATATCTATGTAAAAGTTCTTTGTCCTTTAATAGCTCATCTATTCTGTTTTCTATTTCATCTTCAGAACAGCGCATGTGTCTTCTTTGCATTCTAAGAACTTTTGTTGGACTTCATCTTTCCAATCGGCGTCATCTCTGTCAACAAGTCTGTCATTGACAAATTTTAAGACTGCTCTTTGTAATGTTTTATGGTTCTTGTCATATTCCCAGAAACAGAACTTTAGAACAAATTCACCTTTCTTGTTTACACTATGTAAGATTTTATGGTCGACAGATGTTTTGCTGTCGAAAAGCTTGTCTCGAATATAGATAGCGAAATCGCTAGACATTTTCTAAAAGATAAAAATTTTAATTTTTCTAAAAATATGTTAGAAAAAAGTTTGCTGACATTGACAAGAAATTTGAGAATGTTTTAAACAAGAACAAGAGGAAGTTAGAAAATGCTCAGATAAAGCCTATACATGACAAGTTCTTATTTGCTCAGAATGATATAACAGGTCTAATTGCACCACCTGGGTCTGGTAAGACTTTCACTTATCTTAAAATGGCTGCACAACAACAAGAACTAGATGAGAAGAACCCATTCTATGAGTTAGTAGTCATTTGTAGTACTTCTGGTCAATTTGACCAAACCGTCAATTCGTTCAAAGATATTATAAAGAAGTCTAAGTTAGTATGTATAAAGGATACTGAGTTGTTAGATTGGATAAAGAAGTACCAAAGAAGAGTTTTGAAGTATAATGCTATAAATGAGTATATAAATTCTAAGTTTAAAGACCCAAATGAGGAAATGCAGAGAATATTAGAGAAGAAACACTTCAGAAACAAACAGAAAGAGATAGAATACATTTCGAAGAAATTGCAATCTTACGATTGGAAGACTTACCCTCATAGATGTCTTCTTATCTTAGATGATTTCGCCTCTCATCCTTTGTTAAAGAATAGAGAACAAGATATGTGTCGAATTCTTAAGAAGCTCAGACACTTTAACATCTCAGTTGTCATTTGTGTACAGACAGCAAAGAGTTTAAGTAAGGATGTTAAAAGAATACTTACTGACATAATACTTTTCCCCGGATTGTCCGAAGACGATTTCATGGAACTTATGAAAGAGTCCATGGCAGGTAAGTTTGACAGACATGAACTATGGAGAAAGTACAAAGTCATACAAGACCCTCATACTTCTTTCAGAATTCATATCTACGCAAACAAAGTTCAAATTGTAAAAAGTCAATAAAAATAAAGAGTTCATTTACTCTGCTTGTTTGAAGTTGTCAGAATACTCTGTTATTTTTTCTTTCAGTAGCGTAAGTCTTCTTTGAAGTAAGTATTGTACAACCTTTCATATCATAGTGTGTTTGAGGTAACGTATCTTGAACTATTTGTTTCACATCTTCATTTGGGGTCATTGAAATCGGTAAGTTTTCGCGATAGAACCAATTTCTGTCAGATTTGTAAATCTTAGCAAGGTCGTAAAAGCTTTTGTTGTTTCTTCTGACTAAATGCAACATAACCATATCTTTATCTTCTTCATTTTCCATCTCTTCAGTATAAATCATATACTTATAACTCTTTTCCTTTCCTTTTGGTACCGAACGTGGTATTCTTTTCTGAATGCTTTTGTCTTTTGCTTCAATGACTTCATCTTTTGCATGAAGTTTCTTTTCCATCTCTTCACGTTCTTGTCTATGAATTTCGTCAAGAAGTCTGTAAATATACCAAGCATAACGAGGCGAAGCCCACATTGCAACAGCATTTACAAGAAGTCTATGTACATAATATCCTCTCAAACCGTTTGGCAATTTTTCACGATTTTCATAGAGTTTTGGCGACTGGGGTTTTTTACCTACTCGCTGTTCTTCACTGTTTTCAGAAAAAAGTATGTCTCGCTGTGCTTCGCTCAAAAGTTCTTGTGTGCTTTGGTTCCTAAACCAGTCTTTAGGAAGCTTAGTATCTGGTGCAAAACATGCTGTCAAAATACTTTGCATTTGGTACATATCGTCTTTGACCGAACGAATGAGACGGAGTTGTTTGTTAAACTGTATGTACTCGTATTCTTCATTTATAGCTTCATGGACTATAACTGTTGTTGTGTTCTCTGATGTTGTCATTACTGTCTTTACATACAAAATAAAAAAATAAATAAAAATAAAACTAACTTTATTTTTTCTATCTTAAGGAAATTCATGATTTTTGTGCTGAATTCAGCAAAAATAATGTTTAGGGTAGATGGTTAGATCTAACCCGATATCTACCCTCTTTTCTACCCCAGTTATTTTATAAACGTTTCACATGGTAAACGTTATTTTTTAAATTTTGTGAAAACTCAACGGTTTGACACATGCCCTAAAAATTATTTTACTCAGAATTTTGTTGCTGAATTCAATAAAAATATATTTTAGGGTAGATGGTTAGATCTAACCCGATATCTACCCTCATTTCTACCCCAGTTATTTTATAAACGTTTCACATGGTAAACGTTATGAATTCGTGAGACTCTAAACAGTTTTGTAGCTTCTATTTCTTCTTTTAGTACATCGAATGTTTTAACGATACCGAAAGTTTCTTTATACTTCTTCTTGACATCAGATAGAAGGAAATCGTCAGCAGTTGGATAGTTTTTGTTCAGAAATTCTAACATGTCCATTTTATCTTCTACCGGCTTCTCTGCTTCTTTCTTTAAATCTGCATAGTCGTTTCTCATTCTTTCTATCTCTTTGACGGAGTAGTTATATTTCCTAATTGCTGCTTTACATTTAAAACATTGCGGGTTCATTTTTGCGTTATATTCTGAAACCTTACCTGCTAAAACAACCAAGGCGTCAATGGTTTTCTTTAAATCTGAAGCAGTTGGTTTTATCTGTTCATTCCATACCTTACCTCTTCTATCTTTATCTCTTATCTGCCATACACATTTTGCAGCTAATGAAACAAAGTTGTCGTATGTCTTAAACTCCCCAAATTTATATATGTCAGAGATGTTCTTATATAACATGTCGCAATCTTTGTCCATAACTTTATGGTTGCAATGAAAACCAAGGAATTCATAATTTACCTTTCGTATGAACTTCTTTATTTCTACTGAGTCAGTTGCTTTGACTTCAATTTCATCGAATTCAGGAATAGTGAGCTTTTGCTGCTGAATTTCAGGCAATTTGGGTAAATGGTCGATGAGGTCCTCCATTTCATAAAGATACTGTTCATTTGTTTCATCCTGTGCGGTACAGTCTAAATTACTTGTTAAAAGTTTCTGCTTTATTCTTTGTATTTCTGTTTCGAAAGTAAATGAAGAAGGAATGAAGCTTTTCATTTCTACTAACATAGATGTTGGATTCATGACTAACGAGTTTGGTGCTGTTGTTTGAATTGTTGTTGTGCCGATTGTTGAAATCATATCTTACATACAAAATAAAAAAAAATAAATAAAAATAAAACTAACTTTATTTTTTCTATCTTAAGGAAATTCATGAAAATTCAAGAGGGTAGAAATCGGGTTAGAAATCGGGTTAGATCTAACCATCTACCCTAAACATTATTTTTGCTGAATTCAGCAACAAAATGAACGAGGTCAGGATGTATGTAAATACCTTTGAATTCATTTATAACGCCCTTAGTAAGCTCATAAAATACTTGTTTTGAGGTCGAGCCACTTTTGGCTCCACCGTATTCTTTCAACCAAAACTCAAGAATTTCCTGCATGAATTTTGTATAAAAAGCAACAGTCCGAATTCCGGCGGTTGCTATATTCTTCACAAAATGCCTTATAATACTCTTCCCAGGACTTATTTTCCAACAACTTTCTAAAGTCTTTCCTAAACTGACTGACTGACTGACTGACTGACGGCACAAAGTGGCTTAACGAAAACATTAATATATAAAATTCATGAAAATTCAAGAGGGTGAAAAAACAGGTGAAAAAAGAGGTGAAATCTCACCTCTTCACCTAAATTATATTTTTTGGTCCGGGAACAACTTTCTCTCAATTGGAGCTGTAGCATACTCTTTGCGTAAGCGGTTCAGACCTTCTTCGAAGTCTTGGTCTCTCTTCGATTGAGATTGGAATTGGAATTGCTGGGGTGGAGCTTGCTGGAACAACCAAGGGTTGGGGCAGTAAGGCATAGGCTGAGGAGGGTAGTTCGGGAAGCCTTGTGGTGGGTAGTAACCTTAAGGTGGAAATTGGTAGTAATTCGGAGGTACTTGCTGGAACTGAGGTTGCTGAGGAGACTGTTGTGGTTCTGCAGCTTTCGGTTCTTCTGGCTTTGGAAGGCATTCAGGAAGAGGAACGTCAGTCATCCGTTTGTGTCCTGTCGGAAGGAAAAACTTTTCCTGTCGGAAGGAAAATTTTTTCGAAAGTTCGACCAAAAAGTTCTCAATTTTCGAAAATTTGAATGGTTTACGGACGGACAACTGGAAGAGTTCTTCCTGTCGGAAGGAAAAATTTTTCCCTTTGTCCGGAAAATTTTTTCCTGTCGGATGGAAGAACTTGGAATGCAAGAAAGACTTGACGAGGCAATTTACCTCATTGAACTTAACGAGCTTGTTAAAGACTTCCTCAGGCAGAATGTAAAAGACAAGCTTGTTAACGGTTGGATAACGGGAAGGTCTACACTTCAGCTCGAGACTTCGACTGGAATTCAAATACCAGACGGGACAGCCTACGATGGCATAAAGGACGCCAAAAGAGAAGCTCTTGTTAAGTTCCTAAACAAACGTCCTTGGATAAAAATACCAAACAAGGAGAACCCCCTACCCCATATGAAATTGGCAATTCAGTCTCTCCTTCACTTCTCGGGTCAACCATTCTTTATAACTACAGAAGGCGACATTCAGCCAGTTCAGTAAACATCTCATTTTAACTCACTTTTTTAATGTTTTTTGTGAAAGTGTCAAAAATAAATTATTTTCATGAGTTTTCTACGATGTTAGAAAAAATGTTATTTTCTAATATCTTCACATTCAATACTTTTTCAGCACCTTTCCGTAGTTATATATGAAAGACAATTCGAGATAAAAGTCATAGTACAATGGAATAATATGTTGCACACCATTTGTTGTGAACCAAACTTGAAAGTCAGAGAAACTGTTACTAGGTGGTTCGTAGAATTTAGAAGCAAAGTCATAAAGGTCCTTACCAATACATAGAAAACAATTGTTGCTTGAACTGAAACTTGCATGACACATAACATTTTGAGGGTCAAACACGTTTCTATAAACCATCAAATCTGCTGGTGGAAGTATAAATTGAAATGGACCATCTGGTGGTAATGGTTCGTTCTGGTTTAGTAACCGAAGAAATTGTGCCCAAGAACGTTTGTCTACTTCCCAAAATAAAAACTCTGTATCTCTTGGAGGGTTAATTTCAATCTTTTGAAATGAAACGGTGGAGTTCATCTTGTCATATTCTAGTTTCAGATAGTATGTTCCATTTAGTAAAGAGTCGTATTTTTTTTGAAATTCCCAATAATATTTGTTCATTTGAGTTTGAAAGTCATCTAGAGTTTTCTCAAGACTTTCGTCTGAACGAACTGTAAAGATTCTTATTTCGTCAAATTTGTCTATTAGACCATCAGAACCTTCATACTGCCCATGAAAATATACTGCGAACATAAATGCGTTAGTTCTATTTGAAAACAAAACTCTTCTAAATCCTATTGCCTTTGCATCTGAAGGACTTTGAAGCCAACGAATTGGATAGTCAAACCTGTATGCTCGGGATGAAATTTCTTCATCTGAAATAGTCCTACCAGCATTTGTAAAGATATAGTCTAACGGTTTTGTATCTGCTACTTTTGTTCTTTGTTTTTCAACCTGAAGCATTTAATATATGTAAAAATATATTGTTTTAAAATGGTATGCCATTTCATATTTCTCATCTAACAAACAAGTTTCCCAACGGTCTTCTCCAACAAACTCAGCGTACATTTCAAATAAAATAAAAAAAATGTCACTTTTTTAAAAATAAATTTTTTATTTCATGCAATGTTTTATTTCTGTGCCGTCTTCAAGTATGCCCCAATATTTCCTTTTCGATATTACATGAACTTCGGAAAATACCTTATCTAGCTTAAAACAGCCCATCTTTTCACCGACCATTCCCATTTCAATGAGTTTGTTGTATCCTTCTTCGTTCGTCATGAGTGCGTCAATGTTCTCATAGTAAACCTTCACTTTGGATTTGACTTCGGAGAAGAATTTGTTGTAGTTGTCAAGGACTGCCTTTGCGAACTGAGGGTAAGACCAATGTTCGACAATAGGTTTTAATGTGGTTACTAAGCCACTTTGACCTTGAGTGAATTCGTACTTCAAAACAAAAGGAGAAAACCTTTCAACAAAGTTGTCGACCTTCTCATAATGTTTACTCTTCATCTCTTGAGGTTTCTTAATGGAATATCCCCATGTCGAATTCATAAGCAATTTGAGTGTCATTGCAAGTTTGGGGTTTGAAGCTTTCCTAATATCATACAGTTGTTGTATGACTTTTCCAACTGTATAGTTCCTTCCCGGGAACTCACCATCTTCGTTTGGAATTCCAGTCGGAATATATTGGACAAACCTCATGTATGCAGCGTTAAGGTCGACATAGTATATCTTTTCATCTGAGTCGAACTTGTCGCAACCAATTGGTCCAGTTTGTGGAAATTCAAGTGAGTCTCTTATCTTCTGAGAAACTTCTCCTGTTATCTCATAAACATCGTCGAAGCAACCTGTTTCATATAAAACCTTCTGACCTAACTCAGATGCTCTCCAATACAATTTGACGTCAATTGGATGTCTCAATGGAAGTTTGTTTATAGCAGCTTGAAGTTCTTGCAACCTCATTGGAAGTTCTTCTGGTTCAGGTTGGTATCCGAACATACCAACCCCTTGTGGAACTGTGTACTTCTTTTGTACTAGAACTTTGTCTGGAACAACTTTTGGTCTTGCTAACAATGAAAAGTTTGTTTCGTCTTTTGGTACAAAAGTTTCTGTCAGCTTGTCATCTGGAATTGGTTCCAACAAACCTTTCTCGAAAAGAATGTTTACAACTCTGACAATGTTGCACTTACTTTTACCAAAGAATGGGTTTGTAAGACTTTCGTTCAACATGAAGTGGTTGTGGACAATTACAATCTTCAACCATGGTAAGTCTTTGTCAACAACATAGTCGTCATGTGAAGAACCTTTAGCTGTAGGTATGTTGACTCGGATATTGACATTTGCCAACGGTGCAATTTTTGCCAATTGACCTCTGAGAATGTACCTTGTCTTCACACATGACTCAAGATACTTCATCTTCTCATCTGTAACAAGACCAGAGTTCCTGAGACATGTAAGAATGCAAGGTTCGTTGACAATTGTTTCAATTGAATTGTAAATTCCATACCTTGTCAAGTCAATGTCAGACTTATTTATGAACGGGAAGTATCCAGCATGTTGTCTGACTGCTTGAGGGTTAGGTTGGTACCATTCGAACTTGACACTTGCAATTCCTTCAATTGCATTCAAAATGTCTGAGTCGGAGTCAACCATTTGTTCTCTCTTTGTAGTCTTGAAAGCGTCAAGAAGTTTTGCGGCTGTTTGTTCATTGCCATGTGCATAGTAAATGTGACCATCCAAATCTGTTATGGTCAATCTGAGATTGTGTCCTTTCTTATTTCCGTCTTGTATGGCAGCAAGTACTCCCATGAAGCCTTCTTTGTTCTTTCCTTCGTCAAAGTTTACTGTAAAGGTTCGACCAGATGTAATTTGACTTCTAACTTCACGATACTTTTCATATGCATATCTTGTTCTTTCCATGGGAACATGTGCGTCTTCACCTTTTCCTTTTTTCCTTCTCAAAGGATGCAATTGTTCGTCATGTTTCCAGTAGAATCTGGCAAAGCCGTCGTGTCCTTCAACTTGAGGTTCACTAACATCGAAAGGCATGTCCATAAGACGTTCTTCTTCTAACCTCTCTAGTCTGTTTGGATAATTGGCACGTGCTGTTTCCAAATCCATTTCGTAGCGAAGACCAGACAATTTGTCATAGACTTTTATGGGTCTTCCCTTCCTATATTTAAAATTCTTCGAAACTCTCCAACCATATCTTTGTAACTCTGCTTTTATTCTAGCAGACTTTCTATCCATTCTATATGGGGCATTTTTATAAAAATAAAAAAATATTTTTTTCTTTACTTTACATAACCGCCTGCTGCCATAAGTCTTTGACGCCAACCCATACCAGCTAATGAAGGTTGACTTGGTTTAGTTTGGAAACTAAACTTTGGTTTTGGTTTATCTTCAGTTTTTGGTTTTTCTTCTTCTATCGGTTTTTCGTCACTTTTCGGTTCTCTGACTTTACTTCACTTGCAGGAACAGTTGTGTCGTCAACATCTTCATAAATATCATATGCCATTTGTTTTTGTTTTCCTTTCAACTTTTTGTGTTTGTTGTAAAGTTTAGAATATTTCGACTCTAAGTCAATGAGATGTTCTATAATGAACTGTTGGTCAGTGAAGTAAACTTTTCCATCTGTTGTCTCGAAAGCTCCTTCAGACTTCAATATTTTATTTGTGAGAGTCTGTTTCTTTTTTGAGATACTTAGCCGTTCCATTTCTATGAAAAGTGACTTTGTAGTTAGGGTTTGTATTTCCAGACCTGGCACTTTCTATTATTGAATTTTTCTCTTCATCTGTAAGTTCTTTGACAGGTTTTGACAATGGTTCTGAACTTTTTGTTTGTGGTGTCAAATCTACCGTTTCAACTTCTTCGGTCATTTCATCTCAGTAAAAAATTTTAGTTTGGTTTGTTTTCAACTGGTTGTTTAGGTTTTTTAAGTCAGTCTAAAACTTCCTGAGGTATAGGAAGAACTTCACAAACACGTGTTGTAAATGCTGGAAGCCGACAAATCCATCTTGAACTCATTTGTCTCAATGCTGCATTGTTCATTTCATCTCAATAAAAAACTTTACATTCCCCACGTTTGAGGCGGTTGAGGTTGGTTATTGTTTACCCACTGTTGTGCATGGTTATATCCTCTGTTAAAGAATCTTTCACCTTGGTCCATATAGTGTCCTGCTTGGTTATAGTAGTCATTTGCTTTGTTATAATAGTTTCCTGCTTGTCTTCCTACATTGTCCATCCATCCTTGAACTTTTCCTCTTGTTTCAGGATTTGGAATAAGATTTGTTGCATCTCGTGCTACATCCCAACCTTTCTGTACAGTTTGTATAATAGGTTGTGCTTTCTCTTTAAGTATACCTAATGTACTCAAAATCTTCCTTCCAACTCCAAATACACCTCTGGCTATTGTTCCCACTGCGGGCAAAAATCTGGATGCAACTCCTGCTAATGCGCCAAATAAACCATTTCTTATAGGGTAAAAAATGACGAATCCGAACAAGGACCCCTATGTTTCTAAAGCGACAAAGAAAGCACTCATGTAAAAATCTTTAGTTCAACACCAAATGCTTGGTTTATGGATATCTTGGAAAACATTCCGAGAGTTAGAACAGATGGACCTCCATACTGGTTAATATTTGTTGGTCAAAACACAAGATACTGTGAAGCCATACCATTATGGTCCAAAAATATTTTAGATGTGAAAACTGCTTTGACAATATTCGTTGACAAATACCATCCAACAAAACTAACATCTGACTGTGAAAGTTCTTTCAAATCAGATGATATTAAAAACTATCTGCGTTCAAAAAATGTAAACCAATATTTCATTGTCGACCAAAACCATTCTGCTCTTGGTGTCATTGACGGATGTATAAAAATGTTAAGAGACTTAAACCAACCACAAGGTGGTGAAGCAAATGAAATGTCATATGACGACAAATATAGACACTTCTCCATGGCAAAGATGAGACAAGTTTTAAATATTTACAATAGCCGTAAACAAAAAGGTTTGGGAAACCACTCCCCGAAGAAATGAAAAACAACCCTGACTTAGAGAAAGACTATATATTTAATAATTTAGTCAAAAGAGACAAACAAGAAAGAATGCCGGGCTTCAAACTTCAGAAAGGTGACAAAGTAAAAATAGAAATACCTAAACGCGACCCATATGAAAATACTATTGACTATGACAACAATGGGAACCCGACAGGTACTCACATTCGTGTTCGTAAAAATAGAAGAAAGTATACAAGAGAATATTATGAAGTTTTAGGCAAACATGGCAAAATGTACACACTGCAAGCAGAAGATAAAACTACTATTGTCAGACCTCGTTTCAAACTTGTCAAAGTTCAAGGTGGTATACTTTCAAAGACAGTTCCTAACAAATATAAGACAACTCCTGACGAATATGCTAAAGAAGTTGAAAATGACGACTAAGCAATTCTATACCATGCGTAAACTGTCATGTAAGGTGGCATGTATTCTTTACTTTGTCCCGTTGTTTGTGTATATCCTGAAACGAAATGTGTATGGTTTCCTTCTCCCTGAGTGTCACTCCAGTAACAATTTATAGCAAACTTAACGTCGTCTTTAACATCATATCCTTTACCTTTTGTCATTCCTGACCAATCCCAATATCTATGCTTATGCCAACCTGCTTGAGATGTACTTAAATCTATGTAATGACTGTGTGCAGGTAAATTTTCACCTGAAATCGTTTTACTTCCACCTGTTTCCTTTGAAGAGTTTGCACAATACAAAAACCTGTCGACTATTTGTTCCCATGCACCAACACCAAACATTACTTGAGGACCTCTTGCATCCATAGATGTATAAATAGAACCTACTGGGTTCATTAAATCAAACATATGAGATATTATAGGATTGTCTCTTTTGAACTTAAAATATAGTGCAACTATTTCAGGTTTCTTCTGGTTTGTGTCAGAATATTTTTTATAATATAATCTTATGTTTTCAGGGTAGGTAAAATCTTGACTATAATATTTATTTCTGTCATCTGTATAATAATATACTATTCTCGTTTTTTCTATTGCATTATATCTTTTATATCTATAATAATCTAAATATAATGTTAGCTTTTGTTCATCTACATGTGGTGTTCTGTCGTCATCTCCATAGTCATAATAATGTGGTGCTGGAGCTGGGTCAGGCAATGTCATATCTGCCATTTCATAAACTCTTAAATATTTCTTTTGTTCGTCTCCATATAAGTTTAAGTAGCAGTTGTTGTCTAATGGAACTTTAACTTGTGTACCATCATTCTTTTTATAGCTTACATACATTTCATTGTTATTTTTCGGAATGAGTTTATTCCGTGTACCATTTTTTAAGGACTGTACCAACTGCCATCTAAAATATTTATTTTCTTCATTGACAGAAAAGTCACCAACAATAGTTTCAATATTTTTTGTTCCTATCAAACTTTGGTATATTTCATTGACATATGTTTTATCTGCTTTATTTTCAAGGCTAACGTTTAAGTCTGTTATTTCAGAAGATGTATGTGTATGTCCAACGTCACTTTTCCTGTTTAAGGTTTCTTGTAAGTTTGTAATATTTGCAATGGTATGTGTATGTCCAACGGCACTTTTCCTGTTTAAGGTTTCTTGTAAGTTTGTAATATCAGATATAGAATGTGTATGAGTCTTATCTGCTTTTGTCTCTAATGTTTCCTTAAGACTTGGTATTTGGTTAATATAATGTATATGAGTCTTTTTAGAATATTCGTTTTCAGCTCTTGTCACTTCACTTGACATTTTATTGTCAACATATGTTTTGTCTGCTAGTTCAGGATGAGTATGTTCTTTTGTTGCATAAGCATTGTTAGCTCTTTCTTCTTCTTTTGCTATTGCATCGTCTACATATTCTTTGTCAGCTTTGTTGTCAACATCTGCTTTCAAAAGAAGTTCATTTATAGGTTTCTCGTTTAAAGTTCCTTTTGTTGGATTTATACAGACAGTATTGTTCTTATTGTCTTGAAATAGAAACTCATCTGTCATTGGGTTTATTGTCAGTTTTAAGTCACCCCCTTTCAATGACTCAGATATCTTAGAATAGTTTGAAAAGTTTGTTGTGTTCTTATTTAGAGCTTGCATAATGAGTTGTCGGTTGTGTTGTATTTCTCTCATAGACGCTGTTTCATTTGACATTTTTATTATAGATAAAATATGCTTCCAATAGAAAAAGAAAATTCTAGAGTTGCTACAACTAAACCATTAGATGAACTTTTTACTAATGTCGGTCAAAAGTTTGAGACAGATACCGTAAAGCATGAAGGCTATCGTTTTAACTACCCATTAAGATGGTTAAGAGACCCATCCGTCACAAAAGCTATTGGCTTTCGTAGAATGAAGTTCATTTCAGAAGCCATACATGGTTTTCCATTT